GCTCGCGTTGTCCTTGGCCGTCAGAAGCGTCCGGCTTTTAAATCCTGAGAGTGTCAGACTTGCAGAAGGGAGAGGGGGCGGATGGTCCCGACGGAGAGGGCGTCCCCAATGGTGCCGGCTATTCTCACGGGCCTGAAAATTTTAGGGTTTAGGAAGCCCATGAATTTTGTAAGCCTTGACAGTTTCAGACTCACAAAGAGCCGGCGCCGCTTCTGCATTAGTTTCCTGGGGTCCTGTAGAGGGCGGCCCCGTCCTTAGCCTTCCCCCGCCCCCGCGTGTGGTCTTCTGAGGTGCGTAGCGTCTCCCAGGAGACCCCGCCCGGCTCCCGTTTTCCGTGTCGTGTTTCTGTTGGGTTCCTTGGGTTGTTTCTGGTCTTGGCTCTCCCAGCTCGCTGTCCGTTTTCTGAGCCCGCTTAGCGATTTCAAATTTGTCGAGTGCGGACTGCTAACGGGCTCGAGCTCTGTGCGCTTATCGCTTTCGAGTGCTTGGGAAAAACTTTCGAAGAGTCTGCAGAGCTTCGGGGCCTTCCTTTGCCTCAGCTAAGTGGCTTAGCGTGAAACCCTCTCGGGCTTTCGTCTGTTTTTTCGGCCACTGCAATCCCGGGAAAGTGACGAACGAACCTGACCCGAAGGGGATTACTGCTGCCCTCCGTAAAATTTCTGGCTACCGAAAGAGCTTCTAGACGTCTACCGATATCACTTGAGACGCCTTCTCCCAAGCGGCTCCCTTCTCTTATTTTCTTCGCGTAGCAGTTTTTTTTTTGTGGCAAATTTCAAAAAAAGCCTCGCCGCGGGGCACTTAGCTGAGACAGATAAGGGGCCCCGGGCTGTGCGGATTTGTCGAAGGGTCTCTGCGAAGCTTAGCGGCCTCCGCGAGGGCGAACCCAATAGGCAGCCCGCTTCCCTAGTCCTATCGCTAGGACTTCTGTAAAAGTAGGGGGGCAGTTTCTGGGAGGGGTTTCGCGTCGTGAAAAGTGACCCACACGGGCCTCCTGCTGTCCCCTCCTTGGAAGGGTTCCCGAAATTGAGTAGGCCCCTCTTCTGTGTACCGCATTCGCACCCGAAGCGCGCTCTTTGATGGAAAAAGGAGAGGCAGAGCCTTCCCATTTTTCTTGGGGAAAGCCATTTCGGGCGGGAATGCAGTACACACCAGAGGGGTCTCACCAGCTCGGTGAGCGATTCCAAGAAGAGCCCGACGAGCTTGCGCCGGGTCGCTCCATCATTCTCCAGCGCCGGCCAGAGGCACCACATGCCACCACAGCACTGCGCAGGCCTGTGCTTCGTTGGGGTGTCGGTGCGGGCGACCGCGCTACCGCGTGAGCTTGGGCCTTGCTCACAGCGGCCACCGCGTCCCCGCTCCCCTCCAGAGTCCCCCCGGGGCGTTTCGCTTCTGCTCGTGGTTGCGTGCTGGATTTTGGAGGGGTGCGGGGGCGCCTGGACCGCGTTCGGCCGCCCTAGGAGCAGACAGGCAGGGCAGAGAGAGCCGCGAAACGCTGCACCAAAACCAGCAAAATCCCCCCCCTTTTTCTTCGCCTTTTTGGCGGCTGGTTTTCCGTCGCCTTGTTTTCTCTTTGTCTGCCGCAGCCGTGCGCCTCGGGCTGTTTTGAATTTTAGAAAAAAACTGGAAAAACTTTGTAAAAAGTTAAACTTCAGCGCGGCATCTTCGGAGCCAAATTTGAGGCCGGCTGGTCTGCTTCTCGCATATACTGTGGCTCTTTGGTTTTTTTTGAAGGATGTGCGCGACCGTTTCCAAAATCCACACCGCGCGGCAAGCGGGAAAGGACCGCCCGAAAATGCCAAGGAACTCAACCAAGGGGTGCAGGATGGGCGCGGGGGTAACTAATGTTGGTAAGCGTGGCGCTCTTCGACGAGGCTCTCCCTTGCTAAATACACTGCTACAAGCAGCAAGAGGGGCCGCCAAAGCAGTGCGCATGCAGAGTTAAGGCAAACGCCGAAGCCCCCGGCCCCTCCGAGAAGCCCTGAGCCCCCCACAAGCCCAAGGCCCTTACGCGCTGCCCCACGCCCTCAGATCGCATGAACAGAAAAGACGCCCAAAAACCGCAAACCCCAAGGCCGCACGAACAGAAGACCCACCCAAAAGCCGCAAACCCTGGAACCGCACGGACAGGAAACCTGCCCGAAAACCGCAAGCCGCCGGACTGCACGAACAGAAAGCCGACGCAAAAGCCCCAAGCCCTAGGACCAAACAAACAGAGAGCGCAGCGAAAAGCCGCAACCTGTAAGGCCGCAGGAGAGGGAGGGAGAAACTGCGCGAAAGCCCGAAGCCCTAGGACCGGAGGAAGAGCGGACCTACCTAAAAGCCCCAAGCCTTAGGGGCGCGGGGGGAGACAAGCTACCTAAAAACCCCAAGGCCCAAGGACGCAGGAAGGGGCAGCCTAGTCACCTAGAAGCCCCAAGCCTGAAGACCGCACGGGCGGAAGCCTATCCAAACGCCGCAAACCCTGAGGCCGCACGAGCTAGCCAAAAGTCGCAGACTTTAATACCGCAGGAGAGGGAAACCTACCCAAAAACCACAAACCCTAAGACCGCGCCAGTTTTTCGCGTCGTGTTTCTGTTGTTCCTTGGTTTGCTTCTTGTCTTGCCTCTCCCAGGGTCGGCGCCTCCCGCAAAGGGGAGCCGCGCACCATGCCGGGGGGCTCGTGTTGCCTTTCGGCATCGGTCATGGGCTAGCCGCAGGCGCCGCCAACACTTCGAACCCCCCTCGGCGCCGCCGTCGTGGTGTTCGTGGTCTTCCAAGGGTGCACCGGCACAGCGCGGGGGCGGACCTGGCCGCCGGCACCACCAGCGCCAGCGGCCGCGCGTTCGCTGGCCCAAGCGAGCCAGAAAACAACCACCAAAAACACAACCGCCAAAAACCCGACAGCCAAAAACACAACCACCAAAAACACGACAGCCAAAAGCGGGACCGCCAAAAACGGGACAGCCAAAAGCGGGACCACTGAAAGGGACACAGCCAAAGCGGGAACGCGTGGCCGCTTTTTGAGCATATTCAACAACCCCGAAACCCTCCGAAGACTGGCCGCGGTTTTCTATAGGAAAACAGGCCCGCGCGTCTGGTTTTGTCGGTTGCGTTTTTGGCTGTCGGGTTTTCGGCTGTCATGTTTTCGGCTGCCGTGTTTTTGGCTGTCCCGTTTTTGGCTGCCGTGCTCTCCCTCGAGGGCCGTTGGCATTTTAAGGCCACGGGCCTGGCACCCGCCCGCGCCCGTTGCTTGGTACACTCAAAGCGAGGCGCCCGCGCGGTCTTCGGCCCACGGGCATCCCATGGGGGCCCGCTGCGGTGGTTGCTGGTCCGCAGGCCGGGGCGCTCTCAACCACCGCAGCAGCCCAGGCGAGCGCCTGGCGCTGGGATGGTGCACCCTTGGAAGACCACGACGGCGGCAGGCGTGCCGGGGCGTGCTGGCAGCAGTGGTGCCGCCTTCAGCGAGCCCCGTGTAGATGCTGAAAGTGAACGCAGACCCGCCTGGTATGGTGCGCGGCCCCCCTTCGCGGGGGGTGCCGGCCCCGATTGGATAAACCTGGCAGCCGGTCCGCGAAGGGCCGGGGACTCACGCGGGCCGCCTCCTTCCCGTCCGTGATGTTTGAAGGCTTTCCCACTGTAAACGCACAAAAGCGCGCGGCTTTGGAGCAAAGGGCCACGCGTCCGGGCCCGCTGGCTCGGTTGTGTGCCTCCTGCTCCAAACCTGGCAGCCGGTCCGCGGTGGGTCGACGACTCGCGCGGAAAGCCTCCCGCTTGCAATATCCCCAGCAACCCGGGACGCCTGAAGACTTTCCCACGGTAAACGCGCAAAAGAGCGCGGCCGTGGAGCAAAGGGCCCCAAGTTCGGGCCTTCCTGCTTGTCCACCTTCCCACTTGCCCGCCCTCTCACTTTAGCAGCCTCCTACTCGCGCAGCCTCCCGCCTGAGTGCCCGCCTTCCAGCTTGTCAACCTTCCCACTTGCCCCTCTTCCCAACCTCCCGTTGTCCCGCTTCCAGCGGGAAATGCTTTCCCAATAGAGCGCCGCTGGGCTTGCACCCTCTTGCGAAGCGGGCGCAACTGCGACGCCAACAGGCGCCACCAGGCCGGTCTACGGCGAGCGCCTTGCACTCGGGCGCACGTGTGCAGCCCTCTGGCGCAATGCCGATCAGCCGGCGCACGCGTTAAACTGCCGGCAGGGTCCCCCAGGCGACTGCCTGTTCGCCCAACGCGGCGCGTCCACTGACTACGGGGCCCCCCGGGCTATTTGTGGCCTCCACGGGGGGTTTGACACTTTGGACGCCGCGGGCTGTGTCGTTAGGACGCTCAAGACGATAACCGGCGCAGCGGCTTTCGGCTTGGAGCAAGAGACCACAAGTCCGCGCAAGGTGGCCCCACTCTTGGCGCTACGGTCCGGGCCTGGCCGCAGTTTGCGCGTGATATCTCAAACGCGGTGGGCCGTATCGTTTAGAAAACCAAGACAAAAGCCGGCGCAGCGGCTTCCGCGTTGGAGCATATAGGGGAAGGCCCGCGCATGATTGGGACTCCTCCGACGACAAGTCGACACACCAACGCTTCGGCCCCTCAAAAGCTGTTCGGCTTTTTGAACGCCGTGCGCCGTGTTGTTGAGAAAACCTGGCCAAGACGAAAACCGGTCGCACAGATTGACGGAAGGGCGCAGCCGCTGTCTTGCCGGGTGGGAGGGGAATCTGAGGGGCTTCAGGTGCGCCTGCTCAACAGGGACACGCCGATCCCACCCGAGCTCTCTTGGAAAGGAGTCCCCACGAAGTTCCCGGAGGCCCTGCATTGGAGCCCCTCTCTCCCTTAAAACGGGGCGACTACGAGGCGGGAAGCAGAGCCGAGGGCGGCGGAGGAGGGCCACAAAGGTACTTGGGGTTGGGTAGCATCCCCGCGGACTTCTACCCGCGGACAAGCGAGTCCGGGAGCTTCTACAAGACGTTCGAGGGCTCCGGCGGAATAGGTTCCAAATCTCCTCCGATTTTAAATATAATTTTATAAACGGGATTAGAAGATGAAGACCACACTCAGCCAATCAAAGGAAGAGGCATCATTCGGTGGTGCTTGAGTGAACTGCGAATTTTTGATCATGATATATGCGCTTTGAATTCTGGCTTGATGCCTGGTTCGCGGTCCTGAACAAACCATTCTACGCTTTCTTGCCGTGGGGTGCTGCTACATGCCGGCACTGGACGCGCGGCTTGCCGCGCTTCTGGAGAGGACGCTGGCGGCGGAGAGCCTCCCTGCCGTGGTCCAGCAGCGGAAAGAGCTTCAGCAGCTCTTTGATCGGGAAGCGGGCCAAACGAAGCACGACCGATGCAGCCGGGACGAATTGAAGCGCTCCACTGCTTAAGTTCTTCTATTTACTTGACTTATGTTTATCCTCGCCGCCCCTCTTCTCTCTTTCCGTTGTAGATTTGTCACAGCAGAAGCTTTCCTTTTAACAGCATGGTATCGATGGATGAGTCCTTTCAGACATAGATAGGTTTCCTGAGAAGGTGACGGCAAAGAATTAATCATCGGCCGCTTTTTATCTAAGCCGCGCTCCTTTCCTCGTGGTGCCGGACTCACGAGATCGAGCTGGCGGAACAGGAGCAGCTGCGTGCGGTCGTAGGCAGCGCCTGCGCGGCATTTCAGACCTTCCTGGGACTCGATACAGAATGCGACATGCTCGCCCTCAACAAAGGGATGATGGCCACCGTTACGCTCTGGCTGCGGAAAGCACAGGGACTTTCACCGTACGAAACCCGAGAACCATTTCAATTTTTGTCCGGCGCCTTCTCCTCATTTACAGTGAGGTCAGCAGTTGTTGAACTTTTTGTTATTCCGATATAATGGAAAACTTTAATATGCCTCCTTGTTGACCTCCTGCTGGCCCTTGTTTTCCCTTACTTTTGCGTTACACGTCAAACGCATGTCGTAAGTCTTGCCTCCTGTATGACGCTACAGAATAATCTTAGCGTTCACTTCCTCCTCTCCACAGCATGCCTGGGCCGCATCTTCAGCACGTCATGGCGCTAGCAGTAGCTCTGGCGCAGCCACGTGATAGCGACAAAATTTACGGCTCGGATGTATAATTCGTTAGCACACGACATCATTTTTTGAATTCTGAGAAAATGAAAGAAGGAAATGAAGAACCAACCGGTTGATCTACTCTAAAAAAAAGTACAGACCGCGGGAACCGTTAAGGCGATGCTTGAACTGCTGAAGATCGATCACGATCCGTCGCAAATACCAAATCGCGCGCCATTGGTTCCGCTGGAGGCGGTGGAAGACGCGACGACCGGTCTTGCACTTTTAATGGCGCGCAGCCGACACAAACGCGTTGTGAACCAGAATGGCGGCATCCCTCTTATTATCCCTATGACCCGCACAAAAGGATGTGCAAACGACGTGCTGTTGAGCATCTACTTCATCTTAGTCAATGGATAGTACGACGCAGCAACTAGTACTTGGTCAAGTGAAAGGAGCAAGAGTCAAAAACAATGTAGTACAGACTTGTTACTTAAGTTTTTCGACTAAGCGCGTTTACTGTAGGATTATAGCACTTTTTTTACTAGAGTCACGAGGTAAAAACAAGTATGTAGTAGGAGCTCTATTCGTCGGATCATGCGACGTCCTAAGACTTAATAAAGTACTCCTATCTTGTTTGACCACGACAACTTTTAATTATTCTTACTTGTTTGACCACGACAACAACTAGGTTCCCCCGAAGATAGGTAGCCATTCTCCTGTGCTCTCATAGACCACATCTTGAAGATACACGCGGACAAGCCTAGCGTAATCGTGGCCTGCTGTCGATTTTTGAGCAACTTTCAGGACAAGCAGGAATACCGTGACGTGGTCTACGCGCATGGTGGTCATCTCGCGTTGCATTATGCAAAATATAACACATCGTCGATCAAATAGTCCGTGCTCTAACTACCATCACGGAAACTAGTACAACGGGAGAAGAGATATGTAGCCATATGATGAGAATCGTAGACGATTCTGACTCTTCACTCATGATATGTAAACTTTGTTCTAATCCAAGTCGGCCTTTTCAACCGCACCGAGCAACGTGCTACGCGCCGTGTCGGGACAGCAAGTCACGGAGGCGGAGATAGAACACAAAGTGTTGAGCATTCGGACCGCATGCCTTGAGGCCCTGTGGAATTGCGTAATAGAAAACGAAAAAGTCGTGGAGATGATGTACATGGATGCCTTCCTGGACACCAATCTACCCCCATGCCTTTATGAGCAGATATTTTTTTCACCGACGGTATATAATACTTATTCTTAGTTTTATTTTAGAAGATAATGTCATCCCAGTCTCTCCAGGACAACCGTCTTTGCTTTACGGTGTTGTTGCCAACGACAAGAAATTACATCATGCGAAGAAGTAGAAGTTAGATCTCTCATTGTTGACTAGTACTACAAAAGTGGATAATATGTCTAACTTTTTCTGGGCTACCTGGAAAGAAATTGGGACTTCCAAGACAAGGTAGCTCGGCTCTTTGAATGCGCTTACGCTATACTTCGACGTGTTGCCAAATCGCAGAAGTGTCGAAGGTACTTTTTCTCGTGGACAAGGGTGTTGTTCTATGGATGAATGTTGTTGTAAATTCATAGGAAAATAAAGTGAAAAATAATCCAAGTGGATCTGTAAATTTTAAAAATGGATGAAGACCTTCTTTCACACAATTAGCAATTCGACTCGTTTTCTTTTTTTCGTATTTTCAGCATTTGTGTGGCCCTGCCGTATCTAGAGATGGCTCGAAGGGCATTAGACTTGTTTCCGGAAGCTCATGGCATGGCCAAGGAGATTACGGGGATGCTTGGCAACTTATCTCTGGTTAAGGCTCCCGGGAATCGATCTTCACAGCCGATACTCCTCGTTTTCTTCTTTGAATTCTGTGAATATAAGCTAAGAAGATGAATATGAATTTTACTTCGATTTCGAGCTCTAATCTAGATTTGGAGTGGCGCAAAGACGTGGTGTCGTTCGGGTTTATCGAACCCATCGTCCGACTCTGTGGCGCAGCACTCGAAGACAGGAAAGTAGCGAAAATTGGGTTCGCGGCCCTTGCAAATTTAGCGCACGAAAGCGAGAGTCGAAGGCAAATCGTGGAAGCGGGGGCAATACCGGTGTTGCTCCAAGTAGTCCGAAATAATCTGCGCAACGAACAAGTAGTGGAGTCAGCGCTTTCACTCGTCTTTATGTGTGACATTTAGTTGTAAAAGCACTGAAATGTCTATTTGCTGTGTCGTGTTTTTTGACATCAAATTGAGATGGCTTTGAAGTGGTCACTGGTGCCATGATCAGGGTCTACCAAAACAATATAATTTCGATCCCGCGGCTGCATTAAGCACAAAAGTTTTTCAACTATTGTTATGATGTAGTACCACGACACCATGCCCACCATATAGTTTTTGGTTTTCATATTTTCGCATTTGGCTCCGGACCCTGATTGTGCGAGTGAATTGCGGCAGCATGCTGCAGTGGAGATGCTTTTTGTGCTTTGTCAAGAACATCTTGACGATTTGTTAGTGTCGAAGCGTGTCTTAATGTGCTTCCGACGGCTTGCACAGGCTGACCCTCATGGAAGGATGGCGCAAACTATTCGAGGCGGCGACGATGTAGTTGATGAAAATGGGAAGTTTATGGCGCGGATTTTTTTTTCATGTGAATCCAATCTGATTTTTACCTTGTGTTTCCTTGTAGGTACGTAGATCTTCCCAATATTTTTCCCATAAGCAAACATTCATCATGTCTTCTACTTGTTTTTCCTCAGCCTAGTCCCTCATAGCTCGTAGTGTTGGCGTTTTTACGTAGGCTGTTCAGGGTAAAAGCCTTAATCGTTGTTGCGATTGAATTACGAGGTAGGCGTCTTCTACCAGCCGAGCCCCAGTACTGCTTTGCATTTTTCATACTACGCTCTTCGCAGATCGAAATGTTGAAGCAAGTGTTTAGGCGGCATCACTACGACGACACAGTAGCGAAGGAGATATGCTACCTGGTCTCGCTACTCAAAGTGGACCGCGCAACATTGTTTATGCCTAGATCGAGAAAAATTCAAAAAAAGGGAATAGCAAACCCGAAAAAAGGTGCCGTACTACTACTAGTACTACCCCATTTGACTATCCAGCAACAAGCTAGATCAGCGGGCACAATTCGCCAGGGATATCTTAGGCAGACTTCCGAATGGATTCAAGTCATCAGCCAGCCATCTTGTTTCATCAACTCTCCCCCTCTTCATATCTCTAGACCTTGGCGGTCACCTCGCGAAGGCGTTGGAGATACATAGTCACGATCGAGAAGCAACAAGACTCCTCGGCGATCTTGTGTCGAGTCTTCCAGTGGGCGACGCAGACCTCCTACAAAAGTTTCAACTCGATTGAACATTTTCTTTCGAAAATTTCTAATGCACGACTCCTCGCATTATACTTTTTCCTGACACCGGAATATCGACCATGATAAGACGTGAGATAGAGATGATATCATGCGATTTGTTACGACGTGTAGACTGCATTATGATAGGCGGTCGTGTATAGTTTGTGACCGTGGTGCGGTCGCAACAGTAGTTGTACAGCCACGAGACCGATAGATTCCGCAGATAGAAATTAACTCAACACTTCAAACACTATAAGATTGTGCAAGTAGTTCCTATTATTTTTTCACTAATCAAACGGGTTGTCCATGCGGAAGAAAAAGACCGTGTTGAAAATACACCAGCCATGGGCTTAGAGTTGGCCTGGGTGGAGCACATGAACATGAACCAGCCACTTTTGCAGAGGAAACTACATTAATAAGTTCTGTTTTGCCGGGAAGACGCGAGTCAGCGTTAAGAAAAAACGAACCCTCTTTCCAGTAGAGTGTTTATGGCGGTACGCGAATTGTGATCTCTCCTAACTACCTACTGAGAAAAGGTTCCTTGTCTTTCGGCGTCTCTATGTCGCGTTTGCACCCCATAATCGGAAGACGTATTTGTTTTGATCATTCTCCAAGCATTGAGGCGTGGAGTATTTAAGTACGTGTGTTGTTGAATCTCGATGCTGAAGTCAAAACTATACTGTAGAACTGCGACAAAGAGTCGGTTGCCCGATTCGGTCGAAAGTTGCATCTTGGAATCAAAAGAGATACAGACATACTTGCATACTTGTAAGCTATGGCATTGGAGAGAGCAAGAGAATGGACTCAGAGATTACACGTTTCCGCAGCCGGAGAGAATGAGAGAGAAAGAGAGATTTGAGGCCCACGTTTTTTTTCTGTTCCGCAATTCCCTGATTTTCTACCACCACCAAATTATTGTTTTCGATTGCTAATTGGTTTGTCTGCGCTGTGTTTCGTAATGAAATTCGAAGAGCCCCTTAGAGTCGCATTTGCTTGCAAGAACTATGTTTGGCGACACAAAAACAAAAATGTACTAACAGTTATTATTTGATCGTTGTCGTTCTCGTTGAAAGCATCTTCGAAGTTCCTTGTAAAAGTAATTTCGGTCTCGTTGTCAACATCAAGATCGTCCAAAGTGATTAACAGCACAACAGTCATTGATACTGAAATTTATTGAAGGTAGTGACAGACAGGATTTGCTACGGAAGAACGACGTTATAAGAATGGCATTCTCTGTTCCAAAGCCCGGGCCCGGGAGCCCGAAACCGAAGGAGAAGGCGCTGCGAGACACCAATGACAGGACACTCACTGCCGCCCGAAAAGCGAAACTCATTAGCCTTCAAAAGCGCGAGGAAATGAAAGACGTTCTCGTCAAGAAATTCGTAGAGAGGTAATAATCAGAAATATGTAGAAATTGTAGTAACATATGTGTAGTCGTACTCCACAAAAAATCCAGTGTAGAAGTTTAGATTCTGTTGCAACATGCCAGGAGTCTTGTTGTAACATAGTGGTAGGGATGTTTTTTTCATACCGCGGTGCATAAAATGGGAAAGAAACTTTACTACCATTTCGCACTCCTCCACAGAGTAAACGCTGACGGAACCTCAGCAGAAAAAAGAAAAGAAAACGAAGGCATTATTGATGCTGAGGTTGGAAATTTTCTGGGCACAGGCGCAATAACAGAGCAGAACTTGAAGCGGCTCGAAAAGAAAATACATAATAAGACAGGTAAAAATTTTTGGCCAGTTGTCTAATGTTGTTATGAGAACAACCGCTAAAAGTATCTGATCATAGAGGTTCTGTCAACATCAGCTTGCGGCCTTTTCAGTCACCAAAGAGAATAATGGCATGACCCATGAAAACTCACAGGCACACAAGAAGGGGATGCCGTGTCAGTATCAAACTATAGTGTGGCGCAGTCGTTGCAATCGCAGCGGAGTGTCGGCAGTGCCTCAGCAGCAGCAAATATGAAGCGAGATTGGAGGCTCCTGGACGACTACGCGGTGCTCCTATCACAGCAGGACGCATCAAATCACAAAAACAGTAAGATGTTTCTGAAATAATGATATGATTGGAAATACTTGAATAAAGGACGACGTTTATCTTTTTTTTGTCTAACGATGAACAAACTGTGTATCTGTAATATTGTCTTCGATTTTGTGAAGAGTCTCAACTTTTTATGACGTGCAAATATTCTTGTTCAAACAGAGCAAAAGACGGCGCAACGAAAGCTCTACGAGGACTTGACCGCGCAAATAGATGCAGCGAAAAGTAAAGACGATTACAAAAAGCAGGAGGACAAAAAGTACTAACTCATCCTGCGATCATTTCTAAGAAGTCATGTGATGTGTAACCGACCGCGTAGCGCGGCTAAGTGTCCTTAAAGTGCCGCGACGGGCTGCAACTGCTGCGGCTGACGTTCTCAAAGCGCTGCGACTGCCCCTTAGGCAGCTAAAGTGGTGCTATCACTACTTTCGTAAGTGACGAGTGTTTTAAGTAATGCAGCCACTCTTTATCAGACACTTCTTGATCTAGGGGAAGCGGCGCTGCACTTAAGGCCCGCCGCGCTGCACGTAAGCAGCCCCTCGAGGTACTTAAGCATCCCACCGAGGCACGTAAGGGACCCGCCGAGGCACTTAAGGGACCCGCCGAAGCACTTACGGGGACCGCCGAGGCACTTAAGGGAACCGCCGAGGCACTTAACGGAACCGCCGAGGCACTTACGGGCACCTCCGAGGCACTTAAGGGGCCACCGCCTTAGCGGTTTCGCGCAACACTTACGGGGGACCCGTCTAAGGGGGCATCGCCTTAGCGGTTTCGCGAAACACTTCCGGGGGCGTCGTCTTATCGGTCTCGCGAAACACTTAAGGGGGCCATCGCCTTAACGGTTTCGCGAAACACTTACGGGGCCATCCCCTTAGCGGCTTCGCGAAACACTTGAGGGGGCATCGCCTTAGCGGTTTCGCGAAACACTTCCGGGAGCGTCGTCTTATCGGTTTCGTGAAACACTTAAGGGGCCATCGCCTTAACGGTTTCGCGAAACACTTGAGGGGCCACCGCCTTAACGGTTTCGCAATACGCTTACGGGGGCGTCGTCTTATCGGTTTCGGGAAACACTTACGGGCGCCATCGCCTTGACGGTTTCGCGAAACACTTAAGGGGGCCATCGCCTAACGGTTTCGCGAAACACCTCAGGCGGCATCGCCTAACGGTTTCGCGAAACACTCAAGGGGGCATCGCCTTAACGGTTTCGCGAAACGCTCGAGGGGCTGCCGCCTCAACGATTTCGCGAAACTCTTGCGGGGCTGCCGTCTTATCGGTTTCGCGAAACACTTGAGGGGGCCATCGCCTTAACGGTTTCGCGAAACACTTAAGGGGCCATTGCCTTAACGGTTTCGCGAGGCACTTCAGCTGCCACCGCCTTAACAGTTTCGCGAAACACTGACGGGGGCGTCGCCTTATCGGTTGCCGCTGAAACCATGGCCGCACCACTCAAGCCAGCGGTCGCTCAAGTAGTGACCGCGCCACCCAATCCGGCGGCCGTTTAGTTAGTGACCGCATCACCTGAGCTGCATCCCGCTGAAGCAGTGACTGCACCGCCCAAGCCGTCGCTCGCTTAAGTAGTGACGGCACCACTTAGGCTGTTGCTCGCTTGGGCAATGACTGTACCACTGAAGCTGTTGTCGCTTAAGTGGTGACGGCACCACTCAAGCTGTACCTCGCTTAATTCGTGACTGCACCACTTAAGCTGTCGCTCGCTTAAGTAGTGACCGCACCACTTAAGCTGCATCTCGCTTAAGCAGTGACTGCACTACTTGTGGGCTCTCGCTTAATTAGTGACTGCACCACCTAGGCTGCTGCGCGCTTGAGCAGTGACTGCGCCACTTACGTTGGTTTCTGCGCCGGTAGTGACTGCACCACTTAGGCTTTTTATCGCTTAAGCAGTGACTGCATTCTTTCAGCTAGTTGTTCCTTAAGGAGTAGCCGCATCACTTACACCAGGGCTCTATCTGGATATATCATCATCACCTTGCCTCTCTGGATATACCAAAGGTATTTTGACGAGTCACTGAAGGAGCTCGAAATTTGGCGAGTAGCGGAAGCAGATAAGCTTGCTGAAGTGAAGAGAAAGAATATGATCGAGAAAAGTATGCGAGACGAACAGCTAGCGATGGAGAAGAGGATTAAAGAGGATGAACGGTAGTACCTCTAGCTACTACTAATTATAGAAGATGAGCAAATTTATACTTACCTGCTACTACTAATCATGAAGGAACCTGAAAGTAGGTACCGACTTCTAATTAAGAAAGATGCTAACCAGTTGAATACCATGAAGAGTATTCTACCAGAGACTCAGTGGAGACATCGACATAAAAGATCAACGAGCTTTTATACCTTCTGTATATGATTCGCATTCAGGTTACTCAAGGAAAAGCAGGAGAAGGATATCGTCGCGAGGATCCAAAGGGAGCTCGTAGAAGAGCAAGTCAAGCAACAGAAAAAGATAGAGGTACTCACTACTAGTCGTGACTTCATATTAGGACTGGACAGAGACTACCTAGGTTTGAATTGTCCGTGTGACTTAGTTCGCTTATCTTCAAGGACACAAAATCGCAACACTGATGTGGTACATCTAATAGATCTTTAATATGCCGTGGGTTCAACAACCCACGACCCTCAGAGTCGAGCAGGTGCCGGCGGAGCTCGATGCGCAGGATCCATAACCGAACCTAACCAAAGGCTCTACTCGTTAATCGAACATAGTAGATCCAGGTAGGCCCAAGAGCGCTCGTTCCTTCCCCCACACCCAGGACCAAAAAAAGCATATGGAGGTGGTATTCAAGGAGAACCAGGAAAACCGTGCAAAGAAGGATGCCGAGTTGAAAGCACAGGCGGATTACGATCTGAAGCAGATGAAGGAATACCAAGCTCTTCTAGAAAAGCAAGAGAAGGCACGACTAGCAGAAAAGGAAGCTCGTGCAGGACGACAAAAGGAGCTCATGGATAGGGTTTAACAACTTAACATTGAGGACTATCACTATTTTCCATTTTTTGTACTCCTTTATTTTTCTTACACGAGTACAGCACCAGGGCGCGCCGTGCTCGCTCATGACATTTGTTCTCGTTTGATGATCTGCTGCTTCTCCGTTCGAGAATCAATTTTTGGCATTTGATTTCAGATGAAAGACACGGTGATGGCACAAGCACAGGCGAAGGGGCAGGAGGACGATATTCGCGCAGCCAAACAGAAAGAGGAAGCCGACCTTCGAGCAGTACTTCTTCTTGATGATATCTAAATGCAGTTGTACTTCTACTTGTATGTAACTAAGAGAGTAGCAAGTATCAAATTATAACATGTAATTGTGTCTCTTAGATGAATAAGCTGAATCATGACAGGGACACACGACACATGAACATCAGAGTATAACATTATGCATCATTTGATTTCATCATAGAAAACAAGTTGACCAACAAAATCTTCATCTTCAAAACAGTTAGAGATCGCAGTGAATAAGCAGCAGAAGCTGGAAGCCATGCGAGCCGAGACGCGGGACTATCTCTTAAAGCAGATTGCTGTGAAGAATGATATGAAACAGCAGAGTCTAGAGCTGAAAAAGATGCAGGCAGGGGTGCTTGATGAGGATTTGAAGAACTATCAATCACAAGAGCAAAAGAAGGTGAAAGCCCTGAAGCTGAAAGCCTTTGAACACCAGAAAGAGCTGCAAGCGCAGATCAGGGAGAAGGAGGTACTGGAACGTAAACTTGTTACTATGATATACCTCTCACACGACAACGACCAGCCGGAGCAAACGAGAATTGTGATGTAGACAATGATCACAAGTGCGGTCCGCTTTAACTACTTTTCCTAATACATCACGCTAGATTCAAAAAGTTAAACTGATTTATTACATGAAAGAACTTCTAAAAAAATAGTGAGTGACATCAAGCAATACTAAAGGTAAAGAGTGACTTAGCTCCTCCTAATCCATTCTCTCTCACTCTCTGTTCCACCTAGGCCCGACCGAAAGACGTGGCCATGTCTGCGGAAGAGGAGAAGATGAATCGAGACTTGTTGGATCACGTCTGCAAGGAGCTCGCGCGATCCTCTGTGGACGGTATGTCGCCCGTTTCGGGGAAGCATTAAAGAGAATCCATCTCACTTCATCATGGTGCTTCAACAGTTACCATGTTATCGACATGGAGATTCAACAATAGTAATGTGATTGGCATTTAACAACACGTTCTTCGCTTTGCGCATGCTCCTCCTCTTCATCTTCACAGGTCCTTACTTCTTTAGTTTAACTAGGTAGCACGAGTAGTTATGTAGAAGGTGTGTAAATTAACAAAATACTAGACACATAGTTTCTGATTTGATTCTCGTTCTTCCAGAATATAGTTTGATTCGCAACAATTTGTCTAAACGATTTCAATCCACTAGTCGTTTCAGTATGCCAAAAGATATCAAGTGCCTGCGAAAAAAACCGATTATAAGAAAAACAATCTGAATCTTTTCTAACACATCAACAGAGTAGCTAGTTAGTAGAGAGCGACTAACTTCCACCAGTGCACGTAGAAGTTAGCACTAATATACACATAGCGATCATGTAAGTAGTTCACGCAGTTTCAGTGGATTCAATCAAAAGTGTTGGATACTCAAGCCGCCTACAGAATCTAGAGTTTTTCTGTGACTTAAAAGTTTTTCTTTGAAGACAAAAGTAAAAAATGAAACTTAAGAGATAACGTTTTGTACTAGACGAGATAATAAATGCCGATGCATAGACACACAACAATTTTTGCTTCTCTTGTTTATCAATGTGATGCGCACAAAAGGTGACTCAGTATAGGCCTGATAATTCATATGACTGTTCTTATTGGATCAAAAGAAAGTGACGGCTCTGGGTGGAAATCCAGAAACAATAGCATGTCTGAGTCAGTTGGTTGCTCGAGTTTTCCGCTTACTAGTGTGGTGGTAGCTTCTTCGAAGCGGATAGTAGAAAAATGTTTAACATAACTGGCGCATCCTCTAATGACCGGGCAGCAGATCCGACGGCCAGAGTACCCGCACAGAACTACTTCCAGCACCACTTCTCGACGCGTTCCTTCAAGGTTGAGCTTCAAAAAGACATAAAAGCCGACGACGCTGCTTTCTATTTTGATGCACAGCATGGCGTTCAAAGCATGGATGAGAAATATGGCGACGCTCGTTGTTGTTCTGTGCAGGGCCCTCTAGGCTTCCCTTCGATGTGCTGCTTTGTCTCCTGCTGACGAGCTGTCTGGCAGTGATGGCTTTCTTGGTTAACTCGGAACTTCCGACGGTGCCGCTTGCATTTCGTCTATCCTGGTGCACTGGGCTTCGTCCTGTGTACTTTTCCTCGCGTATCATCATGGTGCCATATGTGCTGGCAACTCTCTCTGAGGTGTTTTGCCTTGGTAGCTATGCAACACGCAAGCGCTTCCGGCGGCGTGAGGCTCTCGGGAACAAAGGCCCAGTCGATGAAGGTCAAGCATTGATGTGTAAGTTGAATGCGGATTGAGTGAATCTCCACGCTTTCCTTGCTAGATCTTTGCTTTTCGTCGTGTCTTGCTGTATCATCTCTCTGTCTCTCTCGTTTCTCGTTGGTGGACTCGCAATCATTTTTGAGTGATCTCTCTCGCTCTGTTAACTTGTCTGAGCACTATTGTTTGAGTGACCTAGCGTCTTACTTTATGATTGACTTCGCGTCTATGTACTACTAACTGACTTCGCGTCTTTTCACTAACTACTGACTTCGCGTCTATTCACTAGCTGGCGTTGCGTCTTCCCCCTATTATCGACTTCGCGTCTCCTATTCCCTTCGCCTGTTATTTGTGATTTCGTATAAATCTAGAGATCCTCATCTTGCACTAGTGCACTGGCGCCGTCTCGGGCATATGCCGGGCCGGCGCATCGTCTGCGAAAGGTAAGACTTCTCTGCGCCCACCCCAGCTGGTGCGCTGGCCCTTTGGCCGAAGACTTTGAAATTGAAAACTGCTGTTAGAGTGAAAAAACAAGAGCGATAGAACAAATTCCAAAACTTGCGTTTTTGAATTTTAAACGCAGTGTAAAAGACTGAATTGAGCTGCATCCACTTGATGCAGCGACTGTGTTTAATTGTTTACGAATAGAGCTGGTTTATTAGGTTGCGTAGTATTTTTGTTGCAGCATTTTTGGTATTTTCTAGACAGGTCGGTCCTCGCGTGCAGCTCAAGCACAGCTCGGTCTAGCGAAGTCGATTCTTTTTCGGCGTTTTCATAGTCGTGAACGCTCACCTCTCCGAGGCGAGCCAAATCGTATCCTAGCCTAAGTGAAGACGCTGATTCTTGTTAAAATCGACGACGAGCAAGTATGATGTATGAGAAAGCGGCGCAGGATTTGATGGACCGATGGCGGTGCAAACGGAAACGTCGTTTAAGACAAGTTGTTTGCTGTAGTAACACTGCGTTTTTCCTCCAGCATGGGTACACCAGGGCGAGAATTTTGAGAGCTCACAGACTGACAAGTAACTTTTTCGAGTGCTTACAGTGGTAAAAGATTCCAATCATGGGAAGCGTCTTGTTTGGTTTTCGGTGCAGTTGTGGTGTGGATTGATATAGAGTTCGGTGCGCACGTACTTGGAGCGCGAGTGAAGTTCGAGAAAAAAAGGAGAAAAAAAGGGCCCGAAAATGATGGCTCCCAAAATTGTCTTTGTCTCAAGGGTTTTTTCTGTACTACCATTTTTTCATGTTTCCTGTTCTCGCGCCTCTATCCCCGAAATCGAGGGTGAAACTGAAAACTTAAAGCCGCGTTTAAGTCTGGAGAACTACATTGAATTTGAATGCGTTACGTATGGCAATTGCAGCAATTCAAAATATTGTTTCAAAACAACTGTCCTTCCTCACCTATCCAATGCATCGACGAAGCTCTCCTTCCCCACTTATCCAATGATGAAAGAGTGGATCATGTGATTCCATGGTTAATAGTTCCAATGAATATTCGCCGGAAACAAGACGAGTCCACTTCAGCGAAACACGACAAGGCACTCTTATACGGAATCCGACAAGGCAGTAGACGTTTTGCACGCCATCTTGCGATCTCGATGGCCCTTTTGTTGACGGGAGTCAGTTCTTAATGTGCAGATCGCAGAAGTGATTTTGACGGATATTTAGTACTACTATTGTTGTCGTTCCATGTAAATACCGATTTAGAGAAGTTGAATAGACGAGGATTGCCGTTGCGAGTCGTGTGTAGGACGAGCAAGAGTAGCGACACCAGGCGTTCTTGACCTCTGCTTGAATTCGCAAGAAAACGTGGAGATTCGAATACAACAAAGTGAAAGTACCTGTATTTTCTCCCATCGGTGCAGGATTTCGTAGCTCTCGCACGCGAAGACGAAGAAAGGAGATACGAAAACAGCAACATAAATCATTTCAGAAGCCTGTCTCGCTTCTCAACAATGAGGGAGATTGACGCGGAGGCCTTCGCTGTAATACAACGAGTCCTGCATCCGCCGAAAGGGGCGCACAATTACGGCGAAGTTCCGTGGGACATGCAGAAAGTCGGATTCATAGAACGGTAGGTTTATTTGTATTCATGAGAGCCTTGTAAAAGCTTGTTCACCTTGTAATAACATAGAAATCCTGTTCGAAACTCGTAGAAAGATCTGGATCTCCTGTATCTCTATTTTCCCATATAAGTACTGTCGTTCGTTTGTGAGTTCTTCCTTTTCCTCTATTCACTGGCATGTTCTTGTGGAATGAGTGTTGTTTTTGACATGCTTTTGGAATTATATATTGGCATGGATGTCTATTTTGCTCTCCAGACAGAAAACACTCGTCAAGCTGCGGTGGAAACCTTATCTGGTGTGGGCGATATTATGAGTGTGGGGATAAATCAATAGTTTGCTAAATTCATCGGTCCATAAAAACAGACACCCAGACAACAGCCATGAGGAAAATAAAAGACAGTTAGTCTGTCATCCTCAGTAGGGGACGAAGGAAAGAGCAGCCAAGCTCAGAAAATAATCCCTCGTTGCGACGTATCAAGTACCCACTACGCCTCTAACGATAGCGGTCGCATCCTGTGCAGGAGGATATATGCAATGGGGAAACTATGCGGCAAATAGCTATATCAACTACGCGCAAGCATCCCCGTTTCGGTGGAGCCACTTGCCAGACATGTTCCTAGACATGATACCGAAACCACCAGAGGACAATTGGAATTAAGGCTAGTATCAAACTTGCTGGATGCATAGTAGGCTACTACTATTAGTAGCTAGTAAGTAGTTACTTTCGTGGTTATGTTTGGTTTTCAATGGATCTAGAAGTCGCGTCGTCGGACTTTGTAGCAATCTGGATACCCCAAAAGGCCTTACAACATATTTGATGACGATGTCACCAAGTGATAACAAATCAAAATTCATTAAGCTAGCCAGAGAGGCTGTAGGTAAGGTGACCGTTGGGATAGCTCTAATCGAAAACCGTTGTAGGTGACGTCCTGCCATACCTGGGATGCGTCGTAGGGGTGCCGTACCTGGTACAATTGCAGGAAGGAGAAAAGTGTTGTTGTTGTAGAAGCAATTTGTACTACAACTATGAATCTTTGTTTCCGTGACTAAGTGCCTGGTGACTTTTCTTGCGATGCACCTGCATTTTCAATTAACACCACCTCGCGCTAGGCACATCATCGTCATCATTCACTGGTGTCTCCCCTTTCACACGACAGGCAGTGATGGACTATTTCGTGGTACTTTGTACGGCGGCTCACATCTGGGCCAGCCACTGGGTCCTGAACGGAATAGCCGAGAATACCACGACCTTGCCTTCGTCGTTTGGGTATGAACGATGCCTGAAGAAGAGTGGCATCGAGCACGGCGATGACCACACATACGCCGTTGCGAATACCACAGGTAGTTTAGATCTTCTTGTAAGCAAGGCATATTTCTAGTAGAAGGTAGAGAGTCCTCCAACTCTTCGTTTTGAATCACAATAATTGCTATTCTAATTGTTCATTCTGTCGACAGCTGCAAATTTCAAGATGGGATAATATACACTCAGGTTCTTGTGCAGCTATGATGTGGAGTGGACACACTTTTACGGTGATTCTCTGCTTATGGTCGGTTACCCTGGGACTTGAAGATCAATTTCCAGCTCTCTTCTCGAAACGTTTAAACATTGGCAAATGGATCTCAAGTATATTTGTTAATACGCGTGTTTGATGCAGATGTTTTCGCCGAGTCGGAAGTCTACTGGTAAGTCGTGCATAGTACAGGATTCAAATCATCAGGATGACGCCCAGACGAAGTGTTGAGACTGAAGGCATGTGGACAACTTATTCATCCTATAAGAGAATATCCCACGATTTACTCTTTTCAACCAAGTTATACGTCCGTCTCTACTCGGGTCGCCACTGACCAAGGCAGCTAATTGTAGCTGCTTTTTGATTCTTGCCAATGGGCCAATCAATGCCTTCACCACAGTTTCACCGCGAGCTTTTCTGTTGTACGGAGTCACGGCTTTTGAGATGCTGATTATCTTAATCGACCACGGACACTACACTGTGGACCTCTACATCGCTTGCCTCCTTGGCTGGTTCATTTTCAGCAACGACAGGATGCTTTTCTATTTATGGTTGGGTGAAAGGTGAAAGTAGTGGGACAAAAGTATGAAGTACCGGCAATAAGCAATAAAGTACAGGTTTTTCACGATGTACTAGATCTAGTTTTGACTCAGTCGTACTCAAGATTTGGCTGAACTGGCCCTCTTCGTCCTCGAACGCCCCTCTCAATCCTACTACCTAGTGCTAAACTTCAAATTTACTTAGTAGTCGGCGGGCCTTCCTAATACGCAGCTGTCTCTTAGTTCCTTGCGAGACAATCGATTTTGTTGACTAGATACACATACCGCGTTTGCTTCTTCTTCATACACGTTCTACTACATGAATCCGTTTGTTGGCGAGATTCCCTACGAACGAAACGCGGTTTACAAAGAGTTGTGTTTGCGGAAAATCGCTTTTCTGTGCGCGCATGAGGGTGGCCTGGCATCATTCAGCGTAGTGGACGAGTCAACCCAAGAAAGCATTATGAAGCAGAGTCTTCCTCCATGAAAAATATGTTTTCTTTCGCAATCTATATGCCTAGGCTGTTGTAATCTTTCAACAAAAGATTTCTAGCCAAGAATCAGGTGTAAGTATGCTGTTGGACGTGTGATGGTGACCTCGTAGCTGAATCTAATCATAGTAGTCCTGATAGCATCAAGCAACTTCCGGAAGGCGCCAAAGCAAAACCTACTGAGGATCTGTCAGCAAAAGCATCACCAGGGAAGGCTTCAGGAGGTCCCGGCGCACAGTCGGGGTCTACAGTACCAGCGGGTGGAAGCTGCAGCAACACGGCAAGCGGAAAAGATAATGCCGACACCAGCGGCAGTATATTAAGGCTCACATACTTGATGTTGTTTGTGCATGCATACATGATTCTCTCGGTGACAATGGTATCTCATAGCGAATGAAAGCATGCATGATTCGTTGACGATCCATGGTATCTAGCGAATGAAATGGAATAGAGAGTGAGTTGTGGTTGTAGAGCTTTAAGTAAAGCGACAAGTGGACCTACCGTGGATCCGACAGTTCTTGACAGTGGAGCGGTAAAATTGGAAGTGGAGGACCCGGTGAGTGGCACCACCATGGCTACAGGCACCGCAATAACTTGCGGAGCTGCCATTGCAGGCCAAAGCACGACGCGTCGAGTCATTTTTAATCCTTGGAGGCGCGCAGACCGGGAAATGGCGAATTTTTGGACTTAGGGGTGAGAGTTTTCGTCCATGCCTTCAATGATTTTTTTGCGGTCGATGTGGCTCATGTCCAGGGATCTCTGTCGTCCACAAAGGTTATCATACTAGATTCCGTCCCTCCTTTATTCCAAGTAAAAATCGCATATCCTACTTCTACACAAAAACCGCGCCATCGGTGCCTCTTGATGGGTGCCTGAATGAAGAAACGATGAGGTATAACCCGAGACACATCTTCACTTCGCAAGAACTGTGGGGTAAGATGATACAGCCTCCTCTGTGGAAATCAGAGGAAGCTCCACGTATCGGAATTCAATCTCTTTGTTCCACCTGTTCATGCGTATCCTGCCGAAAGCAGCGACAAGGAAGATCCACTACGTAGGAACGCTAAAGAAGAGTACAGTCATGAATCAAGGTCAGAATCAATTTAAACTTTTCGGTGGATTGTTCTTCCATTCAAGATGTTGGCGATTTTTCAGATGTCGTGAATTCAAATCTGTTGGCAAGAAACGGAGGTCTAATAACTATTCACGTCTAGAACAGGTACATGGATGGATGGATGGATGCATGGACGGATGGATGTAGTTTGTAAATCACAATGTTCTTGAGTGCGGGAGGTCCGTCGTACTCTCAGATAGGACACTGCAAACGCTTCTTGTAGGGATCCCTTCTCTGCTTAAGAGAATACTCTGAGTTCTCAAAGGAGACTGTCCAGTTGTAAACAGAAGGAATGCTTTATCTCTAGAAGTTGAGACCTCTCTAAGGAGAATGGGCGATATCTTGATCATATTTTCCTGGCGGATCCCGCTGCCTATCATGTGACCCCCTTGTCAGGTATACAAGAATTTTAATACGAGCGAATTATAAGAATCTCGGTTTTCGATTTCACGACGATCATCAAGGTTTGTCACTCAGTTCGTTGTATTGTAGACGTTATTGCTTAGTAGAATACTAGAATTGATCATTTTTTTGTTTGCATTCATCGATGACACAAGTCGGAGTTGTTGACTCTTCTTCATCATCCCAACATGCAGGAAGAGCAAGCATGTTACGTAGCTCGTAAGCGCTGGAGCGACGTTCGAGGGTAGGGTGCTCCGAGCTGGAGGTGTTACCATCTCGTAGAACAGTAGTAACGCGACATCGTAAAAACTCTTCTTGATACAAAAACTATCTACCATCTCGTAGAACAGTAGTAACGCGACATCGTAAAAACTCTTCTTGATACGAAAACTATCTACCTGTGACAAATCAATTCTCTTTCGACCATATTCCGAAAACGAGTTGAAGATTCATTCCTCACTTTTTCGTGTTTTTTGATTCGGAAGACCTGCGCTCCTTATTAAGCAGAGCGTGCACCAAAATGACGTCTAGTATCGCACACTTGCCGCCAAGCCAGCTGCAGCTTGCAGCCCCCGCATCGGAGATTCGGTATTGGATTGATGCAGGGAAGGACGAAACAGAAGAGAGAGTCGAACTTCCAAAGGGTATCAACATACTACTTACTTTTTTCACAAAATGCAACAAACCTCTGTCCTGCACGGGCACGTTCCTGAGAATGCCACAGGTCCATATGCAGGTAATTCGGAGGATGGAATTTCCCTATGTTCAATTGATAAGCAACATTATTGATGCTATGAGCCTCGTGCCAGCACACTATGCCTCTTGTACAACACCCAAACAGACGACGAGGAGGTAGAGGAGCTTTTGCAGTTACCATTAGCGGCAGTGCTTGAGCGAACAAGAGAATTAGATCTCGAGGGCATGCAGAAAAGGACACTAGAGTTGAGTGCGAGCCTTTCGACACTAAACGCGAAGCTCAGATCAGCACGGGACAAGAAACCTGAAACTAGCAAAGTAGGAGCTCTTCAAGCAGAGCTGTGTGCGAAGGAGGTAGATTTTCAACACTTTGCTGTCCACAATGAAAAAAATCTTCTTGTACGTCTTCGGAATGATGGATCATGATGTCCTTACTATTTTACACATCATGGTTAGATCGAACAATGTTCAAAAATTTTGACTACTCTTCTATTTCGATTCTTTTCAATTCAGAAAATAGCCACTACTCGATGAAAGCCTTTTTCCTCTCTCCTCCCACACACAGGGTCAGCTCAAAAGTGTCCGTGAGAGGCACGCGCGTGATTTGGCGATGTTGCGACGACAGTTAAAGGCGAATTCTGAGGCTCTGAATCGTAGAATCGCACAGACAAGGCAAGACATTCTAGTCAAAGAGCGTGAAAAAGATGAGCTCATGGGAGCACAAGCGCATGCAGCGCAAATCGCATTCGAGCAGAACGCGCATATGCAGGAGGACGAAGAGATCTGGCAATAACTAGAGAAGCATAGGGCGGTAGTTGTGGTAGAACTCTGACTGACTCCATGGTTTGGCGATTAGTTTTCTTTTCATCGGAAAAGGCGAATGCATTGGGATGCGACCACCATCGTAGAAGACCACTGTTGATTTTGATTGCCACATTATCAAAGGCGGGATGCGACTACTTGCTGGTGCTTGGTGGATGCTTGAGGAGGTGCAGAAGCGTGGTGTAGCATCTAGTGGCATGCTTCCGCAGAGGAGGTTCATAAACTGACACCGTCAAGTCGCTCTGAGTCAGCGATGAACTGCGTCAACAAAACAGCTCTACTCCTGATGCCTCTTCCCTGAACTCGAAGCCACGTGTAAGTCCCTGCTCTTTTCCGTGCCCCAACATCATGCCTGTTTCATGTGTAGAAGAAACCCCTTCCTTCTGACAGGATTATTGAAATTTGAACATTTGTGTCCCTAAAGCGGGACCGTGGAATTGTATTGCTGCCATGATTTTTTTGGAAAATAGGATGCACGACGGTCGTCGTAAACTGACAGGCTTTGCTACAGTCCGCAACAGTAGATACCGTGTGTTCCTCTCGCCGTCAAGCAAGAATGGTTTCACTTCCTCTGCTAAGAAAAGCGGCATGCTAGCGACGATGTTTGTGGCGTCGGCAGTGTCCCAACAACTTTGAGCAAACCCTCATGTTGGTTGGGTGTTGCTACGTGAAATCTTTCATGCAGCCGAAAAAATACCAAGAAGATCCAGAACAATCGTACGTCCTTCAGATCCTTCAGACAGAGGCACCCAGAAAAAATGTTCCGCTCATGAAAAATTGTGCTCTGCAATCTCTCGTGCTGTTCATCCATCCTGAGAAAAGCTGCAAGATCTTCTTCTCGTCGGATGAAGATTGGCGCACCTACTTCTCCATACTTTCACCGATCCGGTTATTGTCCTGCAAGATAGACGCTGATGAAGGCGCAGCCGGATAACTATCGCTGCTTCGTCTTAGAAGATGTAATGAAGACCTGTTACTGTAAGGCAAGGCGAAGGGAGAACAAAGAGGCGTGGTAACTTGCACCTTGTCGCTGAAGCTTGCCTGCATAGCAAGCATTCAGCTGCACAAAATCATCGTAAAGTATGGTGTTGCGTATCTCCCGCGTGATGTAGAAAATGGAGGACGTTTTTTTTGTTTGTGATCGCTATGAGAAAGGATAAAATTTTTAGCTGCGCTAGTTCGAAAATTGATGATTTTTATTTGTCTATCTTTTGTCCTTACGTAAACTTTGAGTGTTTAGTCACTTTTATCGCACCCTTGCGCGGCTTTTCGGCCTGTACTCTCTTGTTGCTGTTTTTGGCCCTTACTTTCTCGAGTAAGTAATTACTATGTTGTCGTTCGTAATCAAAATACTTATATTGTTGAAGAACAGACGGAAGATATCCAATACCTGGATACACCTCAGTGTAATAAATTTCAAACCATCTACGAACGTCCACACTTAGGTAAATGTTGCCCACGCCTGTGGAGCATGTCAATCAATCACTCACTCAATCAATCGGTAACCTTGTCAGACACAGGAAAAAAAGCTCTTTCGCTGAGTGGTGACGCGAAGTCTTTCTCTATATTAATTCTTCCAGTCCGCTGTTTCCTAATCGGTAAGGAACCGCTTGGTATTGGTATATATTGTGTACTATTGGTTGCATTTGCTCGCTCCTTCGATGTTACTATTTATTACCGTTGTGATAGAAGTAGATTGCTCCTACCTCAGATATTATTCAAGTGTGCTTATCCTACAGGAAGTGGTTCTTTTGTACTTAGATGTATGTGGCTGTCTTTTTGTCGTTGTATACTTGATAGTGAATATTATCAAAACGCAGCTTGATTCGCGGTATTGCTTGATTATGGAGAACAAACTTAGTACAAAAATTTGATGGGGCGAAAAATGATCTAGGGCGGAGCACGAGTCGTGGCTACGTGATCCTAGCATTGTTCAAGAACTGCCCCAGAGGACTACTTTTCTTTTCTAGTTTTAGAATTGAAGAAGTTATATGCTGATGCTAGAAGATATATCGCGGATAAGGAATATTAACTATCGCATATTCATTCTCGCACTACTAGATGAAAAGCCATTTTGTATATTGAAACGTCGCACCAGACCCAGAGTAGAAAGCAGTGAAAAGGCATAAGGGTGATAGGTGAGTGAGAATGGAACTACTCAGAACTCCTGCATTACCTAGATTTGCTACGTTAGAGGCAACTACGTTATAGTTGCAACTACTTTTTTAGTTACAGTCAGTGTTTGTAGTTTGATATGTTGGTGTTCTACAAAATGAATGAGGTGGCGCACTAGGTGTACTGGACCATGTGGAACTAGAACAAGTTACTATATTACAAAGAGCATTCAAAAATTGTGTTTCGCATGACAAATCGTAGGGGTTTTCATGCGCTACTAGAGGTGGACCATTCAACGTTCTTGCAGTATGTGTTGTACTAATTTCTGGTCAGTACGTAGAAGTTGTTGATTTATTATGATGAGCTACATTGGTGTATAATCTTTCACATATGAGAAAGGTGAGCAACGCGAATGAACATCAACAGGCTCCACCAACTACTATGAACAACAAATAATGATCAACGAAAAACAAAGCTCCCTCGTCAAATCAATATGCTGAATTGAATTCTGGATCTTTTCGGATGCAACGAGGAATAAGATGAAATAAGTTGGACTGCAACCACGACATCTCTCTGTGGTTTCGGTGCGGCAAAGCGTCGTTGGAAACCAGACAGACATGCCCTTGTTAAGCTGAAGAGGAGGGATTTGTTGTCACTGCCGCAAGAACGCTGAGAAGAACGAACCACTGTAGGAGAATCTTACGCTGCCAAGAGCTGAACTAGAACCCTACGCTGCTGCCAAGAAGAAGAACAGCAAGTTAATCTTCATCCAACGACCTTTCTGCACCCACTTTTACATGCTGTGATTGTCGAAAGAAGAATGTGAAGCAGGACGTACCGCACCACGATGGATTGCTAGATCTTCATAAGTAGATCTTTTACAACTACGACTAGTACTACTACTACTAGGACCTCCAAGCTGCAAGAAAACGAGTAGGCTCTTCATGACGTTGTTGACGGCAACAATACTAGAGTGGTTCATGAGCACACGAAAAGAATCTTCACGCCTGCTGATTTCGTAACAACCTACGACTCTGCTTTAAGAATTTATGGCATGTGCTTAGTACATGGAAAAGTCATCGGCGATATGCTGAGTAGATTTGATGTTGTAAGATATGTGTCCACGTGACTTTGCTTGCTGAACTGAGAGTAAGATCTTCGAATCCGGCTCGATTACTTGAGTTGACAACCGGCTTTAACAGTAAGCGACAACTCCAACAGTGTTGCAGGGCGGCTTTCGTTTCTAAGAATTTGCATGATAGTGGAAATATCTTTCGCCGACGCACTAGTTTGACCAGTCTCGCATGCACTTTGCAATATGTTGAGGATCGCAACCGCTGCGTCACTTGCGTAACCTTAAGGCTACCACGGATCCATCATCTCGATGGAGATCCCTGAAGGCTTAGTGTCAGTAGTATCCGGGGTGAAAAGAAGGTCTTTCCGGCATACTAGACGTAGAAGTTTACGGGAAGAAGAGCTACAGGGATCATACGAAAACGGGATGGGTGTGTGGTACGTAGCGCTAAGTATGAAAAACTTCGGAACTGCTACGCATCTTATTCAGCGCATATCTATTTGCTCCGTGGCAAGGATCAGGCACAAGAACAGGGGATAAAGCACATCTGCTTGAGTCACAAAAAGAAGACCTCCTCCTGAGTACAGGGGACAACAACAAAAAGTGTCGGCGACACGGCGCTTCTATGAGCAGCTGTGTCCTGCTAAGGCCGAGAAGCTAGCACGCAACGTGCGTAGTTCGAAGAATGGCGCCACCCTTTCACCCGGCATCGAGACGGCGGCGTCAGTCGCGACTGTCTCATTAAGGCATGGATGACATAAGTAAGTACTTGCAAGAAGCTTCTTCTTTTTTACCTATTGGGCTTTCGATAAAAATGTTGTATATCTCCAGACCGTCTGAGACGAAAGTTCGTTCCTCGGGTATCTGCCTAACTCCTAGAATGTTCTTAATATTTAGAAAAACCGATGAATGACAACTAAATTGTTTAGTATAGCAACGATGCATGAACAGCAACTAATTAGTATAGAACGTATACTCCGCGATCGGGTACACTACTACTAATACTACGATGAGCCTCTCGTAGACCACAATCTACACGGCGTCCCCTACCAGCTCGGTAGATCAACGTTCATCCATCATCGTCCATGTTGAATTTTTTTGTTCCGAACAGGCAATAAAATCCATCATCATCGATCAATTATCTTCACGGGGCCACTCTTCTACTTCTAATACGGGGCGCTCAAGCGAGTCGTCTTTCTAGCAACTGTAAACCCAGTATCTGCAGTGCGCGTTAGCTCTGGTATGCCACCTCCTTCGTTGCCCTCGTTGTCCAGCTTGGCGATACCAATCAAGGACATCAAGGACCACAGGTCACAGCAGGTGAAACGGTCAATCACAGACTCGTCTGTAGGGTACTTCATGATATTTTGAAAACTTCGTGTTGCCGATAGTAGAGAGCGACTATCTAAGACGCACTGCTGACGTCGAAAGGGCTTTACTAATGAGGTTGTGAGACTGTTTATCGATGATCAAGATGCATTTTATCAGTTGTCTAGGGGCTGGTATGCTAGCCAGTGTTGGACTTCATGGAATGGAATATGACTCATTTCATTTTTGACCCTTGTCAGGTGTATCCAGAGTCAAGCACCTACTACAGTAGGAACCGGCACGACAAGCGGCGCGACGCCTGCTAGTTGCGTAGGACTAGGCGCTGCAGGGTGTCGAGGTAGTGACCAATATTATTCCTTGTGCTATGAATTTACTATTTACTGATGGCCGGTCCTGCTAGCACTCCTCAGGATATTTTTGCCGAACAACTCTGGTGAGGTAGCTTCATGCTCTTGATATAGATGAGTGGTCTACGAAGCGCACCACGTATCCTAGAGCGGTGTTGATCTTTGTAAATATTACGTAAGCACAATTTATTAGATAGGGCTCCACCACAAACACAATGTAATGGATAAGATCACATGACCAACCACCCCAGATGAGTTAGAAGCGCCGAGAAGTCCACATGGATCGGCTAAAAACGGCGATGAGGAAGGATGCGACGACGAGGAGACAAGCCCAATGTACCTATCAGTCTGACAATCTTGCTAATGCTGTAGATATGACTATGGGGGGAGTAGTACGATTATGTCTAACTCTTAGTTTTTACGAGTAGATCCATCAAGAATAAACCATCGATGTATACATTGACCTTCTGGGTAACCACAAATGATACCCCTGGAGTTGGGCTCTTGTTCGTTATCATTGTCATGATTATTGTCATCATCGTCGTCGTCGTCGTTCTCCATGTCCATCTGATCTCAGGAGCGTTGACGCAGGCGAGTCGGGTGACCCCTCTGGTGCATTGCGAGGCGATTGTGCACAACCACATATCAGGGACGACCGACCAGCAGGCTATTTGGCACCACTGATTGGCGGCGAAATGCGAGATTCAGGTATTTTATCCTACAGAAAGAGTGTGATGGTTGGAGTTTCGCACTCTTGTCTTTCTCTAAATGCTACTTCATTTACCTAAGAAATTTAGATTTCAGTTCCTACTTCATCTGAATATAAGTTAACTCAACCACATGGTGTCCCACCCTTTAATTTGTTTTTATAGGCCAACACGATTTGCCGGCCCCTGACCAATCGCAGCCTAGTCAATTACCGGCAGCTTCAAGAGAATGCGCTACATCAGGTGTGCACCGGCGGCAAAATAGCAACTGGGACGCAGGGCCCGGAGCACCTCAAAACCAGGGCGAAGATGTCATCATCCTTAAGGCGGACTACCGCGTTGCATTTCTAAAAAGCATCCGCAACTCACCTCTCCTCCAAGAAGCATAATGATGTTCTCCAAAAGATCACTAGGTGTGCTCCTAAGTGACTCCTAGAACAAATCGTCAACAACCACATCGCATAAGCCGACCCCTGGCTGCTTGCACGATCAACATCCTCAGCATACCTCATCATATCCTTAGCATCCTCATCCTCATCCTCGCCATCTCTAACATAAACGTCAGCCCCCAGCTGAAAAATGAATGGGCTCCTCCGGAGCGGGGAAAGCGTCCACCTAAACTCGACGAACTAAGTCCGCTTATGGCTCCTACTTTTATACGCGTGACACATCATTTTTTTCGAAAGTGATATTTTTTCGCCAAAGAGGTGATATTTCATATTGACATGTAACTTTAGTGGTTGCAAAACAGAGTAAGCCTGCTGCACACCTAGCCCGACATGCCACAATCGGCGGGGGTGACTGTGAAGGCTAGACATACCATAGTCGACCGCAATGACGACAATAGCCTAATACACACAGAGCACAAAGAAACCCGGCAGGATCGTCCGCGCCGCCCGGAGCGCATTGATACAAACCAACAAAGTAGGAATTTTGGTAATAATGTGAAAGCCAAAAAATTTAATGAAGCTAGTTTTTTGGGAAACGTTTTCTAAGTTTCGAAGCAATCTGTTCTACGGGGTAGCCGGCGAACCGATCTCAGACGAGGACGTGCCGACCGACGCTGCCTATCAGCCTCGGAATATGTCCCTTTATGTCATTCTGACACGTTTCTCCTGGACTACATGATCATGTTCATAAGATCAAAGAGCAACTACTGGGGAATAACTTTATAACATTATACACTATTCGTATTCTGAGCACTGCATCCCCAAGTTGTGCTCGTCTGAGATTTTTAAAGTTCTCTGCACTAGATCTAGACAATTGCAAATCAAATACAAAGTACAACTAGTGTAAATCCTGATTGATTATCGGCTGGTCGTAAGACCATAGAAACTAACAACTTTGCTATTCAAGGATGTAAACTAAATAATGAAACTTATTGGTTCTGAGAAATAACACACCCAGCACACATATGTTGCCTTTTTTATACTTTTTCCTTTCCGCCTTCCCTAGAGCTCTCACGCATGGCCTGTTGAGCTTGAAGAAGACAAGATGACTAGCACGTCTACCCCACGAATGATCACACTGCTACTACTACTACCACTACTACTACGACGAGCTTTCTAAGGTCAACGAAATGGTACAGCGCAATTAGGCAGTTGGCTGAATCCAGAGGTAGCAGGACAAGCAGGCCCGTATCCATCCGGACCGGTTTTTGGTCTCGGGAGCCGTGGCGGTGGTAGTGTAGGCTCCACGGACACGACAGTGAGTAAACGTTTTAAAATTAAGGCTACAGTAAATGCATCTTTCCGGGCATCTTGGTCCCGTTTCTCAAGAAAAAACGGGCACCAGAGCATCTTTTCGGGCGTCTTGGTCCCGTTTCTCAAGGAAAAACGGGCACCAGAATGCTCATGCAGATGGATCATTGATGATGGATGTTCTAAGAAAAACGCGAACGGTGCAGCGACCGTGAGGAACAGCACTAATGGGAGCGTGGCTGACGGGGGCACCCCTGCGGAATGGCAGCTATCAGGACGTAATAAATAGATACTACAGACTTTGCCACATGAGAAACCAATATTCGCACCACATCTTCAAATGTCAAATAGCGAGAGATCATGAATCAAGGAGATTTAGATTAGAGTAAGAGGAACAGCAGTTGTATCTTCGTGCAGCCGAGTAGGACCTTGTATTGTATTTCTTTTCATCTCACCTACTTCAGAAGCTGGAACAATCCCAACGGCGATGTCCTTTCAGAGTGTGCGTAGTCACGCACCCACGCCGAGTAGCTGCGGGCGTGATACACCGGCGCGCAGGGGGAGCAGCTTTCATGAATACGGCACCCCAGCTGTCCCTGGCATGGGGCAACATACAATCCTGAGACAGCATTAAGGCTACTAATCTATTTCAGTTTTTGTTTATTCAAGATAGTTATGTGGCAGAATTTCCTGGATGAATACAGGGTAAAAAAAGAATTCTTTGAAAATACACTACAAACAATTGATTTACTTACAATCGCGATTACCGTACACACCTGCTCTGAACAAGTGTCATATCATAAAACACGAGACGCCTAGCTCTCAGATATTTGATAAAGCAGCGCTTTTTTTAGATGGAGACAGAGGCATGGTTTACTACACGGCAAGCGTATAGTCCTATGGAAAGAAAAACACGACATGCCGCGAGATTGAGTGCATTCATTCGCTCATTGATTCATTAAACTTTTCGGAAGGTTATGTCATGGCTGTTGAAAGTGATCAAGTTCTTCTAATATGTGGGACATCACCCCCACCCGGTGGCTCGAAGCAGCGATGTCGATGGCGGCGAAGACGTCAACGTGGAAGGCGAAGAGGGGGAGGAAGATCGCTCTAGCGGTGCTCTTCAGAGATTAAGGCTCCTTTATTCTTGTTTAGATCTTTTTAATTTGTAGGCTAATCTTTCTAATTTGTATTTAATTTTCCCTCATGTGCCAGGTTTGACTAATTTGTAGGCAATAAAGAAAAACTCAGCTTCAACATTGCCCACACTGTGGGGGCGAGACAAGATGTTGTCGTGTGAAACATGCGCTACTTTGCCGCAAGCTCTAAAAAAGAAGATGGCCGTTGAAATGGGAGAGACTCTCCAATCGTCTTTAGAGAACTTAGCAGTGCAAGAGGAAAAGCAGTTAAGAAGAAGCAAGACTACATCCCATAAGATAGTCGTTGTGCGAGCATTGACTACTAATTCCCCGACTGATTGAAGTAGCGAGTAGGAGGTAGTCGATAGAAGAAGTCGCTTCAGCAATTCAGGTTAGTAGCCTTGCCGACTTGATTGCACTCAGCAATGGCGTAAATTCATTCATGACAATATTTTAGATACATATTTCTAACACATGAAAATAGTCTGCAAGATGAACGTAAACTCATCATGATGACTAAGCAGACTCCGTAGCACTTACTAGCTTCTCCTAGTTAAGAAACAAGGCAGATCCTGTTATCAAATGCCAATGCAAGGTAGAAGGTGTCGAAATGCACTCAAAATTGATATCCTGCTCTAAATCAAATAGGGCCTGCGTTGTTCCCCTTCGCAGTGACGGAGAAGGGAGAGAAAAAAAAGATCGAGAGAATCACTTTCAGCAGCACAGGCGATGACGCTCGTTTTCAAAGTACCTCTTTTTTCAAAGTAGAGGCTGCCACAGAACTTAAAGTGAAGCAGTTTCCTCGCAAAATTTAATTCTATCATAGTTGGTAAATATTTCTATTTGAAGATGTTTATGAACACAAGTTCAAGATATGTACCAAGATAGAACAACAAAAGCTGACTATACATCCCGGAGGTCCTTGCATCGGCATGCACATCTTTGCAAAACATCAAAATTTCCAGGTGGTCAAATGATGGGAGCATCTTTGTTAGCGTGGATCTTTCGGGACCTGGTAGGAGAAAGTTGCTATGTGGTGTGGAAAATTTTTGACGCGCTGTTGCAGACTCACTTGCCCGGCCGGGGTGAACCGATGCGAGTGATCGCGCAGATAGTAGCTTTGAAACTCTCCATGGTTGCCGCGGATATACCAACTTCTAGGTAGAACTTAATAAAACTTCAATACATGAATTGAGGTACAACACTAATATAACTTTGTTCTTGAAGTGTTAGATGGAGAGGAGCCGTTTCAAAATAAAGGTACACTTAGATCTTTTGCTATTGTCTTCCTGATAAGGCAAGAAGACAATAGCAAGGGCACAGTTACATCTTCAATACTCAAGGCAGTCTCAACAAGTGTATCTTCTCACTCCACTCCGACTATATTTTTGATCTGTATGATAATTTTTTTTGCTGAAAATAACTGTCCTAAGTTTTATTGAGTAATAAATACTAGATGAGTCATCTGGTAGCTCGTGTACAACGCGAGTAAGGCAGGAAGGAACATCAAGGCGCATGGATCATTTTTGCGTTTTGATATGTTTCCTTTAGCCGAACACTGTGGAGGACTTCTTCCACTTCACGCAGCGAGGGTGATGTTTTGAACAAATCACAACAGGCGGACGCAACGAAGCAATCCTCCACAGCAGGCGGTTAAGGCTGCCGCAGATGCATCCTCCTTTGACATCCTCCTTGGCTCTTTTTCCATAAGATTGAAAAACGAGAAGCCGCCAAGGAAAGGACGTACGCCCAGGAAGATGCGACTGCAAAGGTTCTAAAATAAGTGGGAAGAAGCCGTTCATGGAAAGGATGTGGCGCAACGGTACTTTTCCGTAATCTAGGACCAGAAATATGCATCTTACAAATTCCGCATGATGCATGGTTCCTATTCTGTAGTTTTTTACACTTTGTGAAGAAAGGATAGTACATCGATAACTAGGGTAACACACTAATCCTCCTCCTCCCCCTCGTACTACCAAGTACCACCGCAGAGGACATTCCATGGTCAAACTAATATCCTGTCTTCGTTTCTTAGTACCAGCGGATGAAATTAGCAAGACCCGTATGAGTAAGAATATGAAAGCACATAAAATACGCATCAACGAGCTTGATCCGATCATCGTTCCGGGTGTCTTTGCGTTAAATTCTCTATCAACTGATTATTCTCCTCTCGGCTTAACTGATCCTTTTTTCGAAATGCCTATTAATCTCCTTTCTCCAGACGACGAGGGTAGAAGGCTCATAATGCATCCGGAGCCCGAATATTTTCCGTACGCAGAGGCAACGCAAACGGTCATTTTTCGAAATCGCGTGAGAGACGAACTCCCCTTCCTCGGAAAACCCGTTCCTGGCGTGCTCACGCAAATCGTTGAAGCCTTGGAAAGTGCTGAGTCCTGGGAAGGTACTGCTGCATTTGCTTCTCGTCTTCATGTTTCTCTTCAACATCTTGATGATTTAATTGATATCACGATCTATCTTTCTAGCTATGTATCTACTAGCCTCCACAAGCTTCGCCCGGCTTCAAGTTTAGCACTTTTCTGCGGCCTCCCACGGGCTACAGCCGCTAGAGTAGAGACAGCCCGCGGGAGAGCTGTTGCACTCTACGAATTGGCGACGACAAGAGCCGAGTGCCGGCGGTGGCCGACTCAGATGCGTCGACGCGTGGGCAGGGGGGGCCTTCGGTTTTTTTATGGGATTGCCGAGGGGTCAAAAAAACCAGAATAGAGCCGCCAGACACTCACAAGAATCAGCCAGCCCCAACGCGCCCAAACGCCTCGCGGTGGCGCCAGGCAAGAACGAGGGGCGCCCTTGACGGGTCAAACAAGAAAAAGCAACGCGTGGCCGCGCTGCTTGGGTCTCTCTACGTGCTTAAGCCTGGCGCCGTTTCTTCCTTGTTTCGGCAGATGTCTCTCGTCAGAAACAGACCGGCGCACTCCGCGGGGGCGTCGCGCTTCGGGCTGTGGCTGAAGCCTCTCGCCTGGCTGGCGTCTTTCGCCAGGGTGGAGACTGAGGCCTTTCATCAGGCTGATGCCGTTCGTCAGACCAACGAGCTGCGCCGGGCCGGCGGCTTTCGTCGGGCAGGCCGGCGCCCTTCGGCAGACGTCTTGGGCCAGGCTGAGGCTTTTCGTCAGGGCGACGCTTCTCGTCAGGCTGACGCCTTTCGTCAGACTGACTGAAGCGCTTCGTCTGGCTGACATTCTTCGCCGGGACAAGACTCACGCCGTTGGTCAGGTTGATGGCTTGCCTCCGCTTGGCGCCGTTCGTCAGGCTGATGCACTTTCTGACCAGCCAGGTGGCGCCTCTCGCCAGACCGGCGCACGGCTTCGCCAGGCGTCTGCCTTGCCTCGGAACAGTCGGAGCAGGGCTCTTCTTCGGGTTGCGGATGTCTTTCGTGAGATTGATTCTGTCTCTCGTGAGATTGCTTCATAATATAAATAAGGAATATAGATATTTAGATTAAATAACATAGGTTGATAAGATAGCCTAAGAATATAGCTTAAGAACATAGCTTAAGAATATAGCTTAAGAATATAGATTAAGAATATAGATATGATATAGATTAATAGCTTAGCTTAATGATATAGATGAATAAGATAGCTCAGGGATTTAGATTAAGAATATAGATTACTAAATAAGCTAGATTTTTTTTTTTTGTGATGTTTTTTACCTATCAACTTATAATGATTCCCGGCTGGTCACCGGGGTCCCATTGGGACAACATTACCGCGCGAAACATCGAGCGATGACCTGCGCACTCCGGTACCCGTGGACGGGCCGGGGCTTGGGTCGTGGTTCTACGCTTACGACCTGGCGACGTGGATAGAGGAAGGCGGGCGCTGCACTCCGTCGCAGGGAACGCGCACACGCTAGCGAACTGCGACGCGTCGTTGCTGCCCCTTCCTGGCGTGCGGTGCCCATGCCTGGGCCTTCGGATTGTGGGCGAGAGACTTCAGCGCGAGCCTTCGCGCGTGCTGGCCTGTGTTGGCTTCGGGGCCCCCTCGGCTTCTCTCTCCCTTGCGCGGAGGGTCTCCACCGGTCTCCACCACACCACTGCCGGCCAGGAGTGGCGCCGTCTTGGCGTGCTGCCTCTGCTGCGTGAGCGCCTCGGCGTCTAGAAGGTGGGCGCCAGATTTCACTGCGTCGCTTTATTTGGTCTTGGTTTGCGCTACTTGGTGGGTTTACGCTTATACGGGACTGCGGGTTGCGGTCTGTGATGCGTTGGCTTTCGGAAACTATATGAGCGAGCGGCGGCACTGTGCAGGGGTGCCGCCGCTCCCTCCTCGCGCACTTTGTGCAGGCCTGTGGCGGTCGTTGAGCTTGCGCTCCGAACTACGACGCAGCCCGCCGCGGGGGGGGGTCTGGTGCTTTGGGGCTGCCTTAGCGCAGAGCGTCGGCCTTCGACTAAATGCCCCTGCTGATGTATCTCTAGCTGTTTCTACCGCTGCACTTGCTTACCCTTCTTCGGTGTTGGTTTGCGGCCTCCTGCCTCTTTTTACCATGACGGCACCGGCAAACGCACCCGGACCGCGGCGCCTCTTGTTAGGACTCTCCTGCATTTGCCGAGCGCGTCGCTGTGCTTCAGATTCCGCCTTTTGGCCGTCTGTAGGTCTGTGGGTAGCCGTCTATCCTTCTCCTAATAGTAATCCCTTATAATAATTTATTTATCTATCTATCTATCTATTTAAGACATCACGTCTCGATACAATATAATAATGTTAATGCTGATAACTAAACTAATTAAAGAGTCTTCCATACCCCAAGATTAGGTACACTACTACTAATACTCCTACATGAAACCTGCGCGATCATTTGTTTTGGTAATCGTGTTTAGCTTCTCTCGATCCTTCGGATCAGGCCCGATTTTTCAGTATCGCCGATGCATCCAAATTGGTCTTTGGTGGTATCTTTTCCCTTCACAAGTGTTTACTTCCCCCGTAATGAATGTGTGAAGCAACTATGCTAATGATAAATATATCCATCCCTCACAAATCAGAGACAAATGACATGATAACAAGCTATAAATCAGTGTGTGAAAATTATTATAGATATTGAAACTTTGACCACTGCAGACATGAATTCGAAGCTACCGGAAAAGGATCGACCTGGATTCGATGAAGATACCGGCGTGGAGATCAACCCTGTTTGGAGAAGACTCGCTTCGCTAATGGCAAAGTTGCCGCGTCACCAATGGAACCTCCAGAGACTGTGGCAAGAAGAATTTTAAGGCAACTGCTAGAATGGGTACTGCTTATATTACTAGTACACTACTCGTACTAGACTGCTAGACTGCCATAGTCGATCCATTAGTTCGTTTATGCTTTTGGCGATCCCTTTAGCAACTGCTTCACTTGGACTCTATAATTATTATCCGGATAATACTTCTCGTCTTATTCGTCCTTTCGTCGGTCATAGACTGGTATGCACATACATCGAACTTCTAGGTTTACGGACAATTCATTAGATACGATACTTTTCAGGTGGAAATTTGCTAAAGGGATCGGTAGAAAGGTAGGAAGATGCATGACTGTTAGGTCTCTAAGAACATAAGGGGCAGCCTGTGCCTCCTCTGCCTGCGCTCGTGGTCCCCGAATCGGATAAAGAGGGCTCGGACATGGCAGACTAAGAAAGTCGTGCTTTCCTGGATGTGAAAAAAACAAGACGAGAGCACCTGGGGAGAGATCGAATTGGGAAATTGAGATTGCCTTCTGTAATGTTAAGCCTTACCACATTACATCTTCCACTAACGTCCTTGGCCGTTTTTCATGTAGAAAATAGGCCAAGGCGAATGTGCTGGAGAATGTAGTCCTGCGAGCTGTAATAGTGAACTAAGCTCGTGTGGACAAAAAGATAGACAAAGACAGATCGTGAAAGTGAATACTGCAAGGAGTCATGAAAATAGACGTTTTTTGATGCTGCACGTGTTACGCATGTGGACGATTCTGCGACATTCCGGGATGAAGAAGAACCCAACATCCATTCTTGCGCCTGTGCTGGTGGTCGTCAACATTTCTGTGGAAGAATTATTGAGCAGGAAGGAGGTCCTATACCAATTGCAGACTGAGTTGGATCCTTAAATTCAAGCTGAGAAACAAATAGACAGAAGCAGATAGCAGAACTGATAAAGAAAATACACATGATTCATCTGGTTGAAACTACTTAAGACTATCCTTGTAGTTCTGGAACTACTACAACATACTAGACTACATCGCTTTAATATTTGATATCCTTATCTTAGAATTATTCATCAAAAGAAGAACCAGGAAAATAGTAAAATCTTTGTGTTAGTACATCACCATTAGCACGACCTAGAACATCAAGACGAAGAACTTTTCTTGAACTAGGAGCAAAAATCTCGAAGATCTCTTACCTGTTGTACAAGTCAGAACTATGATCAGAATGCTCAGGAGAACAGATTGATACTGTGAAATTCGTACTAGGAGGACGAGCACGGCAAATGAGCTTTCGGATTGGAAGAGTACGCAAAGTAATTTTTTCCCATCGCATTATCAGCATTACAAGAATATCATTGTGATAAGAAGTATTTAATTGATGACGAAGATTCTACTAATATTTTTAGATCCATCACCAAACATTGTGAATATTGACGATACAAGAAACTATGATTATAGGTGCATTTGAGCAAGAATACATTTATGGACTGGGAATGACAACATCGATCTACTGGAATGACGCTCATTCATCCAGTTAAGATCTACCTTTGACGAGGAGATCATAAGCATGACAAGTGAGGGGAACGACGAGGGAGTTCACGTCCGACCTAGGGGAGACTGCACTATGTGAGTTTGATTTTTGAGACTGAAATCGCAATAGACTGCGTTTCATCTCACTGGTAGGACAGAAATGCTACTAGACTCTATGATGAGGGTGGGAGGTGTAGAGTAACAACTTACTCATTAGGGTCCTCGTCCTAGCGATCTTTATTATTCAACTTCTCGTCCAAACAACTAAAGAGGCGCGTGGATGGTCGTGCAGGAGCCTTGGTAGACTATCAATACCTTTCGTCATGCATCATTTATTTAGATCATTGTAGTAGGTTTATGTTCGTTCACACCACATGCGTATCATACGGAAGTAATCAGCGCTCGTATGATCTTTGTGAGTTGTGTTGAGTACAAAATGCTTGCCATCATTTCTGAGGTGCAGTTGTAGGACAAGGTGTACGTACACATAGAATTTATCTCGGTGATCGTGTAAGGATCGCAACACGAAGCGCACAGATGACAAGAGAGTCCTGCTTGTTCTCACCGTAAAAGCTTGCTGAATAAATCGACATTTACAATTTCGTATGAGGATTTTCAAGGTAACTCTTCTCAAAACAACGCGGCATGGCCGTAGAGCCGCGGACCTTTAGCCTTGAACCTTAACTCTTCTCAAAATAATGGAAATAGCTATAAATATAGACGTTTATGGATGGCCATGCCAGAGATCATGAGATCCTTTTTTGCATCTCATCTTTCGTGTGCAGCACTTCCATTGCTGTACAGAAGTAGAAGTAGAGGTGACTACCAAGTAGGCCTCATAAGTCGTATCCTGTGCTGACAGATGAGGGGTCGTGCTGCGGGCATGGTCTTCATTGCCGCCGTACGACAGGATTCTGCATGAAGAGGATGAGGCACCATAATCAGGCAGCTGCAAACTGGATCTGATTACATTGCTCTACAGAAAGATTTACGTAGAAGTAGAGGTGACTACCAAGTAGGCCTCAGAAGTCGTATCCTGTGCTGACAGATGAGGGGTCGTGCTGCGGGCATGCTCTTCATTGCCGCCGTACGACAGGATTTTGCATGAAGAGGATGAGGCACCAGAATCAGGCAGCTGCAAACTGGAACTGATCAGAAAATAAGGATGCAGGATGTCGTACAACTTGTCGTGTAAGAAGTAGACGTCCTGGGTTGGTTAGAAAGCGAGAACTGATAAGTATTAGGATATTTCCAGGGGATTCAGGGACTAGGGAATCACGGGGCTTGCAGTAGCCACAGGGATGTCTGTGGCTACGATCTTGTATCTTCCTAACATACTGTTACAGTACTATGAAGAGACCAACAAGCTGCAAGCCCGCAATTATATCATCATGGTCGGCTACATTTTTGGACGGCAAGAAGCTCGATGGGCGCACTTAATCTAGAGCAAAATAGATTCGTTGTGTGTTCCATTCAAAAACTATACTGAGGGGTATGTTGTAGTTTGCTGTAGTCCTAGTGCCTGTCTTGAGTAGTCCTAGTAGTGGGTATGATTGTGTGGCCCTTGCGTGAGGCCAGCGCTTTCGGCTTTCTTAGTCTATTTCGTAGCTCTACAACCGATGCGCAAATAAGAATATTGAGTTTAAGATCATTCACTGATGACGATTAAGATGCTGGTATACGCTGAAAAGAAAAGTCTTAGACCTCATCCATTCCATCGTCAAAGTTATAATGTTGCTATGGTTTCTTCCCTTAAGTGCGCTTTCTTGATTCAGGGAATCGGGTGATCATTAGCCAAGCGGATCATGATTGCGCCAGGACACCTCGTTGCAGGGCCAGCTCCCGCTGATTCAGGGATCGAGACCATGGCATCCATCAGGATTCGGTTTCTGGAGTCCATTCTTGGTCTAGCTAGGTTGCAGGTTCAAGACCTCGAGCTAGAACAAGAATGGTCGACATAGGCTTAGGAAGCGAGCAAGGGACTGACTTCAATATTGGAGCAAGGTGTCGACAGCGGGATTATTTGCATCCTGCAGCGATGGCGTAAAATGATGCTTATGGCTATTGACTAAAGAAGAAGCCAGGTGCCGGAGCTCGATGTGCAGAATCCATAACCTAACCTAACCAAACATAACCGAAGAAACTGCATTCCTCGTACTTCTTGATCATGTTAATCCTCTATTTTCAAGAGTCCTCGTTTATCTTCCCGGTTTCTACTTGAAATTAGTGAAAATGAAAGTCGAAGAGTCTATTTTTCTGATTTGATTCGGTCGAAGAAGGCGAAGAACTACAAGAATCGTGATCACAAAGAGATGCAATTACGACAAAAACTGCTACCGCCATCTTTTGATAAAGAAGAAATTTGAGTCCTTCGTGATACACCGGACGATCAGATGAATAGATCATCCTGGCAACATCAGGATTATTAGAGGGACAAGCTAAGCGCGTGAGTCATGGGAATAGTTGTTGGACTATATCACAAGATTGATAATCAAGTGGACCAGCTCTACCACGCAGATAGTTTACGAGACAAGCAGCAGGGGACTCGATGACGATCTTGGTAGTGAAAGAAGATGACGTGGCGGATGGCATTTTAAGGGTTGAAAATGATTTTTTCAAGAAGTGCGTCAATTGGAAGTCTCTAACTATCACTATCTTCTGAGTGACAACTAAAAAATACACAACGACGAGTAATCTTCGCACGCTCCGAAGACAAATAATCGAGTTTCTTCTTCACTAAGTAATGTATTTTTATCTAGAGAACTTACACGAAGAACAATAAAAAAGGTGATGCCGCCACATAGCGGTGATAGAAAAAGTGGCGTCGATCATGTAGATGAGATCAAACATAAGGGACATCGAAAAAAGTAGCATGAGTATTGCGTTGAAACTTGTTGTTCAACAGACGCTCGAAATAAGGAAGTTGCTGGTCGTTTGCACGAAAAATCATTTTAGCAAGAAGTGGCCGCTGCTTATAGCAAATTTGGACTAAATCCTCCCGAAACGCTCGTGAAGCGAAGACGCTATATTCTTTTTCTGTTGTAAAATCTGATTGGGGTTCGGTCTAGAACTCCTTTGTTCTTGATCGTTGGTGAGATTAGCTTCCTCGCTGCATCATAAATTTCTGAATTATCGTGGTGATTGACCACCAAAGCTGGCGCGTCGAAAAAACTCGAAGTGCTTGCTTTCTCTGCGCCCACCCTTGCTGGTGCGCCGAGTGTGTTCCTTGTGTTCCTGAGAGCATTTGTACCTGCTTCTTCCATCCTAGACCGATGGCTGGGAGTGCTTCAGATGACGAGGGTAGCAGGCTTCTTTTGTTCCCGGGTGTCTGAGAGAGACCTTTTTTCTTCATCGGTCTAGCGCCGCCGGCCCCGATGCTCCATATGCGAGCAGCCCCCCGCATGTAGTTTTTTTGCCGCAAAGACGTCGTTGCTTTTTTCTTTGCCCCTCTAGCACGTCCCTTGTTGTCAGTATTTTGCCGCTCCCCCCTTTTTGGTTGTTTCGGATTTTGGCTTTTCCGTGGGAACCGACGATGACGCTGGCTTGGAGATGCGAACTCGGGATGCGCTGAGGACTGGTGACGAAAACCGACGCAGGGGAGCCTTCGTTTGAAGTGATGAGGCCACTAGTTTAGTTTCGTTTCAGCGATGTGATTAATCTGCGTGTTCTCATATATCCGACATCCCTGCTGAAAAGCCACATGATGAGTTCGCGCAGTTGATAGAGACAAATATACAGGTAGCTTCCTGCCGTCTCGAAAATGCAAAAAGCGCGTGGACCGAGGCGGATAGGTATCTGCGCAGAGGTTGTAGCGTTCCCTCTTTATCAGATAGGCTTCCTCATTTCAGAATCGACGGAGCAAAGTATGTAAGTGCGTAACTCGTAGCGTGTAGTATAGGAGGTTCATGCACTTTCGCCGTCGCCGGGTCGCTCCCTGGAAAGTATGCAGCTCTGCTCTTTCGGCATACGCTCGCGCTACAAAAAAGAAAAACCCGAGGCCACTAGTTCAGTTTCGTTCCACCGAGGTGACTAGTCACCATGTGCTTATATATCCGACATTCTTAGAAACCTGACGAGTTCGCGCAATTGAGAGAGACAAGAGTGCAGGTAGCGCCCTGTCGTCTCAAAAATTGAAAAAGCGCGTAGTCTGAGGCAGGCAGCGATCTGAATCCTCGTAGAGTTTCATCGTTTTGTAATCGATGGCGCAAAAAGGTAGCGAGTAGTCTAGGAGGTTAACGAACTCCCGCCATCGCCGGGCAGCGTTCTGGAAAAAGTGTGGGTCGTACTCTTTCAGTATACCGCCCGCCATAGCCCCCCGCTCGAAAAGCTTGTAATTGTAATCGAGGCGCGGGAAATATTGATGGTTCCTGTCTTTTATGTTATGCGCGTTATAATAATATCTCATCTTCATTCATCGAACTATCATCTTGTCTCGCCAGTGGCAGAAGATGGCCACCCAAGATGCATGATGGTGATTCGTGGAAGATATTACGAACTTCGCACTCAACAAATCACGATAGGCAGTCACTACTCTGAGGGGCTGAGAAGGTGCTGATCGTAAGAAGCACGAAGCGATCGGCGTTCATATTATCCATGATTTTTTTATACACATCAATCACTATCTTCATTGCGCATTTATTTAAATCATCCTCCATATGAACATCAGCAACAAATTGTTGTTATGAAGATCATTTTTAGGTCACACAGCTACTGGGGAGACAGCAGAGCAGATTGATCCCTTTTCAGGTCGTTGGAAAGAAAGAAACGCAACTACATGCGCCAAGCTTATTGCTTGAAAGCTCCGCCCCTGGTGGGAAGGGAGACAGGTGCCTCTGAGGGGACAAACGCTCGCCCCTGGTGGGACAAGATGCCGCCACCTCTGAGAGGGAGCGTGGGCATTAGTTACGCGCCTAGCCCCAGGCGGGACACAATGAGGCGCCGGAGCGCTTTGCGAGAAGTGCGCCGCGATTGGTTCGCAGCATGGGGGGGCTTGGACGCATGGGGCCCCTGCGTGCTTGTGCTTACTACGGAGATTCTGGGATAGCGCCTACTGGCGTGGCTTATGGTTATCCCTCCTGTAATGCAAGAGAGCGAAAGAGAGACGGCCAGCCCGGGGCGCCTTTCTCCATTGCGTGCCAGGCAGGGCCTTCGCTCTCCTGATGAAATGAGCCGCCAACGAACGGCACAGCAGGAGAGGGGGGCGGGCTGGCTTCCGTGGTCCTTGTCTTCTGTGTGTCCAAGGTGAGGAGAGCCCCACAGCCTCACAGGCTGGCGCCGCCTCGTTTCCTTCCAAAGAAAGTGAGGCAAAAGGGCAAGGCCATGGCTGCGAAGCCGTGAGGAGATTCAGCGGGCTGGTTGGCTGCCCCAGTGTGGTTGCTTTCTAGACCCGTGTCGCGTGGTGTGCGCGGCCTGGTTGCTCGCCTCGCCCTTGTCGGGATCCGTCCGCCCCCCTCCACCTTCTTTCCCTTTCCGTTCTTCCCTCCTGACCTCGGTTGCGGCGGGTCAACCCTAGCCACGGACCCGCGCACCGGTCGCCAGTGTTCAGCCCCAGGCGGGCAGACAGCGCGCTAGCTTCGCACTTCTTGGCGCTGCTCTTTTTCTGGGGTCTGATCGCTCGGCCCGGGGGGGCGGCTGGGTTGAGGATGCCCGAGGCGGACCTGGTCGCCTGACGTTGAGCATCTCTGGCGCACACCTGCCACCGACTCCCCTGGTGGAGTATCCCCGCGCCAGTCTGGAACACGCGCGAGCGTGACGGCAAGGCCCCCGGCCCGGCCTCAAGTTACCCGGGAGACTGAACACCGGCGAAGGCCCAGCGTGTTGGTGAGTCGCCTTCTATGCGTGCATGCGTATAGCTTTAAGTTTAAAGGTGCATGGCGGTCCCTTCGCTTTATCTTACTTTCAACAAATATCATCCCCCCTACGTGGAGGAAGACGAGGAGACGACAAGAACGCTGGGAACCCGTCGCGTTACAGGCAAGAAGTCGGGTAGTGTGGTGGAGGATGGGGCTCACGATGTGTTCTAAGTGAAAGCTTGAAAAGTCTTCAGTTAGACGACGTGGCAGCACAAGCCCGTGGGGCATGGGAATAGTGCTGCAAAAGGGAAGAGAAAAACAAATGTTTTTTTTTTTGAAATACCTCACTCTGAACAATTCGACGAAATAAAATTGTGCAATTACTATACAACTGCAACCAACTATTTTTTCATTTTTCAGTTGATGGTGATTTTTTTCCGGAGCTTCGCATTGGTCGTTCTGATGGTAGAATATTGTGCAGTGATTCCGCTAAAGCCCAACAAAAGGTCACCATCTTCATCACATATCTGTCTTTTGTCAAGAGTGAACATCTTTGTTTTGACATCGCATGTGAGGCACTCTTCCTATTTTCAAGAGTCTCCACTGAATCTGTGCGACGATTGAAGCTTGGATTCCTTCAACTACATGCGATTCTCTTGCTAGATTGTCATCACTGCAGGCCCATTAGAAACTAGTGCCAAAGAACCCTCCATGTTTAGTACCCATGACCACAAAATTTTATTTCCCATAATCCCTTTCGAATTAAAAATCCAGACCCAATAAGGCTAAAAAGATCTAATTGCTTTATAAGATTCTCATTTACTCTCTCTATCAGTAGAGAAAAAAAATGGCGACCGCGGCGGATCATATGCTCTACATCCAGGAGAAGGTGAATCCTGTGCTAGAGCAACTCGTCTTAAGACAAAAATTTGAATTGCAACAGATAGTTTATTTTACTACATCGAGTGGGAGTAGAAGTAATAGGTGGACACCGAATACTTGCCAGACTTTAAATGGAGACCGTTAACCATACCTTTTGGCTACATCTTGGACGAGTTGATTCATGTCAGGTGGAGATGATAATACGTTTTTCAATCATTACTCGAAAAAGGCCACGACAGTCGTGCTTCGCTATTCTGTACATTCTGACCAGGAAACGTTAATGGCATTGGTCTGACCAGAAAACGTTATTCTGTGCATTCGGACTCGGTATTATTCTCATTCTCTAATTTTGACGCAGCTTCTATTGGACCGACCGGAGGACCCGGCAGAGTTTATGCTGGCATGGCTCAAGGAGAAGCATCGCGAAAGTGGATTTCCTCCAGTCTCCTCTACTGCAGATTCAGTCGAGGACCTGAAGCGGATTCTCGGAGAGTATTGCTAATGATCTCTTTGTTGATGTAATCTTGAGTAGCACGACTTTGAGTACTTTCTTTGCCAGTGATTTTCATATGGAAAGTCGCGATTCGCAGAGGAGAAAAGTTGTTGTTTCCATTGAATTCATTCTTAATGGTTTGGAAGTAGCTTTAGCACGAGATACTTCGGATTTTCAGACAGCTATCATGTTGATGATTCTCCCCTCAATGCAGGCTTCAGCAGAAGAAGGCCGACCTCGAGGAGAAGTTGGGTTAGTCGGCGCCGTTTCGCACAACATGATGAAAATCAAAATGAAAGAGCCTCTTTCTCTGCAACGCCTGGCGTGTCCATGGCCCCAGAAAAATCACTTTTCACTCTCTGTACGAGAATTCAACAAAGGTTGATTAATTTCGCGCAAGGAGATGCAGTAGGATCGAATAGTGCAGCCAGGACAACATGATGTGGTTAACCCACCTTCTGGTATCAATGAAAAAAGTCTCATGCACGTGATTATCGTTCATTTCGCGCACCTTTTTTTATAGTCCATTTGCCGGTGATCGTTCTCTTCAGGGCCGAAAGTGTACAATGCCACACAAAGCTTAGACTGACGCAACATAATAAAGCTCCTCACTCTGTATCTGGAGATTTATATCACAGCGAATAGTACCTGAGGTACATCACTTCGGAAGAGCTCTAAGTCTCTTCCGATGATGTGCTGACCCCCCTGTGGAGGACTCACTTCGTGTTCCTGGTCCAGACAATGATCTTATCGATGAGTTCTCTTCGGTCGCCGACGAAAAACTGCAAAGATCGCTAAGCACACAGAAGGTCGAAAAGACGCGTACTGCAGAAACTTTTTTGTAAGAAACGGTGGCTCGTGTGATCTTTGAAAGTAGGTCCGTATGTGATTCACCTGCATGAACTACGAATCTTCAGAGTGCCTGGATGAATTTGTGGTACTACCTCTAGTAGAAGGCTTCTATTTTGGATAGAAGACAATGGTAGTTCTCGGTCTGGTTCGTGGTCCGACGTGCTCCTCGGCAGGTTGCTCTTTCCCGCTGACTGCGCGTGGTGCTGTTCGTTCTATCGTGCATGCGGCCGCTCAAGGTGCTCCTGGAGCTCGAGTCTCAACGAACAGTGATGCCTGCGAAGAAGTGCCTCCACGGCACGTGAGTCGAGAGAGTGGAGCGACAGAGCACAGGAAGGATTTCGAGCATGGTGAAAATTCAGTTTCAAAATCTTGCTTTGGCAATGTTGGGCAGACGAAACTAATTCAGAAAGTGGAGCATGAAACTGCACAGCACTCGCGTGGAACGACGGCCTCTTCGCGAAGTACGAAAAGCTTTGCGAATAAGAGACCTCTGGAACAACATCAACAATGGAGCAGATCAGCACCTACAAACGGTAAGAACAAGAGTCGCACTCGCGATGCGCATAATATAGCGGGACCAACACAGGAGTCATACGATGCGCGTGGTGGGAGAAAGGAGTTTCCCGGAAGCGACAGCCTAGACGTGTTAGCGAGCGGCAGCCCTCGAAATAAGGATGCGGTCTTAGCAGCAGCTCAGCGCTTAGCCGAGGTGCCGGGCCTTTTTCGAGGGAACTCTGCGAAGAAGGCTGAGGGTGGGTGGCTCTACGTCGTTGCGCTAGAAGGCCTCTACCGTTCGGAGATTCCGTGGCAAGAAAGCATCAATTATGACTGCGAAAGATGATGCATTACATCACTACTTGCCGCGTATTCTTCAAGGTGATCCTACTTCTTGGTCCCAATCTCGCAGGTAATAACATTTTTTACTTTTCTCGCACGGTCGAAGAACCACGACCTCCACAGCATTTATTACAAACTTCTCATAAAGAAGGACTCTTCTTATTTCGACAGTGTTGTGGCTTCTTTCAGTTTTGAAGGTTGACAGTATTTTAAATTATAGGTCATAGAAGTTTTTTCAGAGAATGAAAATTAACCTAGTGGATGTTGGGAAGCGTGCTGGCTCTAACTTTGGGTCTTCCACAAACTGGAACGCGTATGTCCATTCGCGGCCGGTCGCGCACCGCTAAACGCCCTCCTAAAGTTATGTGATCGAAAAACACGATTTAGCCTTGTCACGAAAAAATAGAAATTTTCCATGTAGTCATGCCTGACTCCTGCCGCGAATGCTTGTCCCTCATGAGAGCGACTCGAGCAGTACGAAATCCCTTAACAAGCTCTAAAAAAACAGTTACCCCTTCGTGCGAGTATTGTTTTACTGCAAACACGATTCGCAACGGATCTCGGCAAGGACATTGAATCCTGGATGTTTCATCATCCGGTTGAGATACAAGACCCATTGGAAGGTGGTAAAGACAATCGAACAGCAGGCCTAGAATTCCTTTATGGCAGTTGTGCTGAAGAAAACATCACGATCGCTAGGATATCTTTTATGTAGGGCGGGGTGGCGGACACAATAAGCTAAACTAACGAGAACAAGAGGTTTCGAATCCACTATTCTATCCTCTAGTGTGGCTAGATCAAGTTCGTCGAAAGATGCTACGAAAAATCTCAATCGTGCTCACAAGAACAGGGGAGATCAGTATTCTCTAATACAAGTACAAGGGCGAAGCGTTCGATTTGAAAGAGCAGCTTACAGCACGTGGCGTCCGCGAGCTCGATGAAAATGTGAAAATTGAGCGAGCGCCATACTTGGATCCTACGCTGCCTCCAGCGGTCAAAGTACTTCCCGATGCGGTAACGGTCTCCACTCTCCTCCAGAAGCTCGCAGCCTGCATTCGTCTCTCCGAACGCTTCCGCATCACTCGCTTCGTAGCAATGAACGACATGCCAGCCTCGTTCAATGATACCTGCGGAGCTCACTATGGCTAGCATTTGAGCGTCTTTTGTCTACAGTGAGGAGTATCTCTAGTTTGCCGGGAATAGCCTTCGATTTTTGGTAGGGGATCCTCCGCCACACTGAATCAAAGACGTTATAATACCTGTTAATAAATAGGCACATTCATTTCTCACCTGTCAAATGAGAACAGCGATAAAGAATCTCTAAGAAACAGTGCCAATCTGGAAGCACGCGATAGAACTCTTCGAAAAATACAGCACTGGTATGCGGGACATGCGGACAGTGCTTTAAGAGAAGAAAATTGAATTAGAGGTCGTCAACGGGCGTTCAGCTCTAATTGATATATCAACCTGCTTCTTGTCAGACACAGCAATCGATTCTTAAAGTCAATCCATTATTCTAAGTAAACCAGGTGGTGCGGTGTTTTTCAGCATTGCAGTGGCAAGAGCTGGCTGCCTTTGCCGTGACAGTTCCGAACGCGGATGCGCGAGTACGTGGAACTGTGATGGATGTGCTGGCCCGCGCTTGTCAGTTCACCCGCTTGCGCGCCTCGCTAGTTGCGTCGAAAGGAAGTGATGAAAGCGAAACAAATGCAGTCTCCTCGTCGAAAGGAGATGATTCTGTGGCGGCGTCGCTAGCATCCTCACCCTCGTCATCGTTCCCTGAAGCAGGGGGGAAAGGTGTTGATAGCATTGGCTCATCAACACCAAAAAAGAGCGCGGAGTCCAGTAATGCAGTGGCGTCGCGGTCTCCGGCGCATCTGCGATTGCGGTCCATTCTATATGGTAAAGACACGGATAATACTCCTGTCCCTGCTGAGGATGCGACGCCTTTGGGTGCCGCATTGCGTGTGTTCGCACAAGCTCGTGCCGATGGCATGGCAACTACGGTGTTGTACAATGCTCTCTTGCTAGCCCTGCGCAACAGCCAGGAGTGGGTTGCGTCGCTAGACTTGCTTTCCTACATGCTCGTGGAAAAGGAAGAGCGACAAGCAGAGGAGTCCGGAAGCACTACTGCTTCAGAGGAGGTTCCCGCAGACAAAGTGTTAGCAGACAAAGTTTCTTTCGGTACCGTGATGGCAGCATTGCCGCCCACAGAGTGGGTGTTGGTGATGAACCTTTTGAAGCGCATGCAGGAGCTGAAGTACGAGATTAACACACAGACGGCGTACGCAGTCCTGAACTGCCTCACTCAGGAAGTAAACCGGGAACGCCAAAGAAACGAGGACGTCGGTGACAGCTGGCATAATGTTTGGGATGCAACTGCTGACAGCGATACTGCGGAATCTAGTACTAGTAGAAGTAGTAGTGTTCCTTCGATTAGTGGTAAAGCAGGATGGGACGGCGCAACGTTCGTGATATACGAGATCGCTCCAACGAGGACAAGTACCGAATTGAGCACGACAAGCAAGGGCGTTTTTTGGCAAAGTACTTCATTGGAGGGGCCACCGCCCGATGCAAGAGTACTACAGCTACCGAGACATCTGATGCCGCAAGCAATACTGACGAGTAAAGTACGACTATCGCAGCTTCTCTCCAATTCTAGGAGTGAAGACAAGAAACAAAATCAAGTAAGCGAGAAGATTATGGCTTGGAAGTTTGCCTGGGTTGGTCCAGACGAGCCTGACGCGACCACTGCAACACCCGAGGTACCCGCGGATATGGCAGTTCTTTCCGCGTCCTGTCTGCAGTTGGGCCGCAAGCTAATCGAGGGCCCCTTTCACCCACAGAAAACGGGTGTTCCGTGGACCGAAGGACTATTTCGCAAAGGCTTCGCTCTGCTGCTAGAGGACGCTACAGATTTGTATGAGAGGTGGGTCTTCTTGTTGTGTCGTGGTAATGATTCTCATTTTTCTTTTTGGTTGACAGACAGCACCTTGTTCCAATCTGTTGCTGATCAAGAGGAATTGCGAATGGGTAGGTTGTACACCTCGTGCTGTGCATTCAACTGCAACGGGCACAGACACGCTATCCGCTTGCTAGTTGTGTCGAATTACTTGATTTATATGGCCGATTGAATTACCTTGTCTAAGAGACGTGAGAAACTAGTAGAACTGCAGATTTCTGAGCCTTATTATTCTTAATCTTTCTAACATGTGACACATCCCGGTTGGGTGAGTGCAGTGCGATTGTGGCAGGCGCGAGATAGGGGTGTGTTTCCACAAAAGACGTTCCTCCGAGACGATGAGGAGTTGACCCCAGAAATGCTGGAGGGTAATTCTAGAAATGCTTCACAGCGTTTTCGCCTAGACTTTCATCCGGTGAAAAGTTGTCGCGACCGATCCTACGACCCTAGTACGGTGAAGGTTTGCCTTTTCTGCAGCCTGGGCAAGCTGAAGAAAAAGTTGGACAAGCTGAAAAACGCGTCGAAGCTGCAAACTAAAGCAGGTGCAGGAGTAGTTCGAGGGGATGTTGACCCGCAAAGTGAACGTAAACCACTTTCCGTTCGGATTGTCACAGGAGCTGGCGAAAGCCGTCTACGTAAAGTCACAATGGAATTTTTGACGTCCGCTGGTCGCGCACTTGGCATTCAAAACATTCGGGGTGGCGGAGATCCGGGAAGCATTCTGGTCGACCTCTGAGCGAAACTCAAGGACGACTGATTCTGGTATCGACCCTCTGGGTTCCTGCAGCATCATGATGTAACTCACAACATGACGATCTTTCAACAGATTACCTTCCTGACCCAACGAGCCTGCATAAGCATTGATATGAGCGACGATATTCTACGTCCTGAAAATCCAACTCGAGCATGAGTCCAAAATAAGCACACTACAAGGAAGCTACTCGCAATAAAAGGAGCAGTTGGAGACACCGTGGTCAAGATGAAAGGTCCTCACAGCGGCCCAGCACCTGGTGCGATCTGGCTTTGACAAAAAATAATGAGACAGTTTTTATCTGCATCTGACACGGTGGCACATTTAACGAAGCCTGGAATGAGATATGAACAATCTTCAAGGAAATTACCTAAAAGTTTATGCGCTAGTGCCCCCAAGTATGGATTTACACACACCTAGTGAGCACACGACTGTGCAGATATGTTATGGATAACAAGAATTAGCAAGACGCGCGTGGTTGTAAAGGATATTTATAATACATTGAATTTTAGACTCACCTCTTTTACTCAGAAATCACGTCACCCGAAGTGTTAGGCACAAGCCTATGAGCGTTAGCCTAGTGCAGTGTTATACTGCTGGAAGCGACGCGTCGATTGTCTTTTGCAGTCTTGTAAGAGTTGAGTGTCCGGTCGTGACCGGAATTTTGATCGCAGACGGATTTCGGACTGCTGCCTCTCAGGAGATCAGTTGCAGTGAGATTTTGGAGCTTACTTAGCGAAAACTTGTTGCTGACAAGAACGAAGACAGGCGTAACGAGAGAGGTTCTAAAACCCGTCAGATACGCTTGGAACGGAGACCTCATGGATTCCTGGAGTGGAAACTCTACTACGAGGCTGATGAAATGGAATGCATACTTTGCATGTACATGTACTTTGTAAACTTACTTTGTAAAGCGGATTTAAAAGTCATGAGAGCAGATTGACTGAGACGGCTACGATGGGTTTTGCTGTTGACAAGAAGACTGTGTTTAGAGCTCCCCGGCATCAGTCTGTGTGTGAACAAGAGTAGTTGTGCGGAAATTCTTGATAATTTTTCATCGTCGAAAGAGCGCAAGAAAACTTCGGTAGAGGAAAGATGTGATTTAGAATTTACAATTAAGCGCATCTTCTAGTAAATCTCTGAGCGAAAAAAATGTCCTCTGCGATGTCCTCGGTGGATAGCATAGCGGCTGCGCCTCAACCTCTGGCTCCTGCGGCAGAAGAGGGAATTTTTATCGGAAGTCCACTGGAGTGGGCGTTTTTTGTTTAAGGCTAATGAAGACTCCCAGGTATTCCATCGTTGATATCATGCGAATCCTTGAGGCGTCTGTACTATGCGATAAGAATGTCAAGTGGATATGCTTCAAGAGTAGCTCTAATCTATCGCAGTTTTCATCGCGTTGATGTCGTTCGACTCCTTTTGCCTTTTAAGGGGGAAGGCGAAGCTGACACTGAGGCAAAGCAGCCTCTACGTACTCTTCTACTTCTGCTGTGCGGCTTTATGGTGGCTCTTCGTCGTCTGCGACAGGGGACTCGCGCCTGCTTTTCAGTGGAGCACTGGGTACTCACTGGTCGCGTCTTTCAATTATTCTTAAGAGGGAAATCGATCGGTCAGACTAATATTTGATGAGTTAGATGACTTCCGCGTATCGATTCATCTTCGTTTTAGGAATGACTGGAACAGGAGCACAAACATGGCATGTAAGTGCTCCTCTCATTCGGAAGAGCACTAAATGTTGACTGGTTGAGTCTCATTTTCATCCGGAAGGTCTTTCTACAGTGAGTTGGGACTCTCCATGACTTTCATTTGCATTCATTTTAGTTTTTGTTCAAGAACAGGTACCTCTTGGAGTGGATGCTATCCGTGGATAATCTCTTCGTTTACCGCCTTATTTTCGAAATGTACAAGTGCCCGGACTATCTTCAGCAGAAACCTTTGTTTTTATGCTTTGACCTCATTGCTTCCTTTTATTTCGACTTATCCTCACGTAGAATACTGGTGCATATTTTATTTTCTCCCCACACAACATGATTTGAAATTTTCCTCACATCAGTTGTCTCAGGATCTTGATCTTGTGCATAGAATGAAGCAGAGTCGTAGGTAGCGAGAATTCCTACAACAACCCTCTCTACTGGCGGAGTATATTGCTTTGGAAGTGGACTTGAGGAGCATCTAATGGTTGTGGGAATCATCGGTGTGATTGTCCTTCGCTTGTTCTTGTTTGCTGTCGGCGAATACCTATACCACAGCATCGGCTTCGTGTACCTCGTTCTCGGTGCGTTTCTCATTTACTTATGGCGAAACAAGCAGGTGTCTATGTTCATCTTGATTAAAGTAGCGTGTCAAAAAAACTATATTTTCATCGCAAGCAAAAGCCAAAGGAGGACTAAGTGTAAATACAGTGCTGAGCAGTCTCTCAACGCGAATCTTCGTGTCATTCTGAATGTAATTTGGCCTCTTGAAAAATTAAGTAGGATGATAACACAGAGCACACAGATGACATCAAGGTGAATCTTCAGACCTGCATAGATGCTTTGAGGGTGAATCTAGATACCGCTTCTAATGCGAACCGGTATTAAGGTGATCGCAACGGACGAAGATGATGATGAAGAGGATCCCACGCAAGGACGTTTTGTGAGATGGCTCGCAAAGCAAATACCACTAGTGAGTTACTACGACGCAGATGGCGCCTTTTTTGTCCTGGTGCCGAAGGGAATCGACCTACAAGTCGATTAAGGCCAGAATTTCGACAGTTTTTGAATTTTCTAACTACTAAAGAGCCGAAGGTCGCTGCAGAGTGAAAAGTTCTTTTCTGGATTATTCTTCAAACATGCCAACAATCATTATGGACCTTGCATCCTAACTAACTTTGGAGACAGTACCTCGTGCTTCTAGGTAAATGAATGAATGAATGAAGGACATTCGTTTTGAAAGAAGAATCGGCTAAACACAGCACGTACACTTGAATTCACAAGATGGTCGTGTCTAGGGGAGCACACACCTCCTTTGGACGCGGTTTAACTTCAGAATTTGAGGCACCACATCAATCTATCATATTCGTCATATCGACTATGGTAGTAAAATTGTGGTGTTGTTGTTCTAAGCAGCGTGCGGGTCCCCGGTATCTGATTGCGCTGCGTCTCCAAATGCACTTGTTGACCGCTCCCCGGCGCCCACAACTAGCCAGTCCGGCGCGTCGTCGACCGCAGACTCATCAAACCCAGGGAATGTTATGGCTGTTGCCCTTTGCCTTCGTTCAGACCACCATGCTGGCTTCTCTTCCGAGCGACTTCTCAGTAGTCATGTTGGCGTTTTCTGGGTTCACAGGAATTTCTATTTCACCAAATAATGAATTGTTTCATACTTTGTCACACTAGAAGGTGACAATGGAGGAGCCTCTTTGAAGTTTCTCATTGTAATTTGTCTTCTGAATGTTCTTACAAGGTGCTTAGACACCTGATCTATTGAATTCGGAGAGGGAGCCAGGAGGGTCTTGAGGATGGCAAAAATAAAGCGACATCCTTCATAAAAAAGCAAAGTAGAAGAGCAGATTTTGCTGGCAGCGGGGCAGGAGAGCTTCATAGTAGTATCACAATGAAGAGCCCATACTCGCCCGCTGCAGCGAGAGTATTGGGCAAGGAGTCAAGTGGCACCGAATCTGATACCATAGAAATGCAGCAGGTATACCAGAAAATTTTGAGGTTGATTGATCCCAAAAAATTCGCCTTGTTGAATTACTGCTTTGCGTTCTTGTTGTGATCTTAATTTTTGTCAACGGACGTCCTTTCAATCTTGTCCGATCGTTATCATCCTCGTTAATATTTCTCATCATTCTCATCATCGTGGTGTGTCCATATCATGAAGGTTGGAGGAGTAGCTCAAAGCGCGGCGGAAGAAGATTTGGATCCGGACATACCACGAAAGTGTCGCTCTCTCGTGCGCAGATTTTCCAGATACAAGCCACGGCCGGGCACAATATCAACGCAGGTAACTTATTTACTCATAACAATGAAGATCAATGGTATCTCATATTACGAACTTACTTTGGTACAAGAGTCAACGGTTCCGAGTCAGGTAGTCCAAATTCCATTATCGGTGTCAAACTTGTGCAGAAGGAAAGAACACCACTACAGATATACCACGACGACTGCGTCTTTGATATTGCACTGAATGATAATCATCAATTTGAATCTGTTTCAATGACTTTCAAAACACACAGATGGAGACGCGTTGCACAATGTCTTTCCTTGTGGCGTGTTGTTTAGCAGCGACCGACGTGATCTTTGCGGTTGACAGTGCCAGTGCAATAATAGCGCAGATACCTGACATTTACCTTGCTTATGGTCTCTCCTTTCAGGAACTGTTTTGTCTTGCCGATGGTAAAGAGTGACCATTTGAGACACAATCACGATGTTTTTTTTTGAAAGTGTCTTGGAGTGGGTGTCGTCAGGTGGGATCATCACCAAGATGCAGCATTCTCTTGATGGACTTTAGTTAAGATGCGCTAAGCTGTATACACGGCGTGTGCGTTTGCTACCTTGGGTCTGCGGGCAATGTTCTTCATGGTGTCGGAACTTATTGCGCTCTTCTCCCTTCTCAAATACGGTGTCGGCTTCGTTCTGGTCTTATGGCAAGGTTGCTAGCTATCAGGCTCCTAGCGAGATCAATCTTGTCTTTGGTTATAAAATTGTGTTTTAGTTGTAAGAGGGCACTGCTCCCACAATTACAAACTTACTAGTACGTAGATGGTGTAGCTGTTTCTGCTGTTCCGTCGAGAGAAAGACGACTTTCTGAAACCTCACTGCGGATTAGTACTTATCAACAGGACTTTGCTTTATGAGTGAACAGTTCTTGAGAAGCCACCAGTTTCATATCTTTTTACGGGTGGCAAGTTGATGCTGGCGAAGCTAGTGTCAGTACCAGACGGCGTCACGGCAGCGGTGATGATAAGCACATTTTTGCTATGCACTCTAGGGAGCGTGTTTTGGGACCGTTTAAAGAGCAGCGGCGCAGCCCAAGGAGAAGTTGGGAAGCTCGGTATCTATGTTAATGCAATGTCAAATAATAAGCTTGGGACTTTAGAAGTATAAAAATTATTGTGCATCATGAGTGTCTAAGATTTTCGTTTTCCACCTGTAATTGCGGATGAACAAGGTATAATTATTTGATTCATTGCGACCGAGTCATCATTTGATGAACTACTCAATGTTAGGAAACTATGTTCATAGGTGTGTCATACATTCATCTAGTTGTTTCACAGTATCTTGTCATTCATTGAGGCCTGGTTCACTGGTTCAAAGACACATTTATTTACTATACGTCCAGTTGGTGGAGGGGGAAGGACGCCGTAGAAACGGGAGAAACGTTCTGCTTTGGCTGGCTGTCATGTGTTCAGCGGTGTGTTTGGTTTCGCACTCGTTGCAAAAAAGGCCACTCTACGAGGTTGCAGCTTGCTACGCCTACGCAGGTTTTAGCGTCTTCGGAGACGCTTCTGCCCGACAACACGGGATAATCTACGCCCTCAGCGAATTTGAAGGGAGTGCTATGCAGCGCAGTAAGATTGCGGCTCATGCCACAGTAATGTTTCTACGGCGTCTGTACCCGGAAAATGGAAGTACCACCGACAAGGACAATTTCTAGAAGATTGCGCCACAGTGCCCATCCTGTGTAGATGAGAAGAGTTACGAAATCTTATATTTGTGCTCTTCATATATTATGCATAAAACTCAGCTCTCTCGTCCACCACGACCATGTAGCAACAGTACACTTTTTTTGAGGCTTTTTCTTTTAAGACACTTTTATAAGACAGGGAGTTGCTCATGCTCGTCTGTTCGAAAATGGTTCACTCATCTCGCTGTTTTGAAATCAAGGCACTGGCGCTGGCAGCGAAGACGAACACATGATACTCGAAAGGAGGAATTGGGAAGGCAGCACTCGAAATGCAGGTTTAGCTTCTAACAAGGAATAGTATAATAGCTGACTTCATCATCTACTCAGTAGAAGGTGTCTGCAGCTGCAAGCAGAAATCTTGTTGAACGAGTAGCCATTTTTGTAGAGTCTGTGTCTGTTGTCGCATTTTGTGTTATTCCTTTGACACTTCTCGTTCTTGACATCAAGACAAGACTCGCATGCATTCCTGGTACCTCATCTCCAATTAAACCTGTTGATGGAGATCAGCAGCAGAGGTGGAATATCTTCAGCGGTATCTGTTCGGCGCAAGCGGGCCGCGACGCTGGTGTTGTGCAAAGGGTCGGGAACGCCAGTGACATCCCGAGTTCAAGATACTCGAGATTCAGCGAAGTTAGGAGTCTGAGCGTACACCAGCCGTGCGATCTTGAGAGAGAAATATGAAAGAACATATGGTGATCAGCAGCGACAATGTGGAGGAGAAGCGTAGCCAGTGTATGCAATGTTCTGTGACGTCATGAGTAATAAGGTGAGAGGTAATGAGAGAAAGCTAGAGAATGTGTGTAGAAATGCCCGGCCGCCAATCGGTCGATTGTCGGATTATGAATAACATCGTGCTTCACGATCTTCATCTTCCTACTAGTAAAGTTATTCTTCCTTCTTGAGTTGTGTGTAGCAAAGATCACGGCAGAGACAACGTAGTACCAATTATCTTCAAAGAAACAAACAAAATGCCGATGCATCACGAAAACTTCCTGGATGAGGCACTGAAGCGCGGCTATATCAAGGAGAAATCGAATCCTGCAAATCCAACCCACATCTGCGTTTCCAAATTTTTTCCGGGTGGTTTAGGAGAAGTAGTAGTGAACTATTGGGGATCCACCGGAACCATTCGCACACAACTCACGCATCCAAAACATACCAAGGAGACCTTTTGGAACAAAGACTGTGAAAGAAAGGGCCTCTCGGATGAGCAGATTTTAGGGGTTTTGGATAACCCGCGCATGCACACGGGAATCGGCGATGTCCATCGTAAGCCTAAGCCGCAAATGCTCAACGCGAGTGAACCTGATGCATTAAGGGGAGCGTGAATTTAGATGGGTATATGGGAAGAAATATCTGTACAAAAAGAACTATGCGCGTTGAAGAATAGACACGTGAGAGGGATGATTGGGTTGAAAATCGCAGGAGTGAAGTTGGTTCACTTCTCTTGCAAAGTTTGTCGTGTGTGTGTGTCGATTTTCCAAGAAATTCGAGGGCGTTGCCGTTTGTATTTCAATTGGGAATCGGGGCGTAACGCGCCTCTTTCTAATACCGTCCACGACAAGATGTAGCACTTTTCAAATTTGCATTCTCTGTTGCTTGCAGCGAGCGGCAGAAAAGCCAGATGTGTATGGTCTCACATATGTAGGCTGTTTGCAGGGGTCCGCTGTGTCTCCTCCTCTGGCAGTATCACATGGCGCGTGCGAATTGATTCTGTGACTTAGATGAAACTCGCCAAGTTCTTTCGGCAACTGGAGTCAGACGATCATGTTTTTTCACTATCTACATTTCTCATCACAACATCAAGGAAGCAGACGAAATGAATACTAACGACATATTTATAAGCAATAGATGGCAATCGTAATGAATTGAGTCGGTGTCAGCTGCTCCGTTGTTGTCTATAGCATACTCATTATTGTACCCTTTTGAGTCAAGCATATGTAAACTCAAACATAAATTCATCTTCTGACATTTCTCAAGATCGCTGTCGTGCACAACAAGACATAATTTTCTTTTTTTTTCTTCATCGATGTTGTTTCTCCTTACATTCAGAGGGACAGCTAAGTAACAGATCAGATAACGATGGCGTATCAGGATCAAGCACCCGATGCTCCGCCTCAACCTGCTGAGGCGGTGTTGCCCATTTCTAAGCTCGAGGTGATTCTACAGGACGGATACAGTGAAGACGAGCTTCTGCGGCACGATGTGGAGATCACAACGAAAGACAAGCATGCCATCAGCGCCCCGACGACGCGTCACGAGATGCAGGGAATAAGGACAACAACTCTAGTCGGGGATCAACATGGCGTAACATCTCTAGTCAAGGAGGCTGTGGTAGGAGTCCGGGAATTGCGAACATTGGCCGCACAGGCGAAAAACCTGCCAGAGTTCAGCATTCGACTTTTCCTGGAAGGTACTAGTTCTTTTACCTGTACAATTCCTTCAGCTTCCTGCGGTCGTGGAGAAGATGAAAATGAGACACACCAACGACAGACACAACAAGCACCGCAGGCCTGTGCTGCAGGCGCGGCAGGCGATGGGGCATCGGGAATTGATGAGAGTGGAACACCACCAGGAGAGCGAGAGGACGAGGGGATGGCAGACGAACTCTTTGCTGACTTGAAATCTGTGGATGTTCTGCCGGTCGCAGAGGTACAAGTCGCAGAGGACTCGACGTCGATTCGTACGGTGTGCGTGAGAGCGATGGTACACCAGGCCACCCTGGATTTGGTCGAGGATCTAGTGACCACGGCCAACAGCTTGGCCACAGACTGGTTTACCTTGAAGTGCGATTCCAAACTTCGCCGCTACGCAAAAGAAGACCAGCAGAGCCTTCGCGCTGCCATGGAGGCGAGCAAGCTTGAAGACGAAGATGAGGATTTTCAACCTGGAGGAAGTGCGTCGGAGACGAAAGTATTCAGCAAGAAATTCTATGGGGCACTCCGTAGCTACAACGTGTTGCTCGAAAACGCCGAAGAAAAAGGGATGCCTGAGTCCACGACCCAGCGTGTGCATTCGATAGATCGACTTGTTGAGCGTGAGAAAATGCAGGACTGAGTTCGGAGTTTTGACCTGAAGTTTGATCAAGAAGTGCGCGATTTTGTGACGGGATTGCTGCTCTTCAACCGCGCACCTAATATCACTGAGCGTGAAAACTCCATTCGGTGTTGGCGCGCACTGAGAGCCTGGGCGTGGATGGCAGCACACGTCGCAACTTTACCAAGTCGATTGGATACCACTTCTACTGGTGAATATGTGGCGAGTGAAACCTGGAATATTTTTGAGGGGATTTTCGACAAGAGCCTGTGGCAGGCGAAGGTTCTTTCGAGCCATTAATTTTGGTCGATGGTTCTAGCAAAGTGTACTGCTCGAACTCATGAGGGTCACCTTGCCGTCGCTGCTGCACAGCCGGAGAACGAGCCTTCGTAAGATATTTTCAACGCTCAAACTCAAAGCCCATCGCGCCACTCATGACAGAACTCTTGAAAGTGAATCCATTGCTGCTCAAGTCGTATTTGAATGAAAACTGCAGTGCACCAAGGAACAGGGAAGAGTACGCAGGCACTAAGCAATGGATGAGGACGACGGTCTTAGATGTCGGACCGAAGGTGTTTTCCTGGGCATCCGAGACCCTTCGGGCGGACGTCAATTACATCACTAGACTGATTAAGGAACTGTGCGAACGAGATGGCAGTCTTGGAGTTTGGGGCCCGTACGACATGTGTAACTTTCGTGGAGACACTGTAGGAGTCGTCCTAGGAAGACAAACGGTTGCTGACATCGTGGCCACGCTCGACAGTAAGCTCTGGCGAGACAAAGCAGCAGTCCTGCAGTTTGTCAGCCAGGATCGCACAGGCACCGTTCTCGGCCAAGTAGGATGGCACCTCCGACACGATCCAGAAGTATGTACTGCCGCTTCTCGCAGTTCGCCCGGGAAAGCTTTTCGGTTCTGTTGCCCGGGATGTCCGCCGACGTACGACGAGAGACGGGATATACCAGCAGAACCCGACCTCAGAGCTGCCCGGCGAATTTTCCTGCAGCGGGAAAAAGAAGGCGACGACAGTATTTTAAGACTGATTCCAGAGGAGCACCAACGCGCGTGGAGTGAAAACTTCGGCAGCGACGCCACAGATCCTCCCTTGTGGAACGATCGGGCCTTCGTGCTAGAGAAGGTAAAGAAAAATTGGCACGAAAATGCGGAGCGGCCAAACCAAGCCAGCCAGAATAGTCGAAGAGATAAGACAAGAGCCACAGAATCAGAAACGCGCACGGGCCTGGAATGCGATAGAAGGCGAGCTGAAAAAGATCGAGCACGCAGAAGGTGCACCTCTGGAAAGCTCAACAGTGAAGCCAGACATAGGCGCAACCGTAGTCGGAGAAGTGCGGCGGCGAGGCTCGCTTCCGACGCCACCGAACCCCACCCAGCTTCGATTGTAATATGAAAGGAAAAGAAGAGTAGAAAACAGTAGTTGTACGTATTGTTCGATCAACTACGTAGATTGAGAAAATAGTACATCTTCTTACTAAAGGAAATAGGCTGGTTTCGTCATCATGTCGAAGGTCATTGAACTGGTATCGTCAATGAACGAGTAGCAGTAGCTTCCAGTAGTATAGACATTACTCATTGTGCTTTTAGAAGGATGGTCTCACAGCTTTACCTCGAGGAGGCTTTGTCTATCATCTAGCACTTTTCCAACATTTAGGTTTGTGTATTGGCTCGAAGGATGTGCTAGCCAAGGACAATTTTTTTAGAGAACTACGTGTTTATTGTTCTAATTTGTTTTTATTGGCAACTTTCTCCCGTTTCTTGCGTTCGGGTTCTTCGATAACACGATTATGCTCATTTGTGGTGAATTTCTGCATCGGCATCTCGGTGCCGTGCTGGGCATCTCGGCCATGGCTGGGGCTGCCCTCGGCAACATAGTCGGAGACGTCTGCGGCATTGGCTTAGCGGGAACGGTCGAGTTTTTCAGCGGGAAAACGGTGGAAGACCATCCTCTGACGACGCGGCAGATGAAGCTCGCACCGGTCCAGAGGGTGAAAACATCTGCAATGGCAGCGGGCGTTTTTACGGGCTGTGTATTGGGGATGTTCCCTCTCTTTTTCTTCGAGGATAAAAAGGGGACGAACGCTACTGCTGGTGTGGCGCCAACGACGGGTACGGGTGCGCAAGCGAGCAGCGACCCAAACGGTGCACTAGGAGAAGGTAATTCGGGTGGAATCGCGACTGAAAAGGATCAACATGAGCAGAAAGCTGTTTTTTTGGGTAAAGGATAGAACCAGTCAGACTTTGCACACTATGTGAAGTTTTCTCGTGTAAGAACCGCGCTCTGTCGCAAAACACGCGCCTGTCCTCCACCTCGCGGCTCTCGCCGTTCGTGTCCGCAATCATACAGAGCGTACTTCTAGATTAAGCCTAGTTTTTACGGTGAAAATGGAGCATGGCACTTTAAGACCGTGGTGGTACCAAAAAAGGGAGAAAGAGAGCATATCACACAACATGAAAACGAAAGGGCCATAGATCATACTGGAACCTGAACAAGAAGATCTTTACCTCTGCATCGGTGAAGACAACTGAGAGCGATTTATGAGAGTATATTTAGTGAGGGTCAACATTTTATGTTGTTAACAAAATAATGCTGGAGTTTATAGCCCTTTTTTCCTGTGTCATATCTTTCAATAAACGTAAGGGAACTATGTTTCGCTCGTTCTTCTGACACAATTTCCCAGTGTCACATGATTCTAGCACTGCCAAGCAAAGAAATATTCGTGTTTCATTGGTGCATTGGTTTCATAGTAATGTGTATAATTGCTGGCATTTGTGTTTAGGAGATGAGTCCATAATCACACTTTGCTATTCTCATTGCTCATCCAAAGAGCAGGAGGTCACATGTCAAATCGTGAACGACGCATTAGCAACAAGCGTATGGCGGTGTTGCTTTAGTCGCAAGTATCTAGAATGAGCAGGGCAAGTGGCGCTGCCTCCCAAGACGCGGAAATTTACACCGATGAGCCTCCGAGGTACAAAAATGCAGGGACCTTACATTCGTCCGAGCGCACTGGCTCAGCTACGAGCAGCTCAAGGGGCGGTCCCGTCTCCTCCACAGCAGGAAGCAGGCAGGCTACGTCACCGAATAAGGCGAGCACGGCTCCGAGCGAGTCGAACCGATCTGCACATGGGCAGGAAGCACAACAGGCGCACGGTAACCAAGGGAGCAGCGCAAGCAGTTCAGCGCGACAACCTCCAGAAGCATCGCGCAATACATCTATAGCGACCGCACCAGCGCGTCCGACTTCCTCGTCAACGAGAGGGACTGCAACTAGTACAGCGTCTGGCGCACCACTTCCAGGTGGAGGAGCCTCTACCGCTGCACCGAGCGGCGCAGCACCTAAGCAGGAAGTCGGTGCGGTCGGAGGTGTGCCGGTGCCCGGAGCTTGGTATCCTGTTTTTCAGCAGGCAGTTGAAGAGGATCCGGAAAAGAGCGGCTGCATTCGTTTTCAACCAGTGGAGAACTGGGACTATATGCGCAAAGCAGTAGCATCAAACAATATCGACTATGTGAAGAGCCAAAGCTGGACGCAGGTCGACGTTTTTGGATGGACGTTGTTGCACTTTGCCGCTGATGCCAATTCGGTCCCCATTTTCCACGTCTTGTTCGAGGGCTGCAAGGACCTTGCGCTGACATTAGGGCCTGTTGTAGCAGAGCTTGATTGAGGCTAGTGTTTTTTTGTTGGGCTTTTCTTAGCATGTATGTTGCGTGGTCAGAAAAGTACTTTTACGTAGTAGGTAATCCTGAAGCTCTGGCTTTTTTACAGATCCAGCTCAATTTGATGTGCAATGGCTGCTCTATCATGTGTATCCCAAGTAAGGTCTCTGTGTAGATCTATCTGGTCTAAACAATTGTTCATTTTAACATTTAACATCTGAAGCGAGTAGCGTTGGAGGGGCCGCAGGGACGTTGTGGCAGGCTTTGCTGGACCGACCAGAGCGAGACCTACAGCTGCCTCTGCATGTGGCGGCACGCGCGAACGCGCGCGAGCTGGTGCAGTTGCTGGTATCGGCGCGCGCCGACCCCGCGTGTCGCGACTGCAATTTGTTCACTCCCTTGATCGCGTGCAGCATTCACGGACACAGCAGGACTGTCGAGGTGCTCGCGAAGTTCTGCAGCAAAGCTGTGGTGGATGCCGGTGACAAGGAGGGTCGCACGGCCGTGCACTGGGCCACGATACACGGACACGTGGAAACCTGCAAGTTCCTCATCTACAATTCCGCAAGCCTCTCGAAGCACGACAACTACGGACGGACACCGGTGGAAGCCGCAAAGGACCACAGAGACCAGCTCATTGTTAAGGCTCTCGGAGAAGTAATATAGTATGTGCAAGTTTTACACGGGAACGGGATTCGTTAAAAGTCTCTGGCGGACGTGTTTCAGGGTTTAGTGTAACCTCTAACGAGGTCATTCGGGAGGTGCATAGCCTGAATCTGGAGATGTTGGAAGCCGCGAAAAACCGCGAAACCGCAATAGTTCGCACGTGCCTTGAGATTAAGGTTACAGGTATTGCAACCTCATCCACGAACATCCATCTAGGCTTTCGATCTTGCTTTTCAAGTACTTAGAACAAAGCCTAGGTAGGTATGGCAAGGGATTGATGACCCATCGAGGCACGTCTAAAGAGAAGGGCGCGCAACTGGATGCCGTCGATGATGACGGGTGGACGGCACTAGTGTGGGCTGCACTGAATCGGAAGATTGACTTGTTGCAGCTCTTGATCAACAAGGGGTCTAGTGTGTACATGCGCGACCACGTGGGCAAGACGGCCGCGGACTACGCCGCGAGAGTGGGCGACAATCAAAAGATGCTGCAGCAGTTATTCGACTGCAACATTAAGTACGACTGGAGCCCGATACCAAAAATATTTCGTATCCAAAACGTGTACCCGAGAGACTTTACATTCCTTGAATTGGTACATGATTAACCAATCAACGACTCAACCACTCAATCAATCAACCAACCAATCAATAACGCACACGTTTTATCTAAGCTAGTTTGTATCGTGCGGCTGAAGCCAAGCATCCGGTGAAGTCATTTCTTGAGCTCAAGGCGTACCCGGATTTCGTTGCCGAGCACAACGTTTCTAAATGGACTCCGTTGATGTGGACCTGTTTTAACCTATGAGCTTTGAATGCCTGATGAATTGGACGAAAATGAATGCTAATGGATAAAAGGTGGTCTATCTTTTGTAGAAGAGTTAAAGGAAAGAGACGGTGTAGTGGTAAAAAGTCCTTTTGGTTGGGACAGTGTTGTAGAAAAAATCGAGATTTACCTTCGTAGCCGGGTTGTCGAATTCTGATGAAAATTGGCATTTTATCTCCATGTCAAGAGAAAACCCAAGACAGAACTTACTTGTTTACGCCTGACATTCTTGCTCTCTAATCATTGGAGACCTCGAGTCAGCGCGTGCTTTGTTGGACGCTCACGCGGATCCCGAAAGGCAGGACCTGCATGGGGAAGATGCTCGCTTTCTTCTGGCGCGAGGAAAGTCGGATGACGATGCTATTTTCCATCTGCTTTTGCGGCCGCTTTTGTTGAGTGGACTATTTGCTCTTTATTCGCACTTGATCCAAAGCTTGCCAGGGTCAATCAGTATGTAGAAAAAATCTTTATCCAGCATTCTGTTTATAATGTCACGTGGTTAGGTTATTATCCTTGTTTACGTCTCTATTCTATTTCTAGTACCCAAGTAGATCAGTAGAAATCCGATCCGAAGTTGTTGTATAATCGCGTCCTCGGAGAAGAACAGTTCAAGGTTCAACATGTTCATATGTTTGTCTCCGTACAAGGTTTGGAGCTTATCGGTCGGACTTTACTTGTTAGTGAGTGTTGAGTGAAAAGCCACATCTGGATACCTCTAATGCCGATGACACACGAAGTTGGCGCCGGAGATTCACCTGAGAAAGAAAGAGAGCGTAAAAGCAGCAAGCCGACAATCGAGATTGCAACGCCGACGCAGCGGCTGGAGCACCTCAAGCGGACCAACCTGAACGGCGAGACCCTTTTGCACATGGCAGTCCTGCATGGTCGCGCTGCACTTGTCCGCGCGTTGCTGACTTGCAACTTGTGTCTGATGGAAACGCCATTTCCGCGTTGCGGCCCGCCGGAAGGCGTCCAGCGGACTGAAATGGGTAAGCTCAGCCGCAGAGATAGCATGGGGAACGAGGAAGAAGGGGAGTCAACTCGTTTCGAAAGCAGGGAAGAGTTATGATTGGACATGTGTTTGACCTCTCTCTTGATTAATTCAAAAATGCTTCAAATATCACAGAGTGGACTAGCGAGTCGCCGACTAGGTCCACTTTTGTTATTTTTAGTCGACTACGGCTATTAAGTCCGCCGTTGTTCTTACGTTTATACGATGAGGATAAGAATTAAATTGTGTCATCGCTCCTTACAGACACTCTTTAAGAACAGCACAACGGCGTGCAGAGCTGGAGATGCCATTTACTCGTGCCTGCTTTCTTGGCCACGGTGAGGTTGTGAAGGTGTTTTTGCGGTTCTTTGAAGAGACCGTAGAGCTGCCACTCGGACACGATACGGGTGAAGATGAGTACAGTTCGGTTCCACCGTCAGATCTGGTATCCGACTCCCTCGCGTCCAGTAACCCCTATTCAGCGCCCATCAAGGAGCGGCCGCCAAAAATGTTCGCTGGCGACCGCGACTTCGCAGTGAAGTCCAATTATGATCAGCTTTTTTTTCATCATTGTTCCGATTTGCTCCTGGTCTGTGTAAGAAAGTTAAGTAGTACTAACGTAAGTCACCACAATCAAGATCATGTCGTGTCCGTTATTTTTCCGGCTTCTCTGCGAAACACAAGGAGGGTGTAAGATGGACCATTGAGACGGGTGAGTTGACGAATGAAATTGAAGCAAAGTGAAGCGCATTGCTCTAACCAAAAGGGTCAACCTTCATGCCCGACGAGGACGGCGTCAACTGGCAGACGGAAATGCTCGGGGAAAATATGGGGGATGACATATTTTACACCTCGACGCAGTTTGCGCTCATGCAGGGCGGCCGAGGCGGTGCAAAGGCCTGGAGGAGCGCAAAGAGACGAGAGGCTGGCAGCGGTTACTATTCCTCCTCGAACGCAGCAGACGATGCGGACTTTTTCCAAGACGGAGACCAGCAATTATGAAGTTCAGACAGACTTTCGTAGAGATCTTTCATCAGAGCGGCGCAGACCTCGGCTTTCGTCCGATGCGTATTTTATCTGTTTGTGATTTTTGATTATTCTAGATTTGTGATTGTTGTTTTTTGTGCCGGTGTCTAAGATGTTACGGGGATGACGTGGAGTTCCTGTACGAGGATTCTGCAGGACTCTCTGACTTTGAGGAAGGTGCCGCGGGGCAGCACGGGATGGCGCCGAAGAGCGCCAGCAGCCGTGGCGGACGTCCCAGAAGTAGCACGCTGACGCCACCGAAGCCGCCCTTGGTGGCGCTCACTGAAGATGAGCCGGTTGGCTTCGATCCCGGCGGGGGTGCGGTTGCCCCCGGAACAGCGGGACAACCGCAGGCGAAGGTCCGCATAAAGCCGCCAGGAGTGAAGCTGGAAAACGAGAACTTCATGACGGCCGACTGTTTTCACCCGGGCGATTTCCTGATAAGCAGTGCAGGCTCGGGGCCGGGGAGCGGCGGCTTCTACAAGGTGCAAGAGGGGGCCAGTGTGATGCCAACTGTTCCCGGTTTCTTCATCGAAATCTCTAACGGAAGAAACGTCTATTCTGAAGTCGGAAAGCGGTTGTGCGACGCAGTCGAAGGAAAGAAGCGGAGTAATCAATCATGATTAGCTTGATTTCTGCCTACTTCGTTATTGAAACTAAATCTAAATGCTAGGTTAGAAGGTAGCACAGAAAAACAGATTACATTTTGATCACGTTGCTGAGCAACCTGTGACAAGATGTTTTTCTCGTCAATAAGATGATCGACCATTATGGAGGAGATTGGAACTGGGGAAATTTTGTATCTGTACTACAGTCGTGCAGTATCAACCGGGTGCGCGGCCCTCCGGGGACGATGCGGCTTCGAGCGGGAACGGCAAGCCAGAGGTCCTTGCGAATGGAGCAATCGTGGTGGCTAAGGAGAAGCTATCCATGCTCAAAGTCGGTTACACAAATTAAGAGTAGTTCTTTAATATGCGGGCGTTCTCTGTAGCGAAGGACGCCTGTAACAAGTGAACGAGTAGCCTCTTCCCAGACGCAGGTGTTGCTGTCGAGTAAACTACCAAGAGAAATAATTGTTCGAAGTAGAAGCGGACCCGGCCTCCCCTTACTCTTCCATCGAGATCGACATCCATGATGATTGTTACGCGAGTCAGCATTCTGTTTGAGGAGCTATCGCTAATCGATTGCGGTGCTGGAATACAAGAATGGTCGGTTTCAGTTCAGCACTGAGGGGGAAATTCTGCAGATGATCAACCAGTTTCCGCGTGTAGAAAATTACAAGACCTTTACGCAAGCAAGACGCGACATTGAGCCAGGCTGCATCCTGTACTTTGAAAACGCTCCAACCACGCACGCAAGCCCCTCCAAGGACACGCGAAAAGAGCGTCGCAATAAAAAAGTTCAGACTTCGAAATCGCGACTGCAAAACAAGGGCACGCCTTCCTCTAGCGGCGAAACCACAAACAACTTTATGCATATCTCCATCCTTCGGCGCTTAACTTGACAAAAAATCACGTCACGTAGTAGCATATCCTAGGGTTCGAATTAGAAGAAACATTGATCGCAGTCTATTCCACAACGTTCGTTGTACTGGACTTTGCAGTGTTTTTGCTCTAATAAGGCCAACAGCGAGGAAATGGCCACCGCCGTCGATTCAGACGGCCCAACTGCCGTTGTGAGGAGTGACGAAGAGCTTGAAGTGGATGGCGTTCCCGTCGCCGCTGGAGACACGTATCTCTTCTGCGAAGGTTTCTGCCGATTCGGTGAGGAAGACCTATTTTAAGCTTGTAAATTTACTGTTGGTTGTACGAGGTTTTCTAGTAACCTCAAGCATTAGTAGGTTACAGTTATGCAGTTCGGATTTGGTCATCTTGAATTTTCTTAGCTTTGCGTTGTGTATTCGTGTGTAAAAAAGGGCTCCGCGCGAGCTTTTTTCTAAGTTTCCCTCTGTTTGGATTCCAAGGCGGACGGGATGGCCACGATTTACAATGCGATGGTGCAGCAGGTATCCGAGCGCGCTCCTGTTTCACCGAGCAAGCTGCCGCTGGCGGTGGATGCCCCTTTTCCCCGAGAGGAGTTTTTGACGCTTCAGGGAATCGACGGATATTTGCGCGCGTATATGGGTGAGATCCGCTACCTTGCGCTCTCAGAGGAGGGGCTGCCTCGCGTGGAGAAATCAAAGAAGCGGAAGCACATCACAGTGAAAACCACAAATGCAGATGGAGAGGAGGTTGAGCAGGTCGTCAGCGTTTCGGAGACCGAGACTGGTACTGCTTTGCACCCTCTCATTTTCTCCTGAAGGTTCATCAATCAACAATGTCCATCTTGTCTTCTTGTTCACATTATCGGTTTTCTGTATGGTCGCCTTGTTCCATTTGTTAATTGATGCATTCATCTGTTGTTGAATGTCATACCGTTATTGATGGAGTTACGTGAAATCTATTAGTGTTTGTTGGCTCTCTATTGCACCTAAGTATCTGCAAGCTGAGTACGTACAAAAATGTTTTCTTTTTTCTTAGAAAAGGCATTATTTTCTTTTTAATTGCTGCGCAGCCGCGAGCAGTCTAGTTGCCGAGAGCGCTGGCACGCACCTGACGCAAGCGTCCTCGCAAAAGTCCAAGGGGCCTGTGAATTTGCGGCTCACGCTGCGTCAGCAAGTGAAATCCCGGTGGATCGAGAACTATCCTACGCCGAAAAACAAGCGACCGAAGCGCATGCCGGTTTTCAACTCCCTGGAATTAAGGCTAATTGCATCCTTCTCAGAATCTTTGATGGTCTGCACTTTCTTCCTTGTGAGAAAACTTATGAAAGAATCAATGACTGCGCAAGACCAAAGAACATCTACAAGGGACTCGATACATTATTCCTGGATGGCGATGAAGGAGAATGACAGCAGGGACACAGACATGTCAACAAAGCAGCTTATGTTAGGGCGTGCTGTAGCTATAATGCATGAGAATATAGCAGTTCTAATTCAGGCTCACCACGAGAGCGGTGCACTTTCGCCTCTGCACCTGTGCGTTCGCGCAGGATCCGTCTCTGGCACTATTGCGATTTTGAACCATCAGTTTGAGTTCGCGTACCGCCGCATGCTGGTGTACCTGGCTCCGAACTTGCTCGTTCTGGCAGCTCAGAGCGGCAGCTGGGACACTTGTAAGTTCCTCCTCGAGTCGGACCTCAAGTTATCACGAGGAGTCTACATGCTATCACATAGATACTCTTGCGTTTCACAGTTTCTACCTTCAACGAACTTCTTCACTCGTCTCGATTTCTTAACACAGGTTGATTTTTCATAAAAACACATCTACGTCAAAGCTACTTACTGTGTGCCTTCCAAACCTGAAGGATGAAGCCAAAAGTGTTGTAAGAGGCCAAAGACAGATTCATCTTTAGACCGATGAGGCATTTTTACAATTTTTTTTCTAGCTGCGCTAAACGATCCGGCTTGGCAATTTGAGAAGATATGGAATGCGGTATTGCAACGTGCGCAGCACGAGGCCGCGGTGCGACAATATCCACAAGTTTGCCGCTTGTTGAAACCGTTCCCGCGATTGCCAGACCGGACACTTGAGTACCGCTGCTACGTCTATGGCTTTCCGGTCGGGGTCTTAAGGCTCGTTATTTTTCCATCTTCTTTTGAAATATTGCGTTGAGGCTAAGGAAAGACTAATTAAGGAAAGTAATAATTCCTAGATTTAGCGGAATAGCGAAGAACGGGATAAGAAGTGGTTATTGCGAGACGCTGCTGTTAAATCAGAAGTCCACGACATGATGAAAACTTCTTTTTACTTCATCAGAAGGTACCATAGTGTTAGTATTACTAGGCAATGTTGCGGACAACGCGGCCTGGCAGCAGAGCCGCGGACCTTGAACCTTGAGCCTAGTATTACTAGGTAATGTTCCTGAGTATTGCTACTTAGGTAATCTTCCTATGATTTGAAAAAACTATTTCTAAGGATGGATCCAAACCAATTCCGAGATTGGCTGGACGAGCGGTTGGAGGATCTCCGCCCGCGCGAGTCGGACGCGGTTCCGGAGTATCACTGTGGCATCATGCAGGACCATCTCGTGAACGCGCGAAAGAAAAGCACATTCTGGGTTTCGACACAGGAATGGGAAACGTTCTGCAACGTGCTCGATGTGCATGGGGAGACTTACACTTAAGAACATCAGCAACATTAACTCTATAATCTTAATGATTGACACTAAGAAAATATCCGCGTGCTTACCCCTATTCTTACTCCCTTTATGCTCTATAATGATTGAATGTGTGACTGTCATCTGGCATGATTTTTGGGAGTGCCTGACTGTTATTCTGGCCACCTTGGTCATTGTTTTAGTCCCTTTGTTCGACTGATTGCGAGGCAAGAAAGCAATTCTCCGGATGTTACGTGTGGGATGAAGCAATTCAGAGGCAAATCATCGCGTATTGAAAATTTTGCTATGCTCTAAGGCAGGTATCAAAAACCGATCACGTATCTATGGGAACGCAAGGTGCCGCATCTAGTAGCTAAGGAAGCTTTGGCGCAAAGCACGCACCGGCCGCACATGATATCAGTGATGGCCTGCTATCACTCCGAGTTCATATCGCAGTATTTAAGGCAGAGATAACGAGACAGAGGTTTTTTGCACGTGTTCGTAGAATAGTCATTTGTCTGATTTGGTTCAGAGATGAATATAAACATCTTTTTCAAATCAAACATATATTTTTGATAAAGCAGTGATAGAATAAAATGGTCGTTTCGCCTGTTAGTTGAGGAGTGTCCATTTTTGAGACGCGGTCGCTGATGATTAAAGCCATTTCTTCGTTCTCGGTCTAAAGTATCTCGCGGCGGTGCAGAGAATACGCCTGGACGGGGAGAGCCCAAGGCGGAAACGCGGCGTCTCGCCGACAGGCAAGCAGCGGCGGCTGCGGGCTCTCGGTCCGTACCTGGGTGGGGAGCAAGTCCGAAGCGAAGACTACTAAGATCGCTTCTAACGATGCCTGTGAGTACGATTCAAAGTACGAATACTTCTTCCACCGGCTTGAAGTCTAAGGCATTCTGTTTCATGAAGCGCACCTGGGCGCTTTTCTTGAATGGGGTATGATGGTTAGTACTGCTTGTGCTTTGATTTTTCACTTCGGGCAACTGCTGTGGCTGTGGACATCTCAAGGGAACAACCAGTGTGGATACATCACGGCTTGACTCATGCTCACTCGCAGAAAAGTGAAACCTGGTTTGTATTCGAGATGAAACTTTGAAGTCTGGTGCTGTTCGTTGCACAACAAAAAAATTTGATGTTATCAGAAGACCACCCTGCATCTGTTTGGACCTTAGAAGTAGTGCTTGGTTGGTGAATCTCTTATAAAGTCGGTGAAATGAAGCAAACTGTTGGTCTGATGGGAAGTCGTTTGGGAAATCTGTAATCGCAAACATGTAGTCGCTCGTACAGCATCGCTCCATCTCCAAGGGTTGAAAAGGTAAAACTGCCTGCAAACCCATTCTGTACAACTACTAGTCTAAGTTTCGATTTGTCGCGAAAAGTAACGGAGAGAGAGAGATCAACACTGTCGGCTCCCTTCATACCCTACCCGAAAACCTCTAGAAAAGTAGACCTCTCGGTTGTTGTGAAAGTGCTTATGCTGCATGCATTCTGACCTCGCGTGGTCAATGGCTTCGCTTCGTGTGAAACGTGTTCCTACGTGGAGTCTTTGTGATGAAGTTTTATTGGTTGCTACGCGACAGACACAATGATCAACGTATGACTACGCTATCCATTGACCCTTGTGTCATCCTATGTAGCCTATACGCTTCCAAATTCTACCAATTTATGTTTCAATTTCAAAAAGAATGAGCGCACAGCCTGAGGACAGGAGAGGTCACTGAGAGACATGAGGTGTGCCTTTATGCTATTTGCAGCATGAGACGGTAAACATACAACAGTACTCTCAGAATTGAGCGAGATACAATATTAGCGCCATTACTTGTGTTCAGCATAGATAGTGCCGACTTTGTCTCTGTCATGTTCTAATTGCTGAAGCGTTGCTGGCTACTCAAATTTATCTCGATAACTAGCATCCTATTGGAACGCAGACGGACGTATGACGATGACATTGTCTTTTCTCAAGCCAAGGATTCTAAGTTGTGTTCTTGAAACAAGGCCAGAGGGAAACCTTTGAAGCTTCAAGTAAGTCGAGAAAGTTGTGGCAAAACGTGAGCGAGAAATAGTCTGAAAAATTGTTGAACAAACATGAAAGTCAAATGCAACGGAAATGGATTACTGCCAGGCTTCTATTTTTTTCATGCAGATCAATATTGTCGATCATGAAGGTACTAGATGGTTGTCCACACAAATGGCGTTGTTTTCCCAAAAATCGGCTCAACGTGTGATTGACGTTAGGCCGGGTTGTCTTTTCCCAACTCCTGTATTCACCATGCTTTTTCATGTGTAAAGTTATGACTTGTTGTACTACGATGTTGCTCAGTAAGAATCCCCGAATGTTGTGCTTAGTTGTAGTACAGAGGAGGGGTGTCCCATCTGTCTCTGTTATAACTACATGCCCAGAAAGCGTGCCCAGCAAGGGCCCGCCACACTGGGCATAGGTTAGAAGCAACGAGACAGATAAGACAAACGAAGCAACAAGCCATCAAGTCACCAAGCTAGCGACGCGCGGTCGGCTTAGAATGAACCAGCGTGGACGCTGGCCATGGCTAGGCCAGGAGGCTGGCTATGGCTACGCTAGCAAGCTGGAGGGGCTATGGTTAAGCTAGCAGGCTAGTTAATATTGCGAAGCTGCTAGGTAGCAAGTTGGTCATGACTAGGCTAACAGGCTGTCTATGGCTAAGCTAGCAAGGCGGCGGGCTTGCGTGCTAATATGGCTAAGCTAGGAAGCTAGCTATGGCCAAGCAGCTAGCAAGCTAGCTAGGCCCAAGCAGCTAGCAGGCTAGCGATGGCTAAGCAGCTAGCAAGCTAGCAACGGCTAACCTAGCAAACTAGCCACGGCTAACCTAGCAAACTAGCTACGCTAAGCTAGCAGGCTAGCTATCCTATTTCTAAGCTAGCAAGCTAGCTATGGCTCAGCAGTTAGCAAGCTCGCCATGGCTAAGCTAGCAAGGAAGGCCCTTAAGCTGTGGCTCTTAAGGAAGTGTCTGATTTTTGCGCAATTTTATTTCAAGGGCCCCCTTAAAGAGCTCCCTTAAGGGCCACTTTTTGCCCTTAAGGGAGGCTTATAATTGATTTCTGTAATAGGAACTCCTTAAGGGTGGATGTCATTTCCTTAAGGAAGCTTCTTAAGGCGGCCTCCTTAAGGAGAGATCTTGGCCTTAAAAAGTTGCTTACACTATAAATACTAATATAAGTAGTGAGCTTGCTCAGTCGCGTGTTCTTGATGATCTCTTTTCTTTTATGATAAGAGCATGGACGTCGAGGTTCTTCTTCGACCTTTTTCCAGCAGCTCTCTTGTATTGGAGCACGACGTCGAACTCGAAAGAGCGTCATCATCGTAGCTGATTTAGGCGGGGGCCGCAAGATGCGGAAGGTCCTTTTCGTCGTCGTGTCAGCGTGCTTTACTGCGTGGCCGGTCCGCGCCGGCTTTCGGAAGCACGGAGATGGCCGCTGTACCTACAATCAGGAGCTCGTCACCGGTATAAAGACGAATTTTGAAGGCTTCGACCATGCGGTGGCTTTCAAGCTCTGTCGAGACTACTGTGCTGGAGCTGGAACCAGCTGTTGGGGGTACCAAGTCATTTTTCCATTTTTGTAACATCGTTAGCGTTACAACAGATCGTGCGAGTTCTTAAAGGGAGGAGCATTTATCATTATATATACTCATTGTGATATTTAGCCAGTTGATATTGTTCATGTAGACATCTTTGAATTTACATGAATGATATTGAAGGAAAAGAAACGTGGATCGAGTCAACAATGGAATAATTACATTCCAACCGGAATTATTACAACATTAACTAACTCTAACTTCGTAAATAAGTAGCTAGGTATAGATACTACTGTGTGCTAGTACAACGAGGGAGGTTTAGCTGATTTACCTGTTCCTAACCATGCTCATCGATTCTGATCTTGGTTCTTGAAAATGAATACAGTGATGACGTTCTTGAAAATGAATCGCCTTACCTAGGATAACGTGGTCGCAATGTCGCCTCTCGTGCGTGCTGCATGGTATGCCTCAGCTATTGTACAATCCGCCGGCAGGCAGTGTGGCGGTGGGGGAGTCGGCGCTTGGCAGTTCGTGTCCGATTGAGCCACTGACGCCACAGCCGACGATGTTTAAACCGATAGGCGGCGTTTCTATCGGGGAGGAGCCGCCAACCGTGATGAATAGTGACGTTACGCATCCTCTAACTAGTCCGACAGAAGTAGATGTGTCGTCTTCGCTACTCGCAACATTAGTTAATGTACCTCTTGCTAGGCGAATTCATTCATTCATATCTCCCGATAGGAAATGTTAATGAATTAACGCATTCATGATGCAGACGCTTTCGTAGCCGTCGCTTCTGGTGTTAGGTAACATTCGATCACTCGTTCACTCTTCACAAGACTAGCTGATGGTACAGCATCTGGAACGCTCTAATCTCGGGTTTTGTGATGCTGTCTGCATTGTCCACACCATGGAGTGCTTCGTCGGTCCAAACAATGACCATAATGTCTTCGTAACAACGAGTACTGCCGAACCCCTGAAGTTATGTCTTTCTCCTAGCTTCTAGAGAATGTAATGCGGAAGAGCACAACAAATCGTTATTTCACATGACGCTTCAAAGAGAAGCATCATAGAGGACTGGCACATCATGTGTGCTGGCCAATTCTTGATTTCATCAAGACGTATTTTCGGACATTCTGTGCCCAGAACTAGTGCCCGATAACTACCAGATTCATATTACACGGCTTTCAGATGATGACTGCGTTACACGACTATACTCGAGGAATCTAATTTCTGGGGACATTGATGAACCTTACCTCTGGTTTCTTTTGTAATTTCTGGACTGTTCCCATAAATAGGGATTGGTACTTCGCTGACTCCCGCACACGCTCTAACTTTTCTATTGGTGGCGCCGAATACACGCGTACAGCCAGGACGATACACAACAGGCCAGTGCCCTACAGGTTATCAGGGCGATGTGGATCTACTTTGTCAGTTGGGAAACTTGGTACTGCCTCCAGGCGTGACGAAGCAGATGAAGTGTAACTCAGACTGTCCGCAAGGCACTGTGCAGGCACTCGAAAGCAAGGAAGTGGTACTAGCTGCAAGAATGTAGCGATTATAAATCTACTTACTACATCAGCTGCAAGAATGTAGGCATTAGAAATCTGCTCAGTACACATCTTAGTATGAATCGACGATTCATCAAGATCTCCAACATCAACGCTAGCAAAATTGTGTTTGTGATACAATGCCTTCTGAAGCTTCAGCGCCCTTTAAGGGCTTCGAGTTTCATCATCAAATAAGGAGGTTTCCAATCCTAGGTTAAAGAACTGAGGATATCATGGTTTGATCTACAAGCACAACATTGTTTGATCCACAATAAAAACCAAAGGTTGTCGTGCCACCAATGCAGCATGGTACAACGCAAGATGTGCCATGTCCTCCCGGTTTTGGGGGTCCGCTGCGCATCCGTTGCTTCAACGGGGAGTACTTTTATACTGAGCAGAAGTGCGGTAACGATTGCCGCGCCGGGAACCTGCAGCAAAACGGGGCGCTGTTGAGTTACAGCGCCATGCCGCACCGCAGTATCCAGGACGTGGTTTGCGTGGAGCCCTATCTGGGCACGATCCGCCTGCAGTGCCAGGATGCCGTGATTCAGGTACTCAGCGGCAACTGCTTGCTGGGGTGTCCGGTTGGAACCCCCGATGCGGAGGGCATCGTGATTCCAAACTCGCTGCCGCGCGTGCTGCACCCGACCGGGATTCGGTACAGCTACATCGCAGACCGCGAACAGATGCAAACGCTGGACTACTCCGTGACGGTGGCCATGGCCCACGACGAGCGACGCGTGGCGAACTGTCCAGGGCAGTACGTGGGGACCTTCACCATGCACTGCTACCACGGCGAGATCGCCATCACAACGCTGGGCGTACCTTGCGCCTCCAACTGCAACGACTTGCGCCCTTTCCAGGCGGGCCAGTTCCTAAAGGCGTTTCCCAGCGGCCCCAGCTACAACGGCACCGTGTCCCGCTTTCCCTGCGAAGAGACCAACACCATGGTGCGGGCCGAGTGCCGCATGGGAAGATTTGTGGCCGTGGATCAGTGTTTCCGGAACTGCCTTCCGCAGGCGGTTTACTACGAAGGGATGCGGCTCAACGTTACCAACGTGACGCAGCACGGGGAGGCCCTGTTCCGCGAGTGCGAGCCGGGCTTCTCGGGACGCATCGACATGCTGTGCGACGACGGGTGGGCCTACGTCACGCGGTACGAGTGCGGTCAGGACTGTCCAGGTAGTTCCATTTCAGTCGGTTCTGTGACCGTGTCCTTTGGTCCGCAGAGGCACCAGTCGCAGTTCGTCGCACCGTGCCCAGCGGGCATGCTTGGCGCGGTGAATATGCGCTGCGAGGACGGATCGCCGCAGTACGTCAGTGGGCGCTGTGAGGCGACCACAACGACGACCACCACCACAACGAGGCTCCTGGCGTGCCACAACGTCACTGTTTCAATGGCCTATAACGCAGCGCAATACGAGCGGGCTGGAAATCGCTCAGGCCACGCGCTGGCTGCAGACATTTCGTATCTCCCACACGGGGAGACAATGGAGGTGACCTGCCCCCCTGGGTTTGGCACTGACGCGTTCGGAACACGAAAGATAGAACTCTTCTGTTAAGGCTATACTTTTTCAACATTTGATCTAAGATGTGATTGTCACTCACAAGCTGCTTAATGATTTTTTTTTTGAGTCAGTAGTACGCGTACGCTTGTTTCATAGATTTAGCAAAGTTATTATGGTATCCTCTCGATTATCATGTTCACGTAGGGTACATTCCAAGAGAGAGTGTGAATCAGACGTGTCGTGTCTAACTTTGCGACGCTTTGGGAGAAGTTAATATGACAGATCTGCAGAGGGCTATCTTAAGTGGCGCGGGAGGTGGAGTCGCGAGACCCATCTTCACCAACGTTTCTCTGAATCTCTCCTTTCCTGGTAGCTCCCTCGCTGAGTACCAAACCTATGTGGGCGGCGAAGATTACCAACGCGCGCTCGAGTTAGAAAAGCTTGAGTTGGATACCGCAGGCACCTCCAGGACGGCTCGGTTACTGAGCTCCGCCTCTCAGTTTGACGGTGAAGCGTTGACGGGATCGGTCATGCAGCGTTTCGCGAGTCAGCAACTGGAGAACTCTTATTGGCCGTCAGGCATAGTCGACTTGGAGAGTTCGCAAGACCAGAACAGTGTTGGGGAGCTCTCTACGGTGGCTCCCCGTCGTGAGCTTCACCACCCTCCCCTGCCGGTAGGGCAGACGCTGCCACCGTACGAGCAGACGCGGCACGACATGGGGCCGGGCATCCTGTCGCTGGACCCTGTGGCAAATTATACCGCTCTGCGCGGGCGCTTTCGTTACTACCGCGTTGCCGACATGCTGAATGTAACCAGCGCAACCGCGCCTCCGTATCCGTACGAGATGGCGAAGCGGTACGGCGAGCAGCCCTACGACAAGGTGTTCAGCTTCGATGAAAACGGAACTGCCACCGAGATCCCGCAGCCGGGGCGCTCCTCGGTACACCACTACGCGATCGACGCAAGCTCGCCGCCCTACGCTGGGCTTCCTCGGTTGATCATTGTTTCTCGCGTGACCAGCTGCGGCCAGAGTTGCTACCCGCCGCTGGATTTCGAGCATGTGGACTTGCGGTACGCTTCTGGGTCCTTCACGTACAGCTTCAATACGATCGTGAAGCATGGCGACGAGGTGGAGTTCGAGTGCGACAGCGGCAACAAAGTGCGCTTTGCGTGCTGGGACGGCATGTTCTCGAAGCTCGACAACACGGAGATCTGCGGTGCCCAGTGCACTGTTGATAAGGTGGAGCAAATGTGGGAGCTAGCGGGACTCACGGAACGTCTTGACTACAATACCACGCTGAGCATCATGTTTGAATTTGCGACCACAACTACTACGACACCGGAACCGACCACGGAACCGCCTCCGCTGCTCTTGGGAATGACACGCCCGCCCATGATTACAAGCGACGTCGAGACCACGACACCCGACCCATTAATGGTCACGCCTCACTTCGACTTCTATTTACGCTGACACCTAGTTTTGTGTTTCAAAAACTCGGTTTCGTTCTCTTCAGAAGCACGTCTTGGTTAGTAGGTATCTCTTACAAGAAGACAATTACACGTAAATGTAGACTAGTGTGAGGTACTCTGAAGCGTGACTTCAGAAAGTTTCGCAAATGTGATGTCCTTCTTCTAGGTATGACAGAGATTAAGTCTAAATAGGCATGTCGGTTGTTCAATCAACGTTTATTTGATTGTAGTAAGTAGTCGTCGTAGGTCTGAAAGCGCTAATCTGTTCTGCGCAGAACTTCACGCCCTTTACGCTGCAGCACATGGAGACGCGCGTAGCCAGCTGCTGGAACAACTACAGTACGACAGATTTTTTTTCAGAGAACCCTTTGCTGCTCTGCTACAACGGCAACGTCACTTTCGGGACGCCGGACTTCGCGGTGGGGCCGTCCGGCAATGTCTTGGCCGCCGACTCGCCGTTGCGCCAGAGTTCGGCTTTCACCTTTAAGCAGGTGGAGGCCTTGCGGGACAGTGTCCCGTGTGGGCGTAACTGTCCGCAGGACGGTTTTCGCTTTCAGATTGGACGTGCGGACCCAAACTACGTCGGCTTCCAGCGCAACACGTTCACGGACAAATTCGTGCATCTCTCGGACCTGAAGAACAACGAGGTTTTCCTCGAGTTTTTCTGGGGAAACCAGCCAACGGCGGCGACCACGCTGGAGGACCACGAGTGGGATCCAGACGACGACGGAATGGAAGGGTACTACGACCGAAGGGGTTATGTGCAGCCAGACTACGAGGGACTGGCCGGCAGCGCGGGCAGCAGTCAGCAAAGTGGCGCATTGCGGTCTCTAGTGGAGAACTACGGGGAGGACGACGCGGCCATGGTCGAGCGCGAGAACCAGCGCCTTTTGGGGGAAGCCGTGCGACGAAGACGAAGAACGGACGCCGGCGACGATCATGGCAAAAGCACGAGCAGGGATGGAAGCGAGGCCGTGAAAGAGAAGACTCGTTTCTACGACCGCCGTGGCGTAATCGACCTGGAAGATCAAAGCGTGCGCGCTGGGAAGACGGCATCCTTTTCAGGGAGACCCTCTGCACAAAAGGCGCGAGCAGTACATCGCCGAGATGGTTCCAGGGGAGCAGGGCGGAGGGATCAGTCACGTGCTGACGTGGAGGTGACGACGAGCAGCAGCGAATCCGAGAATATCCGCGATCTGCAAGAGTTCGATCCAGTGTTCGGGTACTATAGACCCGTTCGCATGCCAGGATTCGATTGGAACGACGTGGAGTTCGAACGCGAGCCGACGTTTGCGTTGATGCGGCACGGATCCACTTTTGAGCAGCGTTGCGAAGATATTTTGGGCCGAATTTCACCGGTTGGCAACGTCAAACTCTTCATGGGCACCGTGCAGTGGAGCTGCTTTGATGGCCAAGTGGCCGTTGTTGCGACGTGCAAGCGGCGTTGCATGGAGGTGGGTTACCGGAAAATTTTCCCCGGCGGTGAAAAAACGGAGATTCAGAGTGACGCTACGAAGTACTACGACCACGACGCCATCATTCACACCCCCTGCGTCGAGACGAATCCTTACGCGCGTGGAGGCGGCATCGATCGTCAGTGTGTGGACGGCTCGCTCGTTCTACTAAAGGAAGAGTGCAACATTGACTGTAGGCCTTTCTCCTACCGCGGGCCTGGACTAACAGTAACCACACCAAGGACAATTGCACATGGGACTACCGACAACGTGTTCGACTGTCCTCCGTACAACGCAACAGGTATTAACAGCGCGTACAAATCTCTTCCAAGTAAAGTAGCCCAAAGTGACAAGGCTTTAGTAGTTCACTTATTTATTCGCGATCGCTCGTAATATTCCTAGATTTACTCTGATATGATCAGTCTGCTTCTTATTGAGAGAGTACTATTGGATGGAACAAGCGCTTTTTTCAAAAATTGAATGTATTAGGTACATACCGAGTGGAGTGCTCGGATGGTATCTTCAAAGTCCCAATGGTTGATTGGGGCTGCCAGTTGCATTGCCTGCCAACGCCGTCCGACCACGGCGGCGAATACCGACATGGCTTTATCTATCATGACACTTTTCATCGCGGATACTGCAATGATAGCAGTGTGATCTCCGTTGGCTGCTTCAATGGTCGTACATCCATCGTTGCGGGAGACTGCGGCTCGCCGTGCCCGAGCGGAGAGATCCAGCTTGACCCCGAGCGTCCACTAGACCCGAAGGCCGTGTTCTCGACGTTCAACCACATGCAAACGCTGGAGGTGAACTGCACCGGTGGGAGCCGGGGGAGCGCGGAGCTCTTCTGCATGGATTCTCAGGTCACCAAGCAGAATGTGGACTGCAATTAGGGCCTCTTGTAATACTCCAATGCGGCTAGAATCTAGTTCTAATAAAGCTTGGTAGCTTTCCTGAAAATAGCGAAAAGCACAACAAGATGAACCCACAAGATAAGATCCTATTGTTTTTAGAAGTACAGAGGGAACAAGTGAAAGAACCCTTCTACTTCCACCACTATTGTCGCATAGGATCGATGCTTATGTCAAAGGAAAAAGCACTTCTCCTACTTCCAGGACTACTTCAGAGACTTCGTAAGCTAATAGGTGTAATTGTTCATAAAAAGTGAAAGCTCAAAATGAATTACTTCTGCTTTCAGAGAGATCTAATGCAAGGCGGACTGCCCCGTGGAATACGCATTGGAGACTAGCTCGTTCGTAGATCTGGCGATCCAGGCAGACTTTGACCCGCGAAACTACGGCAAACTGGCTACAGGCCAAGCGCTGCTGCCGGGATCTCTCTCGCGCTACCGCTGTGCGGGTGGCGAGGCGCTCGTTCGTTGTGAGACTTCAGGCTTCCCCGTGGTAGAAGGCGTCTACGCGCTTCCCTGCGATATTCCCATACGTCTCTGCGGATGCTGCGCGACGGTGGCGCAGTTGCCAGTCTCGGCTGCGCGTTCCCGGTGGCCGTCACTAGGATCTGGTATGCTTCTCTTGGGTCTATTGCCGTTTTTGCTCTCGTTTTCTGGCCATAATGGTGTTGGCGTGGGCAGAAAGCGCTAGTTTTACCGAGAAATGAGTAAGTAGTCAATCCAGAGGCGTGCGTTTGAAAGGTCTTCCTGATGCACGACCACAAGAATCTTTCGGAGCTACTTTGCGCGGCAAGAGAAAACCGAGCCTCTACCTTTCTGCGGTGCGAGAGCGAGCGGCATTGGCACTAGCGGCGCTCCGCCTCGCGTGCCCGCGAGCGGCGCGAGCTTGTTCTCTAACGCGGCGTGCGTGTGTTTGTGGGTATTTAGGCAGCATGCTGCGGAGAGTATGCAGATGGCGGCGCCGATGACGCGGAGACCTGCGGCTTTGGTTCGGTCGCCCCACTCATCTCGGGTCTTTGAGTTCAGCACGGTGCTCAAGGAAATGCATCCCACACAGAGGTGCAGCATCCGCAAAGGAGTGCCACGAATATGCGGCACTGGTAGAGGGACCTGGAGATCATGCCATACAGATTATCGTGACTCTGCATCCCCTGTATGCTTCCCTCTAAATACTTGGATTTAGTGGCTAGGTACACTAACTGGTATTGGAGGACCTTCGTCCGCGGGCAACTCGGCTGCGAATGCTTGTTGCATAAGTTCAAGTTCTTGAGTTCGTTTCTAACAAGAAAGCGCCACTTGTCTAAGTAATTGCTTCGGAAAGTATTTACATTTATACATGTTCTTGATCCGCCGTCTTTTGGTAATTTGTGAAACGATTAGTCATCTTGTCCTTGTACTTGTTGCTGGTTCATTTCTTGTCCTTGATTCATGTACAGAAGCCATACAACTGAGAAGATTTTTGAGATCCTGAACTTTTTAGTAGCATTCATTGCACAGAGTAGACCTAGACGTCATTGCGGTGCTTAGTCTTAGGAATTGCATAGCTTGGAAGTCTAGATATCCATGAGGCGCAATTAAATTCAGCAGCTTGAAATCACGGTATATTCCGAGAGTTCTTCGCTTGTACTCAAAAATCGATTGCACTTATATCGTCATAATCGGTAAAAGATCAGGCTATCGGTACACGAAACGGCGAGGAAAAACCTATCACTGCCGCGAGTTCTGTTCCTCACTATCGGTGAGCACCGTGCGGCTCACATGTGTACCTTCCCTCATCTCGTCTCTTCACTGTCAACGAAGTAGTGTAACACATCTATGCATAACGAGCAATGCTATTGAAAATAATTCTTGAGAAACGTTTTTTCGTTCATTTGCTGATATCTGCTAACTGCGAGACTGAAGACTTAGGTTATCATCGAGCTTCCACACAGACGTATGTGGTCTACGCTATCAAGTCGCACTCTATCCTATCCTCTAAGTTTTCTAGAATACATGTTCACTCCATTTGAAATACGTAGTGACACAGATGACCGGGTTGAATACAAAGAAATGACAAGAGCTGAAACTTATCGTTGTGTTGGAGAATATTGGATTTTAACATCAGGTTGTGTTGGAAAAGAGGTCTTCTTGACGTATAGTGCGACCGCGTGATGTCGACTGCTGGTGAGGACCATTCTGTGGACCAGACCGCTAGGGCGCCGCTTGCGCGTGATGTGGCCTTGCGTCGACGCGCAGCAGACATTCTGAGCCGGCGACGACAGGCGGAGGTGTTTCGGGGCTACCGGCAATCTTCGCCTCTTCTGCTGTCCTCGCCTTCGAGAGCCATGGTTGCCGAGCAATTTTATATAGCCTCTGACACAGAAACAGAATGTGACGAAAATGAGCATGAACAGTGTAAGAATGCAGACGAAAGGGTGGCAGACGAGGTGGAGTCAAGCCCGGGAGAGGCAAGTGGAGGTGGAATGTTTCTGTTTCACAAGGGTCTCGAGGGCAGCAGCTCTGCGTCAGGCGACGAAGCGGCTTCACGGCCCCGAAATAGTGACGTTGAGTTTTTTGGAGCTAAGAGCGCCTCGTCGTCTTCTGGAGAGGAGGAGCAATTGGCGCAAGCAGCTAAGAGCTCACGTTCGTCTTCGAAAAATGCAGCACACACTGCACTAGACGAGAAGGAAAGCCATGGAGGTTACGTGGTGCCCTTCTCGCATTCTCAAGATTCCAACGAGGAGCGTTCCGACTTCTCCTCACGCAAGGCAAGCCCGCATAGCTCCTTCATCGAGTCCGCACTAGCTTCTCCTGGAACTGAGGGGGAGAGCCAAAGGCGGCAGGATGAAAATAGTGAGAGTAGCATGGAATTGATCGGAGGTACCAGTCCACGACAAGGTTTAGATGGAGCCGATGAGGGGGAGACGGAAGCAGTTGCAACAGGGGCAGAAGAAAGGAAGACCTCCAGTATCCTTGCCGATGCTGACGCGAATGCAGCTACATCCAGCGTCGCGGAAGAAAATGAAAAGCGGACTGAACAACTTTTGGCTTCAGCAGAGTCCGAGAAAAGAGAGCCTCTAGGAGCCGGCGAGAGAGGAAAGCAAAGCCTTTCAGAGCGGGATGCACTTCTTGCAGAAGCTGCTGCTGAAAAAGAAGCAATCTTGGCTCTAGCCGAGGCCGCGAAGCAAGAGATTCTGCTCGCCGCGGAGAGAGAGAAATGCGAGATGCTGTCTGCGGCGGAAAGGGATCGAGAAGCAGCTCACTCGTTGCTAAAGGCGAAGGAGGCGCAGACCGTGACTGAGGCTGAGGAGACGGCAAGAGAAGTTGTGGCCGCAGCCGAGGCTGCCGCAGAAGAGACACTGGCGGCTGCAAAGCGGTCGGCGACCGCGCTGCAGGCAGCTGCGGAACAGAAAGTAAGCGAGGCGGAAAACGAGGCAAACAGTTTGCGGAGTACAGCCACTGTTGAGGCCTCCAAACGAAAAGCGGACGCGATCTTGGACGCACGGCGGGAGGCGGCCGAGATTCGCAAAGCGGCGGAGGCCGAACGTACAACGGTCTTGCAGAAGGCGGAGGCTGACGCGGAAGAGATCCGCGCGGGCGCGGAGGCGCACCGCCAAACGACGCACGCCGAGACCGAGGAGGAGAAGCGGCGGCTACTGAAGCACTCGGAAGCGCATTGCGAGACGCTACGCGCGACTGCGCGAGAGGCACATGCGGCGAACACAGCGGCCTGCGAGCAGCTCTTCGAGCTGGCAGAGGTGCAGCGACAGCAAATCGTCGCGAGCGCAGAGGGAGAGCGCGACTCCCTGATTGAGAAGGCTCGTGCCTCTTCCGTATCCTTGCTCGAGGAAGCGGAGCAGAAGTGCTCAGAACTTCTTTCCGAAGCCAATCGCCGCGCTGCAGATGAGAATGCATTGCTGGCTAAAGAGGCGCGCGCAGAGGCGGCACGCTTGCTGGCTGCTGTTCGAGGGGAGGCCGCTGACATGCGAGCAGAATTCTTTACGTCGGAAATCGGGGCAAACTTTTTGCGGCTGCTGCGCGATCTGCGCCTGTTGCGGACAGAGATGGAGCAGTCTCTAAGCGAAGATCTCGACGTTGATGTGCAATCGCTGCTCGCACAGGCAGGTAAAGCGCAGCTTCCCGACACGATCCTAGACTGGCGTCTTGCAGGAGGCTCGGACTCGGAATACAAAAAGGTGGACGTAGTTGGATCGTCCGTGGCGCAGGCTGTTCCTGAAGGCACGGCCGAAAAGGCCATTACTCGGGCAGAGCAAGGCGCGCATTTGCTCTTTCCGTCTAAGCGCGACTTCGAGCAGCTGTGCGTCCTTGTGGACGCCTGCCTGCAGCTAGCTGCTAAGGGGCATGCAGTGCCAGAAAACTTTCGTAGCAGGAGTTCAGGTCGAAAATCGAGAGCCTCGGCGCGCTACTCGATCTTTGGGGCGCACGTGGGCTCTGCTCATCGGTCCAGTTCGGCGCCGATTGCGGGACGGACGCGAGCCTCACGCTTTTTGCTTGCTGCGCCGGTTCTGACATTAACGAAAGACGGAAACGACGAAACCAGCGTTGACTTCGCAGGCACCGGCGAGATGATGGCGCGTTCGAGACAGCCGCAGCGAAGGGTTGAAGATGAGCAGGCTGCTCCGGGCCAAGGTGGTGGCACAGTGGTAGGCAGGTGCTTACCCTCCAGGACTTCGCTGGAGACCAAGGGGGCGCGCGAAGTAAGAGAAGATGACGCCAACGAGGATGAGCAAACGGACGATAAGCTCACTTCACTAGGTGATGCGGCCTTGCCAAAGGGAAAGCGTGGGCGTGCGTACTTCAGTATTCCGCCCTCGTCGTCGTCAAGTAGTAGCTCCACGACAGACGACGAGGAACAACGGGCGCGGGAGTTGCGAGATGAAATTTCGCTGGCAATCGAAGAACGCGATCGTGACGTCGCCCGGCTGAGTTCCGACTTGGGCGCAGCGCGAGAAGCGTTGGGTGGCCGCGACGAGGAAATCACGCAGTTGAAAAGGCGACTGGAGGATTTGGAAGAGCAGCTCTACGACGACGCTGGGGATGCGGCCGCCCTCAGCAACAAAAACAATCGAGCTGCTGCGTTGTTCAAAGGAGTGGCTGGAGCAGGCAGCAAAGGTGCTTCCCGTGGGAAGGCCTTAGATGCCGCGGAAGACGAAGAAAGAGACCCGAACAGCGTTGCTGCAGGAGATGGCAGTGTCCGTTCTTCTGCTCTTCATGAAGAGGGTGCTGATGCTGACACGGCCATGGACACTGTTATGCAAGATGCCTCCAAGCGCGAAGCGCATTTCATAAAGTTGCAAGCGGATTTGCATCGCGAGGAGCGCAAGCTCGCGCGTCAGAAGCTAGCCCTTGAAGAGGAGCATCGACTTGCCGACGAAACCACGAGAAGCTTGGAGGAGATCGATGCGCAGCTGCAGACCCGGGAGAGCGCTGTGGCGGCGAAGGAGAAGGACGTAGAGACCGAGCTTCAGTTTCTCGAAGCGAAGCGTGCGGAGCTGGAGAAACTAGTCAGTCCCCGCGGGCACAGGGCTCTAGCTGCACAGCTTGAGCACGCGAAGCGGGAGTTGGCGCGCTTGCAAATCGAGCGGCAGGGTGAGCGGACGGAAGCGGAGGAGCGGCGGGCGGCAATCCGGGACCGCGAAAGTCATGTAGAAGGTTTGGAAGCGGAACTCGCGCAGCTGAAAGAGGGGGACGTGGGAAGACTTCGCAGCGAGCTGCACGCGGAGCGCGCTCGACAAATCACAGAGCGGGCGGCACAGCAACGGACGCACGAAGCAGAGCGTGAGCGAATGACGGCAGAACTTTTCTCCCTGCGACGTCAGGTGCGCGCGCTAGAAAGCGACAAAGCGGAACTGCTGGATCGCGTGACGTTTATCAGCGAGCATAGGCCTGAAGAGAGTGGAACGCGACTAACCGGCGTTTCTTCGCCGGTTGACAACCGTATTCAGGAGAAAATGGAGGATGAGAGAGAAAGACTGCCTCAAGCGCACGAACATGGATCATCATTGGTGGAGTCAATGATCCAAAAACTCGACCCGCACCCACATCCTCATCATTCGACGAGCGCCATGCCGGAACAAGGCGATCGTGGGCGTCCAACATCCGCCGATCAGGGGATATTTGCTATTCCACTTCAAATAATGTCTCCGGCGCACCAGGAGCTTCAGAGAAGTGTTCTTGACATTCTCGAAAATGAGTCCTTGGCACAACAGCAAGCAAGAACAGCAGAGGCAGCTGATGATTCATCTCCGACACGCTCGACGAATAACGCGGCTTCTGTGGAGGTTGGCATGTCGAAAGCACAGGACGATGAAAAAGCGTTGAATCAGCTGCACGAGGCGAGAAGAAAGCAAGAACTGGCAGAGTTGGAGGCTTTACGGTCCAGAGAAATCGTGTCTAAGCTAAGCAGTTCTGGACGCGATCTCAATAGCGATGACAGCGAAAACACAGAGAATCAATTGCTATCGGAGTCTGGTGTGCAAGTCGTGGAGAACGAGCGAGACTCAAGAGACACAGAAGCAAGGACTTCGATGATGGAGCAGACTACCTCGGCTGCTGTGGTAGGACCAGTGATTCCAGGGGCTACTGACACTAAGAGGAGCCAGGAGTTTGTGGACGGAGTGGAGACGCTATCGGCACAACAGTCTGCGGGTTCCTTGAATAGCCAAGAGGAATTCGATGCAGTTAAGGCAGTAGCTACGCCGCACAATGCAGATTCCCAAGATGCTTCTGCGGTCGCGCAAGAAACCACAAATGAAACTTCTGTGGGAACAGCGTGCCAAGAACTCATGCAAGAGACGCACGACGCTCCTAGTATCGACGTCGGATTTCCACCTCTGTTGGTGAAGCGCGAGATCCCTGTGGAACGCGGCTCAATGTCTGAGACCAGTGTTCCAAGAATGCAAGATATAGGGGCGGAGACGCCAGATTATGTAACACAGCGACTCGATGCTGAGCCTCAGAAAGTGGCGCACGAGGAGCAGAGCAATGACAGAACTGCAACTGGTCCTGTTCCTGGTACTGTGGCTCACATTGGTCTGAGCTCCGCTGCCGGGCCAGGCGCAGATCCAGCGGCAGTCGAAAAGAGAAGTTCACAATCCGGGACATCGATTGCCTCTAGAGGCGACCGGAAAGCTGCGGAGAAGGTAGCGTCGACTGATGTCGCGGCAGTGAGACGGTCCGCGTCGAAAGGGCAACGGGCAAGAAGCCGTACTTTGGGCAGCGAGTTTGTTGACGAGGAAGAGGAGGAGCAGCCGTCTGCTTCACAATTGTCGGTTTATGATTCTTCGCCGATAGAAGAATCGAGCGGTACGTTGCGGACGACCGAACAAACGCAGTCGGGTGATTCGCGAGTCGGAGCATCAAAAGCTGACGGCGAAGCCACGTCGGGACTTTCCAGGCACGCACTGGAAAGTGAGCCGGCGACGAGAAGTACTGACCAAAAGTCAGTTGTGAAGACGGTGCCGCCGCATGCGGCGGATAGTACCTCCTCCACGAGTCCACCTATAGTTAGTCCTTCAACCGAATCCGGCGTTCGCATGCATCGGAGTTTGGACATGCGGGTCTTGTGTGGTCAAAATGTAGAACAATTGTGGCGCACGCGAGAACGTGCCGCTCTGCATGAACGCGCACGAACCTTCCATAGTAGGTCCGTCGGGTACGCAAAAGCTGCTGCCGCGAGTTTGCCGGGACATGCTACTACTGAAACGAACGCGGAAACGTGGCTCGCCGGTTCAGAATCGCTTCATGGTGTTGGCGCACAAGGCGGCATGATCGAAGCGGAAAAAGTAAGATTTGCGGCTTCACCGAGAAACATTGTCGAGAGAGGAGTGACGAGGACAACTTCTCGTGGTACACCGGGTAGAAGTGCTGCGCCGGGCTTTTCGGGAGATGATGAAAGAGACGCCTGCACAGCCGACGTCGACAGCATCTTGCCGCACGTTTCCAGAGCGTCTGGGAGTCACCGCCTAGCCGCGTCCGGGTTTCTTAACAATGAAGCTTCGACTAGCTCCTCAGAAATTTGGGCAGATCCAGTAGTTTCCAAGGATCGGCTACGTTCTACGGGCAGAACTCAGCAGGCCACTAGAGAGGTACCTGTAGGAACTTCGCAGAACCAAAATCAGGAGGAGCACTCCCAAGCACGGTCCGGTGCTAATTTGCCAGCGGGAGCAGAGATTCTGTTGCTTTCCAGTAAGCACAATGCAAGTAAAGGAAGCAATCAAGCTGCGGAGCCTTCGCCGGCGATCTTCATGTCATCTAGCATGAAGAAGGACTCGAGCGTAGAAGGGACGGAGAGAAGTAGGGCGCGCGGTTCTCGGACCTCGAAGGTGAAACACCCTGATGTCGCCGATGTGGATCCGTATGCAGCAAAGCGTGCTCGTTTAGAGGAATTTGCCGCGGAAATGGAAGGGCTGGCGACTCGGGCTAGTCGAGGCGATCTGTCGTTCCTTGACATACCGCAGAGAGACGCGGACTTGCCACCCTTCGTGGCCTCGCGAGAGCTGCAAGACGCCATTCGACGAGAGAAAGAAGGTGCGCGACGAGATACCGGACAACAAGCATCATCGAGGGAAAAGGCGACTACAACGAGTGTCCACAGTGGAGGTTCAACATTTGTCGCAGGCATGCTGCCAGACCGTGGAACAAGGTCGATCAACAGTATGCGAGCGAGGCAACAAGCGTCACAAGTGGCACGAAGCAACAAGTCTGCGCGTGATGACAGGGGGCATCAACAGGAGTCCTCAGAAATTTCGCACACCAGGACGGCGCACGATGAAGAAGAACGTAAGAAGCACCTGCAATCTCAAGGTTATGAGAATGCTGAAGTGGCATCGTCGCCCGTTTTTCTTGTATCCGCTTTACCGGAGTTTCTGGAGCAGGACAGCCCAGCACCGAAGAGCCTTGTGAGTCCGGAGGGCAGCCAATTTGAGGATACTACCTGGGAGGATGGCGGTACCGTGTCGCCGGGTGTTCTGCACGCGGATTCTGGTCGAGACCGACACCGGGAAGCACAGCAGAGCTAGAACAACACGAATTGTGCGTGAAGACCACGACTTGAACAACTCAAATTCTCTTCTAGCTACTTAACTACGAGGAAAGCCAGCACGACGTTGATAGATTACCTTCAGAACTGAGGATAAGCAAATGAACTTACTGGGAAAGTTCTAAGAAATATTTCCATGAGAAAGGATAACCCAACAGCATGATAGCACCTATAGAAGAAATGCGGGAGCATCAATTGACGAAACGAAAAAGAAGGAACCAGTGATGCTTGACAAAGTAACGGGAGATCAGTAAGGCAAGGGGCGCGTGAGAGATGAAGCGATACGATGGAAGACAGAAACGAACACTCTGTTAATGTCTCTGGTTGGATTCATAATCTGTCACGATGAAAAAAATAGAGCACACCGATGTCAAAATTTGCGATGAGAGTGCCTACTCATTTGGACTTTGCTCAGCGATACTCAATTACTTCAACTTGCTCGGTTAAAATGAAATTGAAAGTCTGAAGAGAGGGCCAGAGTGCTGCTCATTATGCGTGTCGTGAGATGAGCACGGAGATGGTTTCGGTAGACAGCGAGTGCTTTCAAAAGTGATTAGTCATAGAGAAGATTTTGTGAAACCCTGTCCCTGGAGCTACATGATAGTGAACACTTGGATTCAACTGACCTGCATCAATATATAATGCGCAGCGCCTATTGATGTCAACCCAAGAAGGACGATGGCAACTAATGTTGAAGAAGCCATCGTGGCAATAGATAAACTCGTTGTAAGTCAGTGCTCCAAGAAGGTCAAAGTAAGCGAAGAAATATTAAGTGTACATCCGTCTCCAAGAGTTTGGATGAACCTACTTAGGAATGGGCAAAATTAGGTTCTGGATGTCACCTGTTTTCGCGGATTTGGAGATTGTAGATACTGCGTGGACGTGCTTCGATTTTGCACGACGGATGTAATTGACTTTTGGTAGGTAGTTTGCGTTGGCGATAAGGCACTTTGCGATTCTTGCAGGCAGAACCGTAACGAGATAGTGACAACTCGTGTTGTGGAAAAACCAGACGCTGGCTGGTACCCGCACCGTTTTCTACGTTTTTAATCGTTCTGGGCGAAGGGAGTAATCGCGATTGATTCCCACGAGACGCACAGCAGAAGTTTCTCTACGTAGAAAGAGCTCGGACGCGCAGGCCGAATGGTGCAGCGATGATAACGACGATTTCATCTCAGCACCGCAACGACGCTTGTGTGCGGTGGACATCGTGCAGCGCTGCGTCGTTGCGAGCATCAGATCGAAGACTGTGGGACTGCAAATGAGTGATCAACTGAGCAAGAGACGCGCAGCGAAAATGTCAATGCGGTAGGCGCTTAAGCCACCCAATCCTTCTAGTCATCCTCGAACCTATCGTTAAAAATTAATTTTTCGTGGTTTGAAGAGCGGTTAGAAGCTGTAGCAGTAGTAGCTGTAAAGCGAAGATCGACGATCATGCCGGAAACGACAGGGTCTATGAGCCCGAACGAGAACGCGCACCGGCGCCTCTTGCTTGGTGGGCAGGGCTCCCCGCGATTGCGCAAGAACAGCGGAAAGCTGCATGCTGCTGCAGTTGCAGACGATATCGAGTTACGGCCTTTTTCGGATCAATGATGAGGATGAGGTGAGTGGATATCTGATACGCGACTTCCATCTTGAGATGTTCCACTCGCGTCTCTGCAGTGCCTGTGACCACTACCGTAATGGCCCTGTTTTTTCGTTTTGGGCTACCCCAATCCTATCGTGGTAGGCTCGCAAAATTTATAAAAGTTGCAGGGTGCCAGTGCCAATACCATTGACCACTACCGTGTGGAACGTGCTTTTCGTTTCTGTAGGATCCCAAACTGAGGGTGGGGAGCTCTCAAAATTTTCAAATTTATTATGTACTGCGTTGTAGGAAGAAAAAGCAGCAAGCACTAAAAAACCTAGCACGAGAAGCCTTGATGGATCCAAACACAACACCTGCTGAGATCAAGGTCGAGTTGAATCGAGCCAACGATACGGGAATGACGCCGCTGAGCATCGCGGTTTCTAGAGGGAATGCCGAAATGACCAAGCTTTTGTTAGAACACGGCGCTGACATGTTCGTCAAATCGAAAGTACTTAATTACACTGCCGCGTTAGAAGTTTAATTCTGAATGTACGCTTAGAAAGAATGCATCAGACAAGCATTTAGTAAACTTACTGGCCATCTTCGGGCTTGGTGAGTCGACCTTGCTTCCTCGTAAATTCTCAAATTCAAGAACTGCAAAAAGTAGACTTGATTCAACACGGTTTCACTTTTCAGGAATCGATACAAACTAGAACATATAATCCAATCCAAAAACACACGGACTTGTCTGTTTAACCTAATATCAGGACTACGGACTCACTTTGTTGGAGGTTGCTGCTGAGAAGAGTCCCGAGATCGAAGATATGTTGCGCTCAGAAATTAGGGTGAGGACGACGGATGCGTCCGAGCGACTGAGCGTTCTCCAGAAGGAAATGGGCCAGTTGCAGAAGGAGCTTGCTGGCCTATCTGCTTTGCAACGTAGTGCGCGTCCACGAGTTGATGAAGACGCTGCAGCAGAAGGCAAGAGGACGGAAGAGCAGATAAGTGTAGGGCAATGGTTGTTATCTTCGTCATGCTAAGAGCAAATTGGAAACAGAGCATAAAATGTGCTGTAAAACAAGTAGTAGACGATTCTAAATATGGATGCACAGCGCGACGGCGGAAAAGCGGGCTTCGATGCAGTGGATGACGTCCCGGGTGTCGGCAAGGCGGATTTCGAAGCGACAAATCTAGCATACTACGGCGACGAAGTGCTGCCTGAAGACCACTATTTTGTTCGCTACAAAGAGGAAGTAAAAATTGCCTGATTTTTTTGTTTGCTCTTTTGTGAGCTCCTGACTGTGCTTTCTTTGTACGTTGTAGTGTGTTCTTGCATGCTAGCATGCATATTTATGTTTAGAAAAAAAAACAATAAGGATATGGTGAAGATATAAACAATCAAAGAGGTTGCGTCGTGTGTGGCTGCACTGAAGCAGGTGCAGGCGCACCTTTGGGAGATACAGTGCGGCAACTTATTTCGTGTGGTGTTGCCACCATCGTCCGCCTCCTCGTCTCGGTCTGGTGCTTCGGCGTTGAACACCTTCGGCATGGGAGCCAGTTTTTCCGCAGGAAAGGACCTATCTTCAGAAGTAAACTTTCGAGAGTTCCGCGTGGTGCCCTCGGATGTAGTTATGATTATTCGGATCATCAAGCGAGTCCTCTTGATGAGGACTCGCTTGATCAAATTCACCATACTTCCTTGTGGAATAGATCCTCACTGTGTCGTGAATCTATGTCTCGCTTTCATGGACAATCTGCAGGCTGGATTTAAGCGGCTCATGATAATGGCAGAGGATCGGAAACGGCATCTCGATGGAACACAGCCACGAAGTCTATCCTTGATTATGAGTGATACGTAGTAAACAGAGTGCTGCAGAGGACTCAGGTGAAATTTTTGATGATCCATATGCCGAGGAGCACCGTCGTGCCAACTGCTCCTCCCTCACCACAATGGCGACAGGAGCGTTTCGCTTTCGTCGAATTGGGGTAAAGTCTGGGTAGATGAAAGAGTCTACTGAACAAAGGCTTCTAAAACTAGGCCTGCAGATGCATTGATGGCCCTAGCAGAAGGCGTTACGGAAGATGTAAGCGAAGTAGAGCAGCTTGCGGCGAACGTGACAGACAGGATACTCAAGAAAGAAGTGCCCGTTGTCAAGGTATTCGATCTCGCTCTGTCTTCATTTACTTTTCAATCTCACATTCACAGTACTGTAATCACCAAAGCTTTTTGATTCGAGTACAGAAGAGTTAGAGTAGCAGGCTTTTTTAGTCGCTTTTGCCCAAATGAGTTGCTGTAATAGGTTGAAACTCTCCTTTCACTCATGTACTGTCCTGTGCTATTTCATCAGGCCAACCTGTGGGAGACTCTACAAGTTGGAGCAGACGGACAGATCGACGCAGCAGGTAGATCCGTAGCATACTGGGAAAACCTGGTCTTTCCAAAGATCAAAAAAACAGAGGCAAACGACGGATCACTATCAGACCGCGTGGATACGTACTTTTTCAGCCTAGACATGTGGCTTTCGTTTTTAGAAAACTGTTACTGAATTTTTTTTCGCTTCTTGAATATATGATGTTCAGTACTGGTCAATATAGGAGGGATAAAGCAAACCAACATTCACACAGATCGAAATGGCGAGAGGATCCCATGCGGTACGTGGCGCAGCGTTTTGAAGTAGGACGAAAATTTGTCTCGATGCAGTCAAGCAGTAGTACGGTTTACATATCGAACGTGAAACTTGACAAGAAAGAGGGTTCTGTCCAGCCAGGGGAGGTGATGGGCTTTCTATCCGGACGCTATTGCAGTTACGTTGACTGTTTTTGATCAAAGTTTTTTAGATAAGATGTATGAAAAATGAACCACCCGAGGAGTTAGTACTAAGATTGAAATATATGCCTTAGGAGGTAGTGGAGAAGAGCTTCCTCGCTTATCTAACGAGAGCGACGGGTTTTCGAGTCCGCAGCTGTGCCTGGTCGCGAGAGCGGGGGATATTTCTATGATCCCGGTGTGTACGTTCTTTCCCGCCTTTGCGCTGATCGGAAAGTAAATGGAGAGCCTCTAGTTCTAGTGTTGGACTCGCCATCCACCAATCCCCTGAACGCGATTGCGGATGTTGCAAACGACCCACTGAAAATCGATCCACCTGCGCCACCGGCGGCTCCTTTTATGATTATACTATAGATTCACGCTCACGCTAGTAAAGGTCATGGTCATGCACTTACTTCGTGTACAGACTGTAATGCTACCCCTACTACATCTTTCACGACCATGCAATAAGTACTCAGAATGGTATTGTGCTTGTTCATTTTGCCTGGCCGCGTCGCGCAAGGTCGAGGTCGGGTGGTCCCGCTGGAAGAAGTAAACGCCGACCAGCGGACCAAACCTAATGTGGAGATTGTCGAGGTGCTGGTGCGCGGCGTGCCAGTTCCTTTTATCCGCGCTCTCCGTGTTTTGCAGCCCGACGAAGAGCTGATGCTCGACCGTTCTGTCATGTGGCTCGGATATTCCACGTCTTTACGTCGGCTGCGGCTCCTAAGAAAGACGGTCCAGGAGCTTCTAACTCGAGTCGGAGACGTATGACCTTTCTAGCCGGAGACGAAGGATTCTGCACGGATAAGTGACTTGACCGAAAAGATTCATCTGATGAGATGAGGATATTATTTCCACCGCACCTGATGTTGATTTGATATGCTAAGGATACGCGCCTGATATGATTCCTTTCGTTTTTCTATCCAAGAGCTTTGCAGATGCACGGTATATTTGATAATCGATACAGGACGACGAGATGACGATGAGAGATCGAATTAGTAGCGAGACGTTATATTGATTTGTGTCGTTGATCATGTATGGTTCGTTATTTGCTACAAATGAAATCCCGAAGAAGAAAGATCTGCTTGCGTAAGAGACCGCGTTGATAGAGTGCTCCTGTAAGAAAACTAAGTGTTCTTTTTCAGAGTAGTAGGGGGACCACTTTCTCTGGCAACGAGAGCAGTATTATAGACGCATGGATGGGCAGTTGCATGTTCTCTGTATCGTCACTGTTTGGTATCCATTCTGTCCAGTTTCGGTCAATGTTTCACGCGGCTTGTTTCTAATGACCTGTAATGTCTCGTGTAGACGCTTTACTTTTCTGAATACCAATACTGGCTTCGGTCATGTTCAGTAGCAGAACTTTTCTCGAGAAAGGGCGGTGGCATATGGTCCTAACGCAAAAAAAAAAACTCGAGGGGTACTAAGGACGGCACCGTCAGGGATACACACATGACATGACTGATTCAGTACAGCACATAATTTCTTTCTTCGTGTTTGCCCCCTGGAATCTCCTATTTGCTCCTTTTTCTCTTCTGAAGATCGGAACATATTTTCTTCATCTTCAATGAATTGCCTTATCGGCACACCACGAGAAACCGTCAAATTTGAAACATTTCCTTTTGAAGTATGTGTAAACTACCGAGGATTATACTAGATCCGTGGTGTTGATCATTTGTTGTACTCTTAACGTGTAATCGATCCACTCACTGACTAATTTCACTGGAAACGGCGATGCACACTAAATCAACAGGACCCGGTGATTGGGCATAGTACTAACCGACTGAAGTCGTTGACAATAGGCCCATGATCGATTTGCAGTGAGTTTTTACTTAGCTGCATTTTTAGTTTTAGTTTAGCATTAGCTTTAGTTTTAGCTAGAGCTAGAAGTAACTTGTTACGAGAGTTTTTAGTACTGATACAGCAGGATGGATCCGTGGGCGTCTGTTCCCGTTTTCTACGGCACCCAGACGGGCATTTCAGAGGAGTTTGCGCAACTGTTGCAGCAAGCGAGTGCCGACGTGCCCTTGGTCGCTACGAATATTTCGCTTCTAACACGCGAATGGCTTGTGCAGACCCGTGTTGCGGTATTCGTGTGCTCGTCGCACGGTGATGGCGACCCGCCGGACAGTGCGACACAGTTTTTTGCGATGCTGAAAAATGAGCCTGCTGGAGGAGGAGATGCGTCGATAGGGAAAAATGACGATGTAGCGCAGCTGCCACTACGGAACCTGCGGTTCGCACTGCTCGGCTTGGGCGACTTAAATTACATCAACTATCAGGGCTTCCCGAAAGCGCTGGAGAAGGAGCTTCTGAGACTGGGGGCGACCTTATGGCACGTGCGAGGTGAGGCAGACAATTCGGACGACATCGACGATGACTTCGAACAGTGGCGAGACAGCGGTTTCTGGACCTGTCTGGCGGAAGAGTGGAAGGCCTGTGCGGGCCAGCCCTACACAATTGCCGAGGACGAGGTTGAGGACAAAGGAGGTGCGGCTGTCCTGGAGGATCTTCAGGGTGGTGCGGCGCCCGCGCCTGTAGAGCAAGCAGTCGGAAAAAACGAAGAAGTGGCGGCACGCGAAGGAGAACGAGAAAAAGCGAATGGCGACGTCTTGGGCAAGAAAGCCGCGCCCGATGTTGCGGCTGCCGTGGCTAGCAAAAGCGTTGACTCTACCTCTGCTGTCAGTGCACAGTTAAAGCAGGAGCTGAAAGGCACACCCACCAAATCTGCGGACATGAGCGCGGACAGAAGAAGTAGAAGTGGAGAGCGTGTATCCGCTTCTCGAAGTGGTAGCTTATTTACGCCCCTACAGCCGCAGCCATTTGGGCCGCTGCAACATGTGCGGTCGCAGATTACCATGCTCTTGGATTTTTTCAGTGACGCTGCCGAAGTGGAGTGCACTGCTGTGGAGCCCCTGCTCCCGAAAGCTGGAGATGCTCGGCGAATGGTTCATGTAGAGTTCCTACCGTGCACGGGTGCTCAAGATGCTAGCACTAAAGCAGCAAACCGCACCACTGTTTCACCTTTCCACGTGTCTGATAATGTTTCGCTCTTAGCTCCTTCAACGACGACAGCATTGACTAGTGTCTTGTTTCCGGCTTCGTCCTCTTCTTCGGGGGATCATCGAGGAGAGGCAACAAAGACGCGGAACAAAGGTGTGCAGCAACCAGGAAAGTTCCTGATGGGACTCAATCTGGATGATGTAGTCGCGTCGCAAGGAGTCTTTCCAGGGAAGGGAACCGCCGCGGAGAAGGACGTGTGGCATGGCCTGTGGCTTCTGTTGGGGGGAGAGACCGAGGCCGTTTCCGGGGCAATTTTGCAGCGTGTAACGTCATTAGCACAACAGGCACGGTTTTCCGGCTTGGACACAGTCGGTGGCTTTTTGCGGCACGTGTTTGCCTTGGAGAACGTGCTGTACCACAGTGGCGGGACGAATGGTGCCATTTCATCTACAGGAGAACAGCAATCCAGTAGAGAAGGCGCAGATTCAACGAGCTCAATATCAAGTGCGATCTTCGAGCACGTGAACAAGCCGCGACCGTATACTCTCGTAGGGAAAACGGGTGTTTGTGTGACGCATCAAGTGCGGGGACAGGCGTCGACCTTCTTGTGTCGCGATTGCGCAGTGGGAGACCGACTCTTGGTCAAGGCAGTGACTTCGCCGCTGCGGCTTCTGGATCTCCAGGCAAAGCTTGCGTCTTCGGCAGTGTTTCCGCGTCGTCCTTTGGTTCTCATAGCCACGGGAGCCGGGATGGGCGTGTTTGTCGGGTGGCTGCGCCAGTTTGCCTCGTCTCCAGAACGACAGGTGTCTGATGTAACTCTGTTTTCTGGGTGTCGCTCCTGGACGGAAGTACCTTATTGCGGTTTTTTACGGCGGTTTTCGGATCCAGCTAGAAGGACTGTCAATGGCGACCCCTTCAGTGAGACGAATGGAGTATCACTCACAGGAAGGAAGGGCGAAGAAAAAACAAAAGCAGAAGGCGGAAGGAAAAAAGTAGCATCTTCAGAGCCGGACGTGCAAACTACTCCACGAGACAGCAGTGGTTGTTGCCTTCCCATTGTCTTCCCTTCTTCTAAAGGTTGTGCCAATGCTGAGGATATTAGTCCAGGCTCGGTAGGTCGACCCCTGGTCGCAGCATTTCCTCCTCGTGTGGGACCGAAGGACAACACGGCTGCGGGAGCGCAGCAGGACATGCTTTTTCTAGGACCTCCGGGTGAAGATCAAACTTTCAGCTCATCGACGAGAACGCCGAACGACGATTTTCGCTTTGAATGGCATCTTGCTTTATCGCGCGAAGGGGGGAAGAAAAAATACTATGTGCAGGATGCTTTGCGGGCAAAAGAGAACTACCTGAGACAAAAGGTGGACACAGAAGGGGGCATCGTCTACTTTTGTGGGGAGGGGAAAATGATCAAAGATTGCATTCTCTACCTTCGCAGCATCCTTTCCCCAAAGGCTTTTGAAGAAAAGAGAATAGTTGCGGAGCAGTGGGGAACCACAAGGCGCAACAGTCGTGGCGCCACTTCATAGAAATACGTACCGTTAGTGTAAGGGGCATGTCACAAGCACATGTGAGTGGTTACACCACATTCAATACAGCGTCAATCTTCCTCATCACATCGCACATAAAACGTGTAAAAATGAAATGTATCTCTTGGTGATTTTTTGACACGACTAGCACAACGATTGCTGTGTCCGCTCTTTCCCTCATTGCCAAATCAAATCAAAGTATTCGTCGTTTGTGATGGAGTGTTGAAAACAAATGTCACCAGTGAAAGTTCTCTCACTCTCTGTCTCGTGGAGCAATTTATCGTTCACTTCGCGATGAAATGAAGAGTTGCGCGATTCACTCGGTCAAGGAATCCGAGACGTGGAAATCGGTACATTCTTTGAACACGAGGAAATCGGTAGTACTATCTGATCGTGATCCACATAAATGAGACATATGAGGGATGCTTGTCCCTCGGAGCTCGGTTGGATGGAACACAATCTAAAAGTCGGTTTTCACGTCGTTTGAATGAGACGATCCCGAAGAACACGTAAAAGCGAAACTGTAATACCACCGCGATTCCTTGCCAATTGATGTTGCCTGAAGTTGCGTAGTGCTTAGAATCACTGAATTTTCTTTCATTTTGCTCAGTACGAACTCGTCAGTAGTCTCATGATAAAAGGGATGGAATGACCGAAGAAGTAGGCGGGGTCGTCTTAAGATTGCAGCAAGTAGAAGTCTTAGACCCTTCAACATGATAGTATGAATGGGCATACTAAACAAGGTTGTAATTGACCCTCAGTACAGCTGCAAAATCACACACATCGCCACATGGGAAACGTAGAAGAGGAATATTTCAACGCTATCGATGCTAATGCTTCTGTGAATGTTGTTGCGAAAAATTCTTTGATATTGCTATGGATTGCTTACTCGTAAATATGATCTGGTCACCTAGATCTTCGTTAAGGAACTGACTATCTCATCATCCTTGGTTTTGTCATAGTCAACATGGACACCCATTAAGTTTACCGAGGTAGCCTATGTTGCTTAGTGTACTGCCATCATTTTCTGTTACTAACGTGATTCATCATTCTGAACTTTTGTGTCATTGATTCGGCTCATTATTCAATCGTTGTCATATTACGAGAATACATAGAAATTTTTTGAAAAGTTGTATTCATTGATTTACCTCGCGTTATTCACATCGATTGATCATCGATTTTCCTTTTACTTGGTCGAAATTCATTACAACTGATTCCTTTCTAGTTAACCCGCCTCTGCCCACATGGGTCGGAGCAACGGCCGAGCTGTGAAAGCTGAGGAAATGTCACTGGGCACGACCTCAACATCAACTGCGACCACTAGTGGTAGTATGGCTGCGCAGAGTAATACGCCGCCAGGTGCATCGTCAGCTGTAGAGCGCCCAGCCACTCCACCCCACGTTTCGACGACGCCGTTGAATCGTGGAGCTGCGAACTTCGTACCTGGGTCATTGCTACACGGCACCAAATTTAGCGCGCCGCAGTCTCAGGCTCAGAGTGAAGATCCACATCCACCACAGGTTGTCGTGCTCAACAGGAGAGGTGCCGCGGGCAATGAAAACGGTAGTGCTGTCGTACCGGTACTAGTCGACAACTCTGATGCCGGAGACGGAGCAGCTTCGGGTAGGAGTGGTGGAGCGTCGTCAGCACCGCTCGTGCTTCCGCTGCGGCGGCACAGCGCTGGGAGTGCCTCGTTGCCAGCCTTTCCCGGTGGGATTCGCGCGCCATACGTCTACGGTCACGATGCGCACCACCTCGCTGAGGAGCAAGAAACCGGAGCGACCACTAATGCGACGGAGCAACACTCAAGTTTCGGAAAACCGGTCCCCACGCTTCAAGATGTCTACCAGAACACGGGTCTTTTTGACGATTCACACCCGGAATCGCAGGACCGTCAGCGTGTGCACCAGGATTTTCATGGCGAGCAAATTCTTGGAGGGCGCGCAACAGGGGCGATGAGCCTCGCCATCAACTACATCAACAAGAACAATGCGCCCGGTGCTGCAGGAGCAGCTGGTGCGCCGGGAGGACGAAGTAGTAGGGGTCGCAAAAGCCTCTCCAACGAGCATCAGCGTGCTGAGCGACTTCGGGTTCCCGTGCAGATGCCCCGTTCGGCGGAATATATCACCGAGATCGACGCAAAGGAAGTTCTGTTGTGGCGGGTTCCGTGTCACAACGCTTGCGTCGCTTCGGTACGCTTGCGGGAGCATCCTTTAGCCATGGCGCAGATTGTGAACGAGGAGCAACATTGTGGTGCCGCGCTGCCGCTGGAGGTGCAGCGTGATCTGCAACGCGTCTTGCCACCCGGAAATCGGCCAGCCACTAGACTGGCGTCCGGCGTCAAGTTCGATCAGGCTGCCAAAACAGGCGCAGGTGCTGAGAGCAACACACTCGAGCTGATTCTCCAAGGTGTGTATTTGAACGTCGGCTTGCAGACAATCTCCGCTTGCGGCTCCGACTTCGCAGTGCGGCAGTTTCTTGACTACATCGCGCAAGTGAAAAGTTGCGAGGATTCGGTGCTGCTACCCAAGCGCAACAGCGTTTTTATCAGCTTTCTCTCGCGTGTCATAGCCGCATCTTCATCTAGTGCAGGTGTGGACACTTCTGGTGGTCCTGATCCAAGCGTCGGCGCAGAGCAACCTCCAAGAGGTACACCGGCGGCGCCACCGAAGGATCGGCGGCCTCAGTTACACTTCGTATGGGAGCGGTTGAAGCAAGAGCATATTATCGGGATAGAGGATATCGGGGTATGGATGAGCAAGGTGCACATTTTCGCTCGTGACTGGGGCTTACGGCACAAAGCGAAACAGTTTTTGCGGTCGGCAGAGTTCGCGCAAATTCTCGAGAGCGCCTGCGTCGCGCAGCAGGAACGGGCGCGCACTCACGGCCAGTGGCTCATCAGCAGTGAAAACGGCTCGCCGCAGTGGCTGCAGCCGGGTCTTCCAAGGGAAGCGTACATGTTGGGAGGGGGCGGCGCAAGTGCAGCCGCAGCGAACGTGGCGCCAGCTCCACTGAGTATCGAACATCAACAAGGAGTTAGTCATCCACCTCCTCATCGCGTTGTTGTTCTTTCGCGCCCTGGTTGTGCTGCCCTGTCGACGGATACTGTCACTGCTACATCTTTGTCGGCTGCCGTCCCTGGGAGGGACGTCTCGGTCAGCAAAGGGCTTGGTGATGTACCCACGTACCCGCCACCTCCAGGACCAGAGCTAGATGTGGCCGCAACGTCTAGCATCGTTGGTCCGCCTCCGGTACAGTTGCCTACGCCTACGGCGACAAGCGGGAAACGGCTGAGCCTCGATAAACTCACTCCGCCCCCAGTGCCGCCGCCGGCGTTACCGCCCAGCCCCGTTGGGCGCAGTTTTGGAACTGCAGCTGCAAGCAATAGTATTGCGGGCCCAGCACCTGCGTTTCCTAATGAGATGCCGCCACCGATGTTGCCGAATCTTCCGCCGCCCTTCCTAAACGGTGGTACTGGCGGTGTTGTGCGGCGATCTCAAGGGGCAGAAATATTAGCGTTACTGCGGAGTTGTTCTCCGGCAGAAGCAACCAATAGTATCATGTCAGTCTGCCTACATTTTTGCAGTGAGATGATGTTGTTCTTGTATTTCGATTTCCATTTTCATCACCTAGGTAGTCTTTGAGATTGAGTTATGGTTACGTGCGTGTCCGGGGCGAAGACGTCTTTGCTTGAGGATCAATGATACGCAGATGTATGATTGGTAATGTTTTTTCCGTCTTTTTTCTCAGATTCCAGACGAGAGCGCTGGGAGCCGGTTTCGCCGGCGCGCGATGCAGAGTGGCTAGAGGTTATGGACTGCACGAGTGATAACGTGTGCGAGCAACTCGATGGTGAGGAGGACGACCAAGTAGGTTGTTCCCCACAAGCCTCGACTTCTCTGGTGCTGCCCGCCATAGCTGAAGTCGCGGAGTCACCTACAAACAAGAATGACGTTGGTGAAGACGAAGGAGCTGAACCACTGAACCAGGAGTGCGACACGGGTCCAGAGGATAGTGCCGCGCCGAAATCAAGAGACTCATCTCCGCATACAGTGGACGTAACAGCGCTACGCAGAGCAGTCCATAACCTGAACTCGGACAAACTGGAAGAATCCTCGGGAGCCGAAAGAAAAAAAAGCTCCTTTGTTGTCGAGATCCGCTCTCGTGAGGACGGTCGGGTTGTGCGTGACGGTGAAATTCTCTCGTTAACTGATCTTTCGAGTCTCGATTTTACGCGTGTCCCGCTGGAAATGAAGATACAGTCTGCGACACAGCTTGCAGCTGTGGTCGAGCGGCTCAGAGCTATAGCACAGAGCGTAGCAAAAAGTGATGGCTCTTCGGACGATACCGAGAGAGTACTCGATTTCGTTTAACCTTAAATACATCAAATTGCTTTCAAAACCAAGGAATTTTTGTGCTGCGCATTACGAAGAATCACGAGGTTCAATGAATCTTCAATGTCTTTTGCATCCGTTCCCTCCTCGGTCTAACGCATGCTCTGTCACGAATTCCAAACTGACACTTTTTTATCAGGGAATTGGCACGCCAGAACCGTCTACTGGAGCGATATCCAAGCCCAAAGTCGCAGTGACGTTGCGATATGAAGACAAGGCTCTACAGAATGCTGCTCTCGCCGATTTGTTGCAACTCGAGCACGAGGGGACCTGCACAGTGGAGTCCCTCTGCGTTGGCTCGGAAGAATTGCTGATAACGTCAAGTAACGTAAGGGAAATCGTGACCGAATATTTGCAAGGTCAGGATTACTTCAGCGCGGAGGTAGACAGTGTGGATGATGATTGTACAAATACCGGAAAGCCAATGAAAACAGCTGCAGCCCAGCAAGAGACTGCGTCCGGCGAAGCGGGGTCGCCTTCTACCACGAAATGCAAGGACAGGGACGAGTATGGTGCAGAGGCAGTAAAGAGCAGCGTCACATCTTCAAAAGACAGCAGCACTGGTAGAGGCGGGGGTTCGGAATCCCTCGCTGCTTTCTGGAGCGCTGCGACGTCTTTGATGATGCCTACCGCTGAAACGTATGCCGCAAGCAGTACCAGCAAACGAGGACAAACCCCGACCACGTCTGCTCCAGGAGGTGGAGGTCCAGGTCTTGCTCAGCAGGAAGATCAGAGTGAACAAGAAACAGCTAGTTGTACTACTAGTGCAAATGCATCAGGTGGAGGAGAAATGGTGAAGGAGAAAAATAGCAAGGTTCTCGGAGCGCTCCACGGAAACTTGCGTATTCCGTCGAAAATGGATGACAGGCTCTTTTCAGGCTACAACGCACGCAACAGCTTCTCCACAGCCCCTCTTGGTGGTGGTGACCGTCAGGCCCACCGGAAGGCAGTGCAGAACTTGAGATTTTGTAGTACTTTGCGTACTGTGCAGATGCAAGGAGTCCCTTTAGGAGAACACTTTCTAGGCAACGTGCTGGCGTTGGAGGACGACCCCGATGCATGGGATTCCATCAAGGCGAAGTCCCCGACTGACAATGCTCCTTCTACAACTAGTCTCGTAAAGACCACCGCTGCAACATCATCCTCCTCGAGTGCTGCACCTACATCAACTAGTTCGCCTACTGCAGCTCCTGGGACCACAACTTCTAGTTCTACATCATCGAGTTCAGCTAGTACAGGTAGTAGTGCTATTCTTTCGAGGGGACGGCCTTCTGCGAGCAACGAGAAGGCTAATGGTCTGAACTACATGCCGAGCCCACTAGTCTGTGGCTCCTTGCAGCGCTTACACCTGAGATCATGTGAAGTTGGGAATCGTGGCGCCCGTGTCGTTGCGCGCTACCTGCTTGGTTGGAACGGAAGAGCGGAAGTACAGACGAAAGAGCAAACGAAGCAAGCAGGCATATGTGTTGCAATTGAGGCAGGCGAATATATCGAGAGCGATCGGTGTAATTTGGCTATTGCGGTCGCTGACCGCGCGAGAGCCAATTTGTGTACAACATCCGGTGCAACGACAACATCGTTGCAGTCCCTCTCTCTCGTTCGTCAGCAAATTGACTCTCAGGGTTGCTTCGTGCTTGCGCGGGCACTCAGCGGACCCGAGCAACATCTTGTCGACCTGAATCTATCCCAGAACGACATCGGGCTCGAAGGAGGTGAAGCTTTGGGACACATGCTAAAGGTAGTATCATGTCATCATGATTGAATTCATGTAAAAGTAGCAGCATATGTAATTTCTTGCTCATTCAACCTATTTGCCAACGCCTTCGGAAAATTATGTTCCCATTTGGGGTTCGGTAACCGTACGCGTCGAAGAATTTCTTTTTCCTTTGGCGTTCTTCAGGTAAACGAGAGTCTGCGAAAGCTGACACTAATCAAATGCTCGTTGGATGACGGAGCGGCAGAAGCACTAGGGGCAGGGCTGGCGACGAATGGAAGTCTTCATGCATTGCGCCTATGTAGTAACGAGATTAGCTCTGACGGAGTCTCCAGAATTGCGAAGGCGCTTCGGTACTTGTCTAAGTAAAAAGTTCAGAAAACTTACTTATGCGGAGAAACTTTTTTACTCTTTTTTCATTTTGCGTTTTTCTAGCAGGATCTTACTTTCTGAGTTGTGTCTTTTTGCGAGTCGCCACACGGTTGTCCTTTCCTGTTCTTGTTGCATTTCGCTAAATTTCATCGCTTAATGCCACTACAACACAGGACTTCGAAGCCAGTATTGCGCGTTCTTGATTTGGCTCACAACCGCGTCGGGGTTCCCGGTGCTGTGGCATTAGCGGGCTCCTTGGCCAAGCTGCGTGTGCTTCTGCTCGATGGGAACAGCATGCTGCAGGATCGAGGTGTCAGCGCCATTGTGTCCTCTGCGGGTTTCGGAGATAAGCACAGCGACAGTGGCCTTGTGGCGCTGGGGCTTTCGGATTGCGGTGCGAGTGCCGCTGCGGGTGAGCACGTTGCGCCCTTGTTGAGGAGGACGCGAACGCTGCGGTGCCTCAGATTAGGGGGGAATGCATTGGGCCCGAGTGGGCTCGACTGCTTCCAAACGCTGGGGCCCCTCAAAAGGCTCGAGTTGCAGCGTTGTGGGCTCGGCGACGCCGGGTCGATGGCACTGGCGCGACTGCTGCGAGGAAACAAAACGCTCACGGAACTGCGACTTCAACAGAACGGGATCGGTTCGGAGGGGGGTAAGCTAATTGCCGGTGCGCTTCAAGACAGCCGCTCAGGTGTGCTTACCCGCCTTATGCTGCAACATAATTTTCTGGGCGAAGAGGTGCTCTCCATGTTGGACGAGATCAAGATTAAGCGCATCAAAGAGCAGGCGTAGAAGAAAGTACAAGCACGACGCTAGAAATACAGGAGCAATGAATTCCACAAAATGTGGAATGCCCAATGTTTCCAAGAATGAGAGATCAAATGCCTAGTAAACTGATACCCGATACTAGTACAACCACCTTTCTTTGTTTGCTTAGAGCTGAGTCCCCATTTCGCATGTTAGATCAAGCACAACTTGAGAGGCTCATCTCGTATTGGTTGCACACACAGCACTCTTCCGTATACAACTTCACTGTAAAAATGTTCCACTTTTGTGATGTAGCAGATATCATTCTCATCTTGTTTTGATATAAAAATTTAAGAGAGTGGTCTCAATTTTATGGGACGATTTTGCCCTTCATCATACACAATGAATTACGCATCATTGTCTACGCTCAAATCGATATGTCATATCGCCTACAAGCGAATGCGCTTGGTCGATCCCATTTGTGAACTACTAAAAACTATAATTTCAAACATTGACGTCCATCCATGTTCCTCTTCGTTTACCTCCACCATAAAACTACGTTCAAGTTGTTCATTGTTTATCACAGCTACCACACCTTGTTGCTGCATAATCCGAGGAGGAAGGAGTCTGCGTGACAGTGGTCTATTCAGTCACGATGACTGCCTGGTAAATAGAAATAAGCTCATCTTCGTCCGGCTCCGACAGCTACAGAAGACTTACGGGATTGCGTTGGGGGCAGTCGTTGCATTCTGCTTGACTAAGAGCGGCACGACGGCCTACGATCTAAGATCGAAGAACCTTTCCGTGTACTACGTAGATGAAGTTTTCTCACGTTTTGCCGAGCACGTCCTTGAAGGATGAATTTAATCAAGATAGGTAGAACAGGTTCGATTGACGACAGGTACACAGATGGTGTTCATCTCACAGATGCCATAGATTTCTCAATGAATATCGATTCCAGGAGGGAAATGCATTGATTTTGCAATAATTGAAATCAAGTGAAGCATCCGCCACGAGCCAACATGGAATTGGGCTTCGCTGTTCGCAAGTTGGAATGCTGCTCATGTCGGCCTAGAAGTGGGCAGCCCGCTCCGAGCAGCGCTGAGAAGATTGGAACCGCTTCAACACTGAAAAGTTGAGGCGGTACGCGGGGGTTCAACTTTTGAGTAGCAGAGGAGCTCCACATGATCTATCTTCGGTTGAGACCCAGAAACATAATGATTGGATTGATGAAGAAGAACAATCAAGGGTTCTGTTCTAAAAGTCTGGTCTTCGGTGGTAATGGCATGAGCGTCATGAGTCTAAGAGGTTGTGCGTGAGACTGACGGATGCAATTTGAGCTTCCTAGTTTTAATGGGCGGTCGTTGTCCTTGTGTTGATTTTGCAAAAAAAACTACAACTTCTACGCCAATAGACATTTTACAACGCGATTTGAGTACTGATTGTTCCTGTACTATTGAAACTGTAACTGATTCAGTGAAAATAATCTAAAATCACCATGGGTTGTGGCTCCTCCTCCTCGTCAAGTGGCGCGCGGTCTGCCATGGCGCGGAGGCCTGACGAAGACGAAGAGCTGGTGGAGGTATCATTGTTGGATGCAGAGGGAGAACTGTTGGATTGGGTCACGGCTCGGGTATTGGAACGACACTACGACGCGACAAAAGCTGCTTCTACGACGTCAGGATTGCGCAAAAAGCGGGTCTTCGTTCTACCCACAGCGGCCGCTGTAGCCCACGGCTTTCCCGATGGCACTGAGCTCATGGTCGACGAGCGCAGAATACGCGCTAAGATGCCGGACGCGTATCTGGACAACGAGTTTCCTTCGGGTGGGGAAGACTCGTCACTGTTTAATAACCATTCGTCAGCAATCGGCCACAAGACCTCGAAGTCAAGAAAGCGTGGTTCTACTTCAGGTACATCAAGTACCCAAGGCACTAAGCAGCATCTATCGGCACCCTCCCACACCGTAGACAAGAATCGGAATAAGAGCGCCGTCATGCAGGATATAGATAGCGAACTGCAACAACTGGGGGACGAAGCGGCAGCATCGCGGGACCCTTTTGGGCGATCTGGAGATGTACTTCGTGAAACCGTGGCAATGCTTCTCGATGACGTTACCCACATCAAAGCAGCTAAACGGATGGCAAAGGAGCTGAGAGCGAATTGCGCCGACGATGGCGGCAAGCGTTATGCTAATCATTGCTAGCTACCTGTACCTTTCGATACATCGTAAATCATAGTGTAAGTATTCATCGCGATCGCACGACTAGCAGAAAAAACAGGCAGATTGCTAGGTGAGGAGACGGACGACGTCAGTGCAGCATCGCATTCATCGTATTTGAAGTTGAACGACGAGAGGTGCTGTGTCTTGTACCGCGAGCTTAATGATAAGAACCTTGTGACAGTGACGGATCCCAGCTTCATTGTTCATCTTATATCCGAAGCGAAAGCTGTTGCTGCGTTCATCCCTATGCCTGTGCGGCTTTTCGAGTGGCGTATTGCGCTAAAGGCTCCGGACCAAACGCCCTACGCGCGTTCAGTCTTCTATCTGCATTGCAACTTCTGCAATACTGCTAGTGGGGAAAGCAAATATCCGTTCGAGCCACCTAAAATCAACTTCGCCACTCCCATTTTCCACCCGAACGTTTCGCAACGGGGCAAAATATGCCTGAACACGTTGAACGACAAAGCCGAATGGTCTCCGTTGATGGGCGTGGAAATGCTCTGTGTTGCTGTACAATGGCTTTGCATCTGAATGCATATACTTACAACTAGTATAATCATTTGTTCATTTCTTGTAGAAAAGTCTCTCGAAATTTTGTCAAGGTCGACAATGTCATCAGTCTCCAAGTAGAACTTGTACAATTCCTTACAATTCCTACTAGGTGTCCGCTTTGATGCAGCAGCCCAACTGCAATGATCCGCTGAATACGCATGCGAGTGGCCTACTTTTGAAGAATCCAGCGGAATTCAAGCGGAAAGCGCGCGAATTTACGAGAAAGCACGCTGTTCTAGATGCAGACTTTGTTGACTACGCCTTAGGTCGGGAAAATTTGTATGTAGCGACGTCTAGTTTGGCGGAAGAGGACGACGTAGTTGCTGCGTCGATCCGAAGTGCAGTGGGTGTATCTCCCACGCCGTTGCGTAACGGAGCTGCGAGGGGAGGCTTGGGAGCAGGAGCCGGAGCTCCGTCTCTAATAGATAAGCCTGCTATTGCTGCCCACCGATACAGCCCGAATCCGCTTTTCCAGGTGGGATCGAGCAGCAGTTGTAGTTCAAAACCAAGAGCAGAAGCGGAAGATGACTCGCTGGTGTCCATACTGGATTCGAGGAGAGGGAAGGCTAGTAACAAAGGTGTGTCTAGGATGCCGATAGGCGACGAGAGTCATGGTTCCACCTCCGCGGCGGGACTTTTTTATGGCTACCTCTGTGGATAGCATTCCGTCTACTTGCCTCGTTTCTGTCTTTGCGTATAATTCATTGAACGAGCAGAAGTTGATTACGCAAGAAGGGAGAAGCTAAAAAGATAAGTAAGTAGCCATAAGGTATATATGGTGACGCTTTTGCCTGAGTAGTCTCCATCTCACGTTAGAAGTATGGACTAGCGGGAAGGCCTCTAAATACTGCATACAGACCAATTTGCGGATTATCAGATGAATAGTGCTGGCAGAGCCCTAGACGAACGAGAAGCGCAGCGAAGAATCAGGTGGAATGCAGCACTAGAAAAGTATCGCGCAGATCGAGACGGGGGTGCCGGTGCTCGTGTTTGATGAAGACCTTTTCGTGACATCAAACAGTACTACTCGCTTTTGTTAGTAAGGCACTGATATGCATGCAGGAAAACCTGGGTGAGACGGACGTTGTTGTTGAGGTAGCAGCTGAAGTGAAGATCTTCAATCACTAAGAATTTGATGCCTCCACCCGTCTGGGTGTTTATGAAGGATGAATGCCTTACTGTCTCGGTGTTTAAAAATGCTTGCCGGAGTGTCCCTTCATTAGACACTCTATGTAAGATGTGACCGACTCCGACACGTGTGATGCGGCTGTTTTGTACGACCGGGTACATTACAATAGTTTCGCTGGCTCTTATACGAAGTCACCTGTTATGTCTAGAGCTACACTGTAGTTGAAGCTTTCACATCAGCTACTTACAATGTAGTTGAAGAAAGGCTGAACTAATCCGGTATCGATTGTTTAGCGTGAGTATTATCTACAGATGAAGTAACTATTTAAAGCCAGCCTTCTGTTTCTTTGGGCCCACTCTTGGCCACTTTCGGTTGCAAGGAGAGGATAGTATCAAGGCTTAGCCTGTTTGAGCTTCGTTCCAGCCGGAGCATGATTCCGTACGAGCGAAAAGAGGTAAGTGCAGTACTTACACATTCGAAAACGGTGACACAAACAAAAAAAAACTCCACTTTGGATGAGAGAAGTAAGAAAAAGGTAAAAAAGGTTTGCTAAAATTTGCCCGGAAATTCGAAAAAAAGCTCTGCTCAAATCTAGTACAAGAAAAGAAATGGGTTTTGAGAATAAATGATGGAATCCTCTCCCAGTCATTGAAGGTTCCAAAGAAGAAAGCTTGTTTGTCAAATTATCCAGGGAAATGAATGCGCTGTTGGAACAACGTAAGTTTGAATTTTACGTTGACGGCAAATGAGCGGCTCTCTCTGCCGCGTGAGAAATATTCCACAAGAGATACTGACCAGCAGTAGAAAATAGTTGAAGAGTACGGTGAAAAGAGGTTGAATGGAATCTCCTATGCCAATACTACATGACTGTAGATGAAGGCTACAAGGTATGTAACATCCTTCATGATAGTAGAAGAGGACGAAGCCGCGGCAAATGCTACGAGAGTGACCAAGACGGCGGTCACGTTGAGAAAGCTAACCGAAGCGACTGTGGTCGGCTGACTGTATTATCGACTCTCGCAGTCGTCCACGGTGTCGTATTGCTAAGCGTGCTGCCGACATATCACCTTCTTCGCTTTGACTGCCAGCTCCTTCAGCTACAGTCATGACAATCTTGGTGGTCGGTAAAAACAGCACCACTACGAGGACAGGAATCAAAAATACAAGTTGAGAATAGAGAAGACGAAGGACCGACTGCGACTCATCGACGACATCTCTGATACGAAATATTAGCAATGAGAAATGACAGTTTCTTCGGTCACACGGAAGAGGAGTAACGTTCAGCGTCAACTAGGTCGAAGCATCGTCAGTAGCTGCAATTCAGCGATGTTACTACAAGAGCAAGGAAAAGAAGCTTAAGGAGGTATAACGGGAAGGAGAGAGTAGCTGCATCCGGAACATACAGCACACAGGCATAATATCAGAAGCAGGACCGAAGATAGTAGTTTTATTTCTTTGCAGAATCCATCCTCTAGTACATAGTACCGTAGAAGGATCATCATGGTGTTCCCTGCGAAGCCGACACCACCATCGCCTTCGGAGGCTGCTGAGCGTATCCGCTCAGCGGCTGCGAAGGTAACGCCGAAAGGCCTGAATGTCCGCAAAAGTCCCAGTAATTTGGAGGATCCCGCGATCGAGGCTAAGATACAGGAGGTTCAGGCGAAACTTGATGCTCACACCTGGAAAGATCTCGCGGAGAAGGACCGTGCCTATCTCGAAAACTATTTCGCGAGCAAATGCAGTACTTCTCCCTATGCTCGCTGAATCACGACTCTTCATTGTTTTCTACTCTTTCTCAAAGGTATGCTTCTCTTTCTTTTCAGTAGTTGTGAAAAGAATTTATGAAGATGTGGCTCTTTGCCGCGAGAAAATGCATTTACATCCTTCACATCCCATAAGCCTTGTGCGCAATCAATTATATCACTATTGAAATATTTTTATTTTCATTTTGTATATGATCTTCACCCCACCTGTCTGTGTGCATGAGACCACATCATGCATCAATCTCCAATCACTCAATCATTAAATGCTCCAACAGGAATGCGGCGGTTCGTGCTTTCTTGTGATGGTTCAGTCGATAAGACGTTCGATGCTTTGAAGGCCGTTGTGAAGAACCGTTGCGCCCATGATCTGTGGGGCCTCTGCCATCGGCCAATCAGTGAAAACGTGGAGAAAGCACTTAAATCTGGTACAACTTCTGTGTAATCTTGTTGAAGTCCGAGTGCTTTCAATGAATTTTTTAATGAGAGTTTAGAAGTACTATAGATGAGGTGATGAGAAAGCAGTACTAAGTAGTGCTATTAAGTGATGACCATTTTCATACACAACTCCAGGTGCCTTTTATTTTCATGGGCTGACGCATGAGGGTTATCCGCTGATGCTGCACAAGGTGAGGAATTTCGACGGCAGGGTCGCAGAGAAAGAGCGCTTGAAAGCGGTATATATGTTCCAGGGCTTGTGGCTACGGTACCCCTCCTAGCGTAGGGGGGGTACCGGTAGCCCCGGACCCCTTTTGGAGGCGTCTGCCGGGGGTGGAAGGCCTCAAAAGGGGGCCAAGTGACCTCCTCCGCTCCCTTCCAGGTGCTTGGCTGTCCCCTAGAGGCCTCCGACGTTGGTGGAAGGCCTCAAGGGGGGCCCAAGTGGCCCCCTCCGCTGCCTTCCAGCTGCCTGGCTGTTCCTTACAGGCCTCCGATGTAGGTGGGAGGCTTTAAAAGGGGCACAACCAAGGGACCGCCTGCGCCCCCTTCCAGGTGCGTGCCTGTGCCCTAAGTGCGTCCGATATGCTTCGCCGCCGCAGCAGTTTGCCGGTTCTGGAAGGCCTCCGAAGGCAGCAAAAGGCGAGGGGCTGGACCCCCTGAGCCGTTCGGCCTGTACCCTCCGGGCCCTTGGTCATCGGCTTGCTGGCTCTTGCGACCGTGGCCGCCTTCGGCGGCGTTTTACCCTGGAGACCTCCCGCCTGCGAGGGTCAGCAGAGGCCAGGAGATCCCTGAGGGACACGCCGAGAGGCGCAAGGGGCCGCCTGCGCCAAGTCTTGACGCCTTCCACCACTAGAATCCGCGAAAATCAGCGCGGAAAAGCGCGCGCGCGCCACCCCAGACCATACCACAGGGGGGGGGGCGCCGTGCAGCCCTATGACACATATGAGCAAGCGTCTCATGAACATGATGACTTAGAGAAGATGAGCTCACTGTGGTGAGAAAGTCAAATCTCCGAGTTTCACTATCAGAGAAGTAGAGGCTCTTGTACAACATACATGATAACTACATGATACTGCAGCTCTACATGATCTACAACGAGTTCTGAAGTGAGATTTTTGAAATAAAAAAGCGACATCAGAGTCACAGAAAATCATCACCACAGGTCTTCCATGCGTTAGATAGCATGGAGCAACAAATAGACATGAGGGAGTTGTCAGACGGAACGCGTGTGCGAGACCGGTGGATCATGTTGCTGGACCAAAGCGGGACACCGAAATACGGCGGCCCGAGTATGGCCTTTGCAAAGCTGCTTCTCTCTTATGTGCTTGAAAAAAATTGCGTAGCTTACTTGGAAGAGTGCGGGTAGTCGATGTTTCTTTGCGACAGAGACAGAGGTTGGGGCTTGTGCGTAACATTCATGTTGGAGAAACACACAACCCGCTGACAATGAATTGAAATTGGTACAATCCTGCCACAACAACTATTTGAAACACTGAATAAGAAATCCACCTTTTCCCTCGTGCTTGTGAAGAATCCCCTTTCATGCGGTACTGATTATCAGCTTTTACCCGGAAATCATGTATCGAGTTATCATAGTGGACGCCGGAACTTTTCCGAACATGGTATACGCTTTCGTGCGGCCTTTCCTGAAGGAGGATACGAAAAAGAAGGTGGACTTCGTCAATCGGGGGAAGAAGCTCTCAGCTACAAAAAGTATTTGTATCATCTACATCTTTTTTTTCCATAACCTAATCTAATCTAACCTAACCTAACCTAACCGTTCTAGAACTGCATGCACATCGACATCCATCATGACGAGGCCGTTTGTTAGGTTGGTATTTTGTTCTGTTTCGCAACGCCGTTTATGTATATTTTCGGTCAGAAGTGCAACCAATACAGCCTGTGTTTAGGACTACTTGGTACAAATGATTGAAATTAGGGACGAAGAGAGTCGCTTGTGTACCCGCCTACTACTTGTCAATGATTCATCAAACAGAACTGGCTCTGGAAAATTTGCTTAACACCATCGGGCCGGATCATCTTCCAAGTGAATACGGTGGCAAAAATCCGATGGAATATGACCCTGACAATTGGAAGTTTGGCCTTTTAGAACGTACTATATGTACTGTACTTGTTCTTCTGGATCCCTTTTTTTTGAAGTCCTAGCTGTGGCCCCTACTTCAAGAACTGGAGGCTAGTAGTTTGATTAACGCGTATTTTTGAAGACTAGCTACTTTCACTTATAGGAAATATAAATAGAATTTCTCCAGACGACGAACACAATGAACCCAGATGACTCGAGATGAACCGCTTTTGTATTCAAAAACAATCGATATTTGTAACTATTTAAGTACTTATCCAGAGTAAGGCATCCCTTCATCAATTGGAATATTCATTTTCAGTTCCGGCTTTAGTTGAACCCGAGCAGGGGGAGCAAGCCACGTGCTTGAGTCCAGACCAAGGTGCCAATTTCCCAAAAAGACGATGGTCGAAGGCGTCACTTCCGAAAATCTTGAAAAAGCCTTTGACCATCCGAAGTAGAACGGGCAGTCGCGAAATTCTCGTAGAGGGTGATGTTGGGACCGCAGGCGCATCAGGGAACGCTACTAGTACAGCCACGACGACTAGTACAGCCACCGGTGGGACGAAGTCGTCACCTGCAGAAATAGTACCAGTAGCAGTTGGGGTGGGAACTTATGGCAACGTTGGTGATTGATGATTTGTACTCACATAAACGCGTCGCAGAGGCCATTCATGGTGCGAATGTTTCAGGCGGCCCTCGTTAAGCTATCTGCTTTGCTTGCCAATGTATGTGTCCTCTATAATTTCTCGAGAGTTTTTCTAATACAGAAGTGAGGGTACTATTGGAGGCGGACGGGAACGCAGTAGCGACAGCGCTGCCGTTTCCGTTGATACGGCCTTGCCGGTCGTGTCAATGGAAACCTTCACACCTCTCGGAGGTGGAGATGATAGAGTAGCAGGACCAGGAGTGACAGCGGCAGCAGACGTTGGCGACGTCGTGACAAAGAGCGGAAGTACGGAGTCCTCGAATAGCATGCTGTTGACAAATCGCAGCCCACAATCACAGCCAGGTCCTCCAACGCCGTTTGGTGGCAACCAAGTTGTAGTGGAGACGGGAATCATCGGGGGCAAGAGGACGTCACCACTCTCACCGCCGCAATTGCAGCACCCACTGGGAGCTGTATCCTTGGGTGGTTCCGGGGAGATGATCAAAAGTGGCGAATCTAGTAGACTCAGCAGCAAGGAGAGAGCGAATATTAAGATCGATTTTCTTCTTTTCTTTATTTTCTAGTTAGGGCTCCAGCACTGGAAAAATCTTTACAACTATAACTCTGGGATAGGGATAAAATGATGCAAATGACCCATCTTTATTTGAGCATGTTGATGAAGCCATTTCCATTGGTAAATCAAGATGTTGATGTTTGTAGTTGCGCACTTTTTCCATCTCCGGAAGAATGTTAACTTGTTCTAAGAACAGCCTAGATGCAGGGCGCAGGTTGGACGATGATCTAGCGTCATTGCATAGCTTTGCGACAGCGATATCCACTCACGACGCGCCGCATACAACACACACTCCAGCAGGGGGAGCCGGAATGCCTTTCCCGAGTCCAGCGACTGCATGTATTCAATGATTCTCACTAGACTATAACTATATGGTCCTACCTCTGTAGCACATCGTCAGCGTATGAAAATGATCTTACTTCGTGTTTGATGTTTGGGGATTGGCTTACAGCAACAACAAATTTCTCAGATGCGGCACCAACGATACCAGAAAATTCCCGTTTGAAGGATCCACTTGCGCCTTTCGACGAAAAGCCTGCGACCAGGTCAAAGTTTTGTTGTTGTGGCGCGGAACCCGCTCAGCCCCCTTTGTCGCGGATCTAGTAAAATAAAAGTTTTTGAGTGTTTTTGAGTGTTTTGTGTTTTTGATGAAGTAAGTAGGATACTTGCAGTTACACATGGAACATGCTTCTCAAGATCGTGATACCTGAACAAGAGTAATGAATGTGAGTGATGTGTAGGCGTCGTCTATCACCAGAAGCCGTGAGCAAGAGATGTACAGATATGTTGCCGGACCTGCAAGGTAGAAGATATTCATCCTGATTTTTTGGTCTGCTTGTTTGATGATTGCACCCACACATGATTTTTCTCAACCCTGCTCCACTTGATATCCTCCGTTGGTTTCAATTTGTGTTGAGAATAAAGCATGATGCGTGTCCTTGTTGTCCCGCGTTTCGGAGTCCCCACTTCCTTCGGAAGAATTGACTATCAGTTGTTTTGTCAGCCATGACGTCGCAACTCCACACAAATTTTTTTTTTCTAACCATTACTTCACTTTGCACTGCGAAAGCGTCGCCCTCTTGGTTTTACCCGAGTGACTTTAATTTTGAATGCTTATGATCTTGCCGGGTTGGTCTTAGCTTCTAGAATCTTCGTCTACTCTCGGACTGACCGACGGCTAGAGATAACTTAGCTACCAGGTGATTATTGTTTTCGCGGAGCTGCTATTTCCAGTTCATCGACCTTGTCAATCTATTCGTGCGGACGAGCTCTTTCCCTAAAAATGCTACAGTTTGACTGATTTCTAGCTACCACAGCATATCTATCATGACTTTTTTGGATTTGCTTGGGCTTTGATGCATGTGATAAAGTCGACCGCCTCGGCCGAGCCTCACGGCACGTGCGTGTTGTTGTCTCCTTTGGATTTAAGTTTCTTCATCTGCTGTACATACGACGATTGATCAACATGAGACAAACACATCAAGGCATGTAACAAATTTATTTTTGACTTGGTTCGTTCACGTTCTATCTTTTATGCTTTTTGTTTCCTGTTAATGCGCTGTCTTCGGGTTCCGTGCTGGTGGTGTGCTGATTATTAATGGTTGCCTTGCTGAGAATTTAAATCAATACTAGCCTCCTGGTGTGGTATCCCAGGGGAAGGAAGCGATGGGAGCCCGAGACACTTGCTAGACAAAGCGCATACGTGGACACTCTGCAGCAGGCGCCAGATTTGACAAGAAGCCGCAGAAATGTCAGCGAACAGGATGGCCGATCTCTGAGGCGATAAAGTGGACGCCTGAAAGGGGTGGGGGCGCCTGCGGGCCTATCTTCAAGCGGAAGACATAGGCAGGCACATGCCCCGCGGGGCTGATTCGTCCGCCGGGGTCTGAGGCTTTCAGAGGCCACGGGGGTCCGCAGGGGTTCAAAGGTGTCGGGCGTTGCCCGTCTGTGATTCCTGGGGCGCTGGCGTGGCGCTGCAAGCAAGTGACGCGACTGCATTGGGCCGCCGCCTCGCACTATCGGGCAGCGCGAGCCCAGGGGAGGGGAGAGGAGAGCGGGGCGCCAAAGTTTACGCTTTAACGTTCAACATTTACGCGCTAACTTTCATCCAGGGCTCACGTCTTAACTTTCAAAATCCATGCCCTAACTTTCAAAATTCACGCCATTACTACTTTCGTTCCGAATGCATGCCCTAACTTTCAAAATCCAAGCCTTAACTTTCAGAGTCCATGCCTCAACTTTGGAAAGCTATGGCCTAAGTTTCAGAATCCACGCCCTAACTTTCAAAATCAATCCCCTGACTTTCAAAATTCGCGCTCTAGCTTTCGGAACTCATGCCCTAAGTTGTAAGTTTCAGAATGTATGGCCTGGCTTTCAGTATTTATGCCTTAACTTTCACGATTCATAATCATATCCTAACATTCAGCTTTCATGTCCTAACTTGCAGCATTCACGTCCATACTCCTAGCTTTCAATATTCACGCCCTAACTTTCACAATTGAGGCGCTAACTTTCAAAGGTCATGCCCTAACCTTCAAAATTTCTGCGCTAACTTTCACAGTTCATGTCTTAACTTTCGAAGTTGCTTCGTGTTATAAGTTTAACAATTCACGCCCTAAGTTCGTTCACAAGTCATGCCCTAACTTCGTTCATAATTCATGCCCTAGCTTCGTTCACAATTCATGCCCTAGCTTTCAAAATTCATAATCTAAAACTCAAAAACAAAAACTCAAAACGAAATGCGTGTCCTATTCAAAACTCAAAATTTAAAATCAAAACTCAAAATCTACAATCAAAATTCAAAATCTAAGAGCAAAGCCCAAAATGCAAAATCAAAACTCAAAATCAAATTATCAAAACGAAGGCAAAACTTTACAAGTAAAAAGATTTCTCTATCATCTTCCTTTGTAAGGCTTTTGACTTCTGGATCTGTATACCATCATTGATTTGACACATAACTTTCAGAACATAATCAATGCACATTTTTCAAAACTTTCTTCATGTTGTAGTGAGTTTTTACAGAAGTATAAATCTTTCTTGGCTGAAGCTCCTCATTGACGGATTCATTTACTAGCATCAACATTGGGACTGGATAAACAGCCTCCCCGAAATTGCCAATCAGATTATCACGTGCTAAAAGATTGAACACACATGAACATATATTATAATTTATAATTTTGTCTGGAAATATATTTATTGGATGAAATGAAGATTGTGAACGTGCTTTGTGTCGAATATTTTTAGACAGAGTCCCTCTTTGATGGAATGATAACCGAAATTCAATGAATGCAAACCTCGAGCCAAAGTCTGCAACTGACCCTCCATCTTTTCACAGTGGTGTAGCAGGAAAATTTTTTCCTCGGATTCAAGCAAGATTGATCGCAAGCAGGAGCTGCCAGTCGTTGCTTTCAATGATCCTGGTGCTCAAAGCGATTGACTAGTATACGATCCAACGCTGCCGTTGTAAGGAGATGAAAGAAGGTGGCTAAATGAAGAAACTGCGTCCAATTCTGTAAAAGGCTTCAGGAGCATGACTCGCAGTGTGGAAAAATACTAATAAAGACGCCACCAGTTAGTGTGTGTGGCTTTTTTTTAATAATAATAATAATAATAGAGTTGACCAGGGCGATTGTTCAGCAAACACCCTCAGCAACTGCAACAGGGAGAGGTCGTCGGAGTAGAAGTCATGTCATCGTCGTGCGAGTGCGAAAACAAAGAACAGCACTGCCTTATAGATTTACTTACATCGAAGTTTTTTCAAAATCTGATATTAATAGAGGAAGAAGTAAGTAGATGAAAGCAGGACAAATATATAGAATCAAGTAGTTGTATTTCCACACGACTATCTATACTGCTGATGCTGTACTCTGGAAAGATGGAGAAACTCCAGCAGCGGGCAATAGCGAATTTGCGTGGGGGCGCGACGACCGTCGGTCCGGCACCAACATGGGTCGGATGCGACAACTGCCCGAAATGGCGCTTGCTGTCGCACCGGTGCTTTCTTGTCGCCGAGAAGATGGACACCTTCTTCTGCAATTACCTAGTGGATACGAGCTGCGCCACGCCTGACGACGAGGAGGACGTAAACAAGCAACAGTTGCTGGCCTTTGGCGGCCGCGTGATGAAGACAATGTTACGCGAGGAACTTGCACGCCTGCAGGCAGCAGCAAGTGCGCAGCAGAGAGCAGCAGCGGCAGCCTCAAGCAGCGCCTCGAGTTCAACGGGGGAAACGCGAATGAAGCCAGCACAGCCCTTTTCTTCTGGAAATTTGAAGCGTCCCGGAGCAAGCAGTGAACAGATGAAAAATTCTGGAGGTGCAACTAGTAATGTCGTGGCAGGTGGGTCGGCAGAGATCTCATCGAAAAAGCTTTTTAGCGCAGGGGCAACTAGCAGCGGTAATCAGCAAGGTACTTCTAGTTCTTCTTCATCTAGACAAGTTCTTACTGGGCAACTACACGCCACGTCTTCCACCTCTTCGACGAGTGCATTTCCCGCTCCCGCACTCAAGTACAAACGCGCAGATGGCGGAAACAAGAGCAATATAACCGGTGCAGGTGGAGCAAAGACCAGTACGAGCAACGAGCAGAGTCAATCTCTCACCCGTGCAGCTCGAAGCGTTACTTTCGCGCCAGCGGACGAAATTGTCCACGTCCACACGACGACGTCGCCGTCGGCGCGCATTGTGGCCGGAGGAGAGCTGAAAGCCGCAGAAGAGAGCCTCCGGGAGAAAAAGGAGCGGCAGCGGCACTTGCAAGACAGTCTTGCGGCACTGAGGCGACAAACCTTTCGGCGTTTCGCTCTGTCGAATTTTTGCAGAGAGGAAAATCGAGAAGCGATGCTTTCGGAACGCGGCAGTGTTTCTTCGTCTCCTCTTGCCGATGAAGAGCGGAGTGGGGCAAAACTGAACGCTGTTGGCTACTCAGACGAGTTTCGCCAGGCACTGCAAACGCTGCTTAAAGCGCGTCCGCGGCAAAGCGCTGTGCAGCACTTTGCGGCACGCCAGGGCGCAGAAACAATCAAGGCTTTTGGCGCGGAGTTTTCCAAGATCCAACCCGAGGCGCTGGCAGCCACGACCTCTAACGATGTGCGAGTGATGTCGAGGAATAGCTCACCTGGCTCACTCGTGTCATTCGGTAGCGTGGTTCCGCCAGACATGCCTGCTTTCCCGGCATTTTGCAGGCTCCTATTCGATGTGCTGCGAGTGGTAGACGACTTTGCGGGTCACTACTCGTCGATTCTGGAGTTGCATTTGGATCGCATGAGAGTCCTTTTTCAGATTCTCTACAGGTCTAGTGCTACGGCAGACGATATTGCCACAGCGAAGGCAGTCATGTTACACAAGATTCAGGTTGTTTCCGACTTGTTCGAAACTATGTTGCATGAGGCCAATAGCGCCGAAGCCTTCCTCCAATCAACATGAACATCTCAGGATGCACCGTATCTATAAAATCATTTCCCGATTTCCTTATTTTTCACCCTGATGTAAGTACATCGCAGTCCTCTAACTAGAAATAACTAACGATTTTACGACTCACTCTATCAATCTTTTGCGCCACAGGAGTTTTTTCACCACGTCTTAATAAGAGTCTTTACTTATAATTTCTGTGTTGGAGACGAGATGAGAGCGTCTGCAGCTGCGAATCGGTCAAAGTGCGACGCCTGCGTCAGACCTTTTGCTAAAATTTTTCTCTAGAGTGCTGCATAGAGGAGCGCTACCTACCACCTTTAACTTTATCATCACTCTGCGAAGACAGGATAGTGTCAAATAAAGCAGTCTGATCTAGGCCACCTATAGAGCAGTAAACATACCTATTTTTTCAGGGTGATGTCAATTTAGTGACTCAACCAGGGAGCGTGAGAGAACCATGCGAAGGAGAAAAGTTTTTTCTTTTTGTGATTGCTCGGTGTGCAATGAGAGCAAAAAGAGAGCTACCCTAGCGGGATGGACAAAGGCCAGGCACAGCTCAAGAGCAGTGAGCGGGACGTGTAAAAAAGTAGGGTAATCGCGAGTGTACAGCGTGGTTGTATTTTGTTTTCTTTTGAAGTAAGCATTAGCGTATAACGTAGTTTGTGACTCTGATTTTGAGAGTTTTGTCCTTTTTTCAGCTGTTAGTTGCAGTTCTACTCAAGTTCTCATGATTCATTAACATGAATGTGCCCCCCTTGTAACCAGAATCATCCTAATACATTGACGTAATTTTAGTGATATGACCAACATGCCTTCAACATCATGTCAGCTGGCGAGGTTTTGTGGAGTGACGTGGACAGCGAGGTAGCAGATTTAGCGAACCTGCATCCCTTCGTCACTTATGCCGGTAGAGTTAAGGCTTCCCCTAATCCATCTCCAGAAGCATCTTAGAGCTGTTTCATATTGGGAAAACAGATCTGAGACGAATCCCAGATCCAGAATGGATTAGGCTGAGCTCTAATAGAGACAGCACAGCCTATCGACGCCACATCATCATCGTCGCACCTGCGTTTCTAAACGATGTGAATGAGCGCGTTTTTGTCAAGTGTCTGCAATTTGCCACAGACGCAATCCGCGATTGGACAGGTGCGGCGCGGGCTTTCGCAAAGAAACGAATCTCATCTAGAACGTCGGGTTCAACCAGCTTATCTACTTTGGTAAGAGGAGCAGGAAATGGAGGAGGAGATCCTGAGTCGCCCTTTTCTACCGCTTCTCAAAAGCCAAGGACGTCTTTAGAGGAATTCCTCCTGGGGGATGAAGACTTAGTGCGGAAAAAAAAGGGAAAAAAATATGTGTCAACAACGCTAGGAGTAGAAGCTGGGGATGATGACAGCGACCACGAAGATCGGGAAGATGTTGACAGCAGTGATGCTGATACCAGAAGTGGTCAAGATGCGACTCGTCGAGGAACAGGTATAGCACAGGGCCAATCTCCTCACCAAGCAGAGCGTGACTGTCGCTTCGTGCTAGTCTACTGCAACACTGACGTGGCTTGGTTGCGATACCGAAACTTAGCTACTTATCTGCGTGGCCTAATACCTCCCTGGTGTAGGCACTTTTTGGATCACGTCTTAGTCGTTCACTCGTCTGCTGCATGGAAGCTATATTTCGCATCACACCTGCTTCCTGCGCTATTGGATGCTGCTACCTCTTCTGCTTCTACTTCTCCTGTAGATGGGAAGAACAATAATATTCAAGGTGCCACTTCTAGCACCGATAGCACAGATAAGGCTCGAAGAAAAACCGGCGAAAAGCCTAGCAGGAGTGAGGTGGTTATTCAAAATAGTAGACTACCGGTTGCAGGGAGCACCAGACGAGCAGCGTCCTCAACATCGTCCGCGTCTAATATTTTCGAGAAAGACACAGGTGGCCAAAATGTTCGTCAAAAGGTCCTACTCGATCGCGTGGTCGAGTACGACTCATTACGCCATTTATTGTACGATCTACACCCGAAATCTGCAGAACTACGAACGCAACTACTGCAGAAAATCCCGTTTTTCGTGCTGCGTCACGAAGCCGACCATTACAATTGGCCGCCTCGACTAGGGCGTGTCTTTGGAATGCCCTTACAAAGACTATGCGCCCATACGGCACAAAGCGACACAGCTGAGACATTCCCGACCTGTGAATTCCGTATACACCACCTTTGCAAAATATTGTTAGTAAGTATTCGAAAACTGAAAATATGCGAGATAGTGACTGAAATAAAAGAGTGACTACCACTACGTTGTTCTTCTTTATTCGGTGCCTCTATCCTCATTCTAATTTGTTACTCAGTTTTTTCAGTTTTTCGAGTACATCAATGTTGATGATATTGGCTTTTACAACACTGACGAGCTATACTAGTGCGTTCATGAACGAGCGTATTTTGAGTGAGCACTTTCAAGCGAAGTTTTTTGCTTGATGCAAGTTACCTATCAATGAGAGCTCCGTCGGCTCCGACTACTTCTAAATCTAGTCCCATCTTCGACTTACTCTTTTATTGCAAATTTATTTCATTATCGACTACAGATGGGCTTCCATTCGTCCTTGTCCAGCTCGTGCGGGAGATACTTATGCGACAAATTCAGCTCCCTGGCGGTCAGCATTCAGGACAAGAATTACACCAGGAGGAAGCTAGTGCATCCGCAAGTTCTTTTTTTCTGTAAGGCTGATGCGTATCTGCAAAAAAATGATCGTATTGACTATGAGCTAATGTTGGCTCTATTAAATCTGATTGAAGAAGTGGGGCAAGGATTAAATTACACGTCAGGCCCGACGGCATATTTATTTTCCCTTCCTTGATGGCAGTTTCTTTCTAAGTTGTGGCCCCACGGCACGAGATTCGTCCTTTTGTCGAGGAGTTGGAGGGTGGACGGGTGAATCAGTACATTAGGCACGAATCAGTTGAGGTTTTGTGGGGTGCGCTTCGCTTGTGGCTGAATTGCTTACCCGTACCTTTGTGGGGATTCCCTGCGTGGGGACGGATGGTTACGGAGCTCGTTCCTCGACTTAGAGACTCAGCGTCGCCAGAGTTGCCACTCTACCCGCGTGTGCGTCTGCGTGAAAGCGAAATGCCAGCTGGGAAGAACAGTACTTCTTTACGCTTCAGCACTGCACTACGGGTGAGTGCTTGTCGTGGTATAGAAGAAAAAGGGCCGGGGGTTGGTGGTCTGCTGGGTGAAGATTCTGGTGCTGCTGGGAGTTCATCACGTCCCACTGGCGATCGCGGGGAAAAGGACGGTCGTTTAAGCAGCGATATTCCAGTGAATCAGTTTCTTGTCACGACAGCTACTGTCGAAGGATCTAGTACTGCGGGAAGCGCAAACCCGTTGCTTGCAGCCGTTGCACGCGGCAAAACTGAAGAGCTGTCTCGGCGGTCAACCGCAGCCGGTCGCCTGCAGCGTGAAAGCGTTCGGAAAGCACTGGCAACGTCGCTCGCCCAAGCCGATCATCACCTGAACCAGACACATTTCTATCCAGAGGACGACCTAGAAGGAGTAGAAGAAGCGGAAGAAGACTACGAAGTAGATTACCCTGAGCAGCAAGGCGGGGATTTGTGGCTCGCCGCACCAAGGGCCAGTTACGTGAGTGCGGATGAAGTCGCCGCTGAGATAGGACTAACACGACCTCCGAGTGACAACGCAGAAGATAAAGAAGGCGGCTCCGGATCAGGAGCGCAGCGTGGTGAAAGTCCTCCCGACGCTTCAACGGGAGAGTCTGATGACATCTTGCCGCCTTTACCTTCGCCAGGTTTCTTCGTCCAGTCTGCACCTGCAGGAAGCAATAGAAATTATCCTGTGAGATCAGATAATCCTCCGACTTAATTTTGATGTCGTTTGCTCTTTGTAATAAGGTCTGGTGCGATTGTGCTCACGGTCAAAAGTTATTGTATCACTATCTATGTAATAATTCAAATTGTTAGTTCTAAGTACTACCGCGCCACCGTTCGTGGGAGCAGCAAGAAGCCCGAATTCGGTTACAGAGTCCGTTCTTTACGTCAACCGGACAGCTTGTCGAGGAATTTTACATCGGTTCCGACCTCGATTCAGCCGGGGCAGCCAGCGCCGCGGAGAACCAACTGTCCTCCTCGGCGCACGGTTCTCCAGATGAGCCGCTTCGTCCCCAACAGCTTCGACTTAAGGAACCGGAGTTGCGACCAAAAATTGCGACTCCATCTGTCGAGGCCTCCTCAAACGATGTTGACGCACTGCTTGACGAGGGGAAGCAAGAACTTGATGGACGCAGTACGGGAAATGATCAGCAGCGTCAGCGTGGTGAGGTGGAAGAGCATATTATACAACATGATTGGGGTCCAGTTACTGCTGCATCGAGCAAGACGTCTTCTTCAGCCAGTTCGCGCTCAACGTCAAAAACTTCAGGAGGCTGGTGGAACCGAGACGATTCGAAGCAATCCAACTCCATCATCTTCACCGCGGACGATGTAATTTTGCAGCGTGACGAAGAAGAAGACCAAATAAGGCCGCGCCGCATCGGAAAAATGGGTGGAGGAGTTAGAGACGATATTCATAGTATTTTGGAACCTTCATCAACTACGCAGGATGGTAATAAAAACAATGAGAGAACCCCTTTCATGGAGGCAGGATCGCAGGTGAAGGTGCCCAGAGAGTCCACACTGGTGCCAGAGAGTATGCCCGTAATACGGAGTAACTCCAAAAATCCGTTTCTGTACTATCCTGAGTCTTCATCACCAGAAGATGCCAGTTGTAGCAGCACTCCTGGTTGTCCGCGACGACCTGGACGTCGAAGAAGCGTTTTACAGCGTGTTATCGTGCGGAGAGCGTCGAAGACTCGCGTCTCAGTGCATCCTCGGCCAGCCCCTGAGCATTCGAAATCCAAGAAGGATACCGCGTCCAACCTTAGAGATAGCCTGGAATCAGAAGATGATAAAAACTGCGAAAAAATACAATCTACGAAATTTTCACCATTTTCGGTCAGTAGAAGGGAAGAGCCAGTTCCTCCACCTGATGTAACAAGACGAGATTGTGATGCAGGAGGTGGTGGCGGTCCGCCGTTCCTCTTCTACAACGATTCCAGCGCGTCGTCAAGTAAATCGAGCCATGACGATGATGTTGACACTGTGCGCGAAGGAGTCTATGTAGATGACCTACTCTCCTCAGATTCCTTGGCCTCCTCCTGCGCGCAGGATACAACTTACATGATGAATAACAGTACAACAGCGACTTACAATCATACAAACTCTCGCTCGCCTGCGGCGAAGCAACGACAAGAAGGTAAAAAAGCGGCCGATGAAGTAATCTTCTTCGATGAGGCAGCACGTGCTTTTGTATCCGGACCCGCGAAACAAGAAGGCGAGTACGAATCGTCGAAAGCGGCATTGGAATTTTTGTGTGAAAGAATTTTCCCTCACCTTCCGCAGTATGCGCTGCATACCTCTCTCTATCTCCTCAAGTTTTTCAGCGTCGTTCTTCTTGAGAATGATCGCGAAGGAGGTCGCGGCCATAAAAAGTTATCTGGGCGGGCGCGGTTGCTAGCAATCCTGGGGAACTCGACCATTATGGAATGCCGTCAATTGTTGATTCAAGTACTTATACAATGTGGAAACAGAGTTTCGGGATGTAGATGCCTCTACGTCATCAAGAATAAAAATTCTGGTAACCTCCAAAGTAGATTTTAGCAAAAAGCCAAATGATCATGCATGGTGCTTCGGATACAGATGGGGTCTAGATGTAGATGTGCGCCAATTCCTAGCCCCTCCACTGTCACCCCCTTCACTGTCACTGGGCGTAGGCCATATGGGTCACCGATGGACCGTCTTGCTGAAGCATTTGCGACCCTATTTTGTCGACCCCAGGCATACCGCAACGAATTCTGGGTAGGTGTCGCACCTGCAGAGGCCCTGCTGAAGGCCGCTGTGATGAATATCGACGCCTTGTTAGACGAATGGACTTGATACTAAAGGAGGCTTTGGTTTTCTATTTCTTGTTTTTTTCCTGCCTCTCGTTGATTGCAGCTCTGCTTTCGTCCATTTAAGTATAGCTGTAAAGAAAGTAGGGGATAGATGATTCCTCTTGGGTACCAAAAATACTGGGAAGAGAAAATGTAAAGTACAGGTAAAGAGAAAGAGACTATCATGCAGATGTTTTCTTGGGTTGTAACATTTTTTTTGGTTTTTCTTTTCTATGGTTCATTCTTTCATTTTTGCGTGTCTATCGCCAGAGTTGAGCACGCGATTCCTGGTTACAGTACATTGCAAGATGAACTACATCAAGCTTGGATGCACACTCGACGACAAAAAGCCACGGACAGATCTGACTGTTGTCGCAGTGACAAAGAAATTCCAATTGTGATAATTCCTAAGGCAGTCGCTCTGCAGATAGAACGAAAACATAAATAGTCGAAGCTACAATGCGGAATTGCGCAATGACGGCGCATAGGCCCGACATCGGAGAATTTTGAGGTCTAAAATTGCATTTTTGTCTCGACAAAAGCGTGCGCGGTTCATTTTTTTTCTTGCTCGGTATGCACGTAAGTAAGATGAGCGTCTGTTGTAGAGCTGGGCGCACATACCTCTGTCAGCAGCGAGTGTCATTTGCCGATCTGCTTGTTTTTGGAACGATCGGTCGAGTGAAAGAACCTGCAATGGAACAATTTTACCTTTTCTGTTATGGAACGCTTATCGTCTGTTCCTCTTCCTGAAAAGCCAAAAAGCGGCAGAAGCCGCCTGAAGTAAGTTGCATACACATCATGCTTTGCACATGCTGTTGCGCTTTTTGTAGGTGGTGGTGAAAGGAGAAAATGGAAAATTGGAACTTATTGATAAGCGCTTCGCGATATCGCGACTTAATTATTTTTTACTCGTGAAAGAACAGCTGCGAAGCATTTAGTAATGTGACTGATGAAAATAAGGCCGAAGATAATAGCAGAGTTTGCAAGAAAGGCTCACTCCACTGGGTAGTTTGATCATACTGTCAGAACATTATAATATATTCCGAGTTTTCCTACGACGTTTCATTGACAAGTACAGCTTGATGCATTTACAGTATGAAAATAGGCAGCTGATGAAGCTCGACATACATCATAGTACATAGATACATGAAGATTGGATACAAGCAGAGGACCAAATTTTTAGGTTAGGCCGGCTACGATGCTCTATCCATGCCATATGTCTGCGTTATTTTTAGTACGTAGTGCTGGCGCTGGTAGTACAAACCGTCATTTTTGTGTTTACTGAACAACGCATTAAGTGTAGCAGAAGCGGCGAGACTTACTTGTTGTTATGAATTTGGCGTGCCTAGGGGAGTGCAAGCACCGCATTCCTCAGTCAAATTGAGGATCGGGGCGTCGTTGTTGAGTCTTTTTGTCCTCCCCTCGCGTGTCCGCTGCTCTCGCCGAACATACTTATTGGTAGTTCCACTTCATCAAGATCCTGACTGGGTATTATCTGCGACAGTGTCCATCCGATACGGCAGCGTTTACATCAACTCCGTCCTGACTGAAATAGGTGTCCCCAGCATTGGGGAATCTCTACTGGCTGTGCTTGATTTCAATAGGAGTGAAATACAGAAGAAGGGGAACAGCCACAGCATCGCTCGAGGCACGGCATTGAAAATCTGTAGTCTTCGAACCTCCAGGACATCACTAGCACGACTACAGATATTCTCAGCTGCGGTAGCAGTAGATGCACATTAGCCATTTTCAATGAGCTGCTTCACGCGCTCCGATCCAAAACGGGAGAATTTTCTTTCCATGTAACCTAACCGTGGCAGATCTTGCTGTGAAGAGTGTCCGTCGATGTTCTTGTACTAGATTTGACTTCGCTTTGTGAAGCTTGTGGACGTGGTCGCGGAAGAACTGCGTGAAGAGCGCCGGCCCTGTGAAGCTTGTTGATGTCGCGGAATTTATGTAGTGTTTTGTGCGAATGTTATCGCGATTGGTTGGAAAAAAAAGTAAATGCCCAAGGAACTCGCAGGTGGGCGTTGCTGAGTATATGTCCGATACTCCAAGCGCCCATCCCACAGGAACCTGGATCAGTATTGCTTCCTAAAACAAGTGCCGTTGTCTATCCTAGACTGTGCATGCTCAAGAAGCGCGCAGAATAAGATGTGGTATCTGCAATAGGTGTACCAGATACTAGTAGCAGTAGGTGATGACGGGGACAATCAGTAGAGACGCCATAATGATGACGAAATCACATTACTGAGTAGAGCAACCGGTTAGCTTTCCCTCATATCCTAGGTGTATCCCTCTAATTGCATTTGTTAGTGCCGACTGTTACTTCCTTAGTGTCGACTTATTACCATCAAACACTCGAGTCTACGACAAGAGGATCGCAGCACTTATCGATCCGGTTCTACTTGGGAACCCCTTAGTTTTTGTTCTTTAGCTTTTGTTGTCCTTTGCGATAAGACGCGCAGCCGTAGTGGAGGGAGCATGGTAATGCCCTACTATCATGAGCACACAGCGCTTGATTATGGAAGAAGAATCCTTGTTGGATATGCAAACCCCCACCGCTTCCCCTCTGCAACAACGTCCCCCGAAACACTACCTCCTGCTAGGTAAGTGAGTCAATGATTGAACCACATCAAGGAGATGAGTTGCTTTCATCTCTCTCCCCTTTCGTCCTCCTTTTCTCTCTGCACAATCTAGCAGCTTGTCCCCGAGACTTGTTTTCTAGAATGGAAAGCAGTCGTGCAAAACCCTCCTCAAATTTTGTCCTTTCTCCATGTCTTCTGAGTATATTAGAGTTCGCTGTCCTGCTTCGTGTTTTGCTACAACTCTACGTAAGTATTGGTACAGCTTGTGATTATCAGTTGAGCAGCCTTTCTAACTTAAAGTAACAACAGAAGACAGCAGTCCACACTTAGCGGATCCAGGATTGCTTCACCAGGGAGGGTCTGCCTATCAGTCTGCCGAGATGGATCAACATGTAAGGCGGGTTTGAATATTGACAGCTACTAGAATCTCTATGTCAGGGCTCCTTAGGTACTAGTCAACCAAAAAAGAGGACTATAACGCAGAGCCTGCACAACATGACATGACGCGAGGACAGCCGCTACCTGTGCCTCTAATTCTGAAAAAAGAGCGCGTATTTAACAACAGGCGCAATGCAACATGAACAGAGATCATGAGCGAGGAGGTTCACGATATCTTCAATTGAATTTGTGAACAGCGACAGCTGTAGTAGTTTGCTCAAGAATTTTTTAGCAAAATCTTCAGCCAAGAACTGCTGACGTCGAACTCTAATAACGAACGTTTTCCCACCGCACGAAGAGCAGTGTTACAAATACCAGCATTCTAGTAACAGAATGAATGCAACGGGGAGCACAGCTGCGCAAAATACGCAAAATACGGACACTAGCACGTCTGGAAAAATAAAGGCGGGACACCAGTATGTGGATCATGGTGGGGAGGCTCAGCGTGGTAGAACGCATCCCAATGACTACGGAGAACAGGATTATGGAGGTCAACAGGGACACAGCAGCTCGAGTACCGCAAGGCCTGATCAACAACATCGCGGTCGGACGGAAGATGACACGCGGGGCAACAACGCGCGGAGCGCTTCAACTTACGCGTCAATCCGTAGTCATTTTGGCTCAAGGGTGACTGCAATTCGGCCTCATATCGATAAGTCTGCACTCGTGCAGGTTTAGGCTAGTACTCAAGGCCGATAGAGCTAAAGTTCATGCATTTTATTTTTATTTTCTGAGCTTCCGCTGCTGCTCCTCTTCATACATGGCATAAGAGTGTTTGTGGCGACCTTCATTACATACTAGGCTTTCGTTTTGTTTGAAGGTTTTTGAATAACTGCTATCCAGAGCTAGAACTGTATCGGCTCAGCCACAGATTGTACGATGCCATGGTCTTGCTGATTGCTCACTGACTACACAGGTCCGCAACAAGATCACTGGCTAATCACACTCCTCTAAGCATTTACAGCGCTCGTTCCCGCCAGGCGCGCCAGAGGGTACAGTGCCGACGCGGCGCTGAATACTATGGCGGAGCTTCTGAGACATGTACAGGTGCTGAACGATCCCAGTGTAGCGATTACGATTTGCTGCTGCTCTTGTTATGGTCCGCTTCTGTCCATCTCTCTCAGCATCTTCGTATCCTTTTATTCCCATAAGCGTCTGGATACTTCACTAGTTGACGAGCCTTTTTAATAAGCATCAGTCCCTTGTTGTTGATGTTTCCGCATATTAGAATACAAGGGCTCCTAGAGTATATGGAAAATAATATACCTACCTTTCCGCGTCTAGGTACCAAGATCGGATGGGGGGATAGATAGGAATTAAAGAACTCGCTAATCTTGCTTTGATCCCGAATCTTTGCGCGAGTTCCATCCTAACGTCGTTTTCGTACCGAGAGACATGACTTCTCGGGAAACCGAAATTCTTTCACAATTATGCTGCCACTTTCACTGCAATTGTTTGTCGATCATGATTTTGTTAACATTCAAGTAAAAACAAGCCCCGTAGTAAACCTTAGACTTTCCTTCGTGATCTATCATGATGATGATTATGTTTACCATCTCTACCTCATCATCATCAGTTGAAAAACGGCTACTAGAGCTAGAGTGGAAGATATTGAATCCAGAGCTGGAGAAAACTGCAAGAAAACTTATTATTTGTCTCACTACTTATATCACACATACTCCCACTCGATTTACTTACCAAAAAAGTACTTTAGCAATTTGAAACTGAAAATGTGCGTCATGACCTATCAATTTCTGCATTTTTGCTTCTTGTTGTCGTTGTTGTTTCGCTTCTCCTTGTTCTTCTCCAAGGCTTTAACTCCAGATCTTTTCACCGAAAACACGGAGGCAAAATATTGCGCGCTGTTGGGCTTTATCATGGGATCAGAAAAGGAAAGAGCGAATGACCAAGTAGTGCTTACGCATCTGCTGCGAACATTCGATTGTTCAGGGTACGTGCCTCCCATGCTGGTACTTCTTACTTCTTTGTGGTGCTTGTTCTAGTACTCAACCTCGGTTTCGACGTACATTTCCCTAGGGTGTGGCTCTGGTCTCAAAGTTGGAGATTTGGGAGGTCAAATCGAAGACACAGGACATGGCATCGCGTGCCGCGATCATTCAGCAGGAGGGCTAAAAATAATATGTAAATCATTTCTATTTGATGATTTTTGGCTCAAGAGAAAGTTGGGGTGAATCTAGCACGGCTCCGTGCGCGGGTTAGTGCGTATCCTGAAGGTTAGTGCTCTTTCTTTTATTGGATGCTGTACTATTGGTGATTTACAGAGTTGTTGTCGGAGATTTTGCAAGTCGTCTCTGGCAGAACATGCCGCCGCTTTTCTACAAGCCCAAGATACCTGAGAAAGTTTGTTCTGGGGAGGCGAGGCACGGTCCGACGAAGTCATCAGACGGTCTATCATCGACACTGGCATC